ATTGCCACTGGGGAGACAAAGGCGGCCGGGCACGGTGTTAGTCGTTCCGGCCTTCATAGGCGCTTCTCGCTAACAGCACTTGCCCCAACAGCCTGTTCAGGCGACACGGGGGGGTGGGGTGACGAGGATCTTTGTCTCTGGTGTGTGTCACAGCTGCGATCTATAAATAGCTTTGGGACTTCTCCAAACCCGGCTTAGAGAGCCACCGATGTGCTTGGGTAAGGTAGACTCGGTTCCCACTTCCCCCCCCCCGCCAGGTTGGGTGTGTTTAACACGTTTCTGTACACGGACTCGTCCACTTACGAACAGTCGAACTTTCAGAGATGCGAACAAACCCTGTCCTGCATGTCCAGCTGTCCGTTCGGACCGAGTGTCGCAAGATCGACCGCCCCCGCGCAACAGATGGCGGTGGTGGTAGTGGCATCTACATCTGCAGAACGTGAAGAACCAGTGGCATCTACATCTGCAGAACGTGAAGAACCAGTGGCATCTACATCTACAGAACGTGAAGAACCAGTGGCATCTACACCTGCAGAACGTGAAGAACCAGTGGCATCTACATCTGCAGAACGTGAAGAACCAGTGGCATCTACATCTGCAGGACGTAAAAAGAACCAGTGGTATCTACATCTGCAGGACGTAAAATAAACCAGTGGCATCTACATCTGCAGGAGATTATACAACTTTAAATCCATGTCCCGTCTTGAGTGTATATGCTGTACGTGTTTGGAATCGACAGGAGTTAAGTTACGAACAAATCGACTTATGAACATACCTCTGGACCCCCAACTCGTTCGTAAGTAGAGGAGTCCCTGCAAAGTTGTTCGAATGGAAGGTGACAGCAGCAAGTGGCAGCAGCGGGGAGCGGGACCCCCTTCCCCCCCCCCCAAAGCCCGGGGCCCAGGGCGGTCACTATATATATTTCAGGTTAAAAAAGCCCACGTGGGTAATTCAGCTTCTTTTTCAGAAGTGACCTGGTCACCGCAAATGAAATCTCAACGAAAGTGGCGCATCACCATCATCATCGCGTGTACATTCATAAGCAGCTAGATAACCTAAATAATAACCTATAAAACAAAACCTAAATAACATAAATAACCTAAATAACAATCTGGATAACCTAAATAACAATCTAGATAACCTAAATAATAACCTAAATAACAATCTAAATAACAACCTAAATAACATAAATAATAACCTAAATAACAATCTAAAAAACAACCTAAAGTCACCGAAACAATCACACCAAGAGGCAGGAGTCGACATCACACCAAGAGGCAGGAGTCGACATCACACCAAGAGTCGACATCACACCAAGAGTCGACATCACACCAAGAGGCAGGAGTCGACATCACACCAAGAAGCAGGAATCGACATCACACCAAGAGGCAGGAATCGACATCACACCAAGAGGCAGGAGTCGACATCACACCAAGAGGCAGGAGTCGACATCACACCAAGAGGCAGGAGTCGACATCACACCAAGAGGCAGGAATCGACATCACACCAAGAGGCGGGAATCGACATCACACCAAGAGTCGACATCATACCAAGAAGCAGGAATCGACATCACACCAAGAGGCAGGAGTCGACATCTCACCAAGAGGCAGGAATCGACATCACACCAAGAAGCAGGAGTCGACATCACACCAAGAGGAGTCGACGTCACACCAAGAGGCAGGAATCGACATCACACCAAGAGGCAGGAGTCGACTTCACACCAAGAGTCGACATCATACCAAGAGGCAGGAATCGACATCACACCAAAAGGCAGGAATCGACATCACACCCATCCGTTGCAGGGTCTCCGGCGCTCAGCAGCGAGCAGCAGTTTATTTTAAGTTCATTTTAAGTGCTTCCTTTCCATTGGCCTAAACAAAAATCCGTGCAACGCGATCTCTCCCCACCCAACCACCCCTCCCACCCCCTCCCCAAGTGTTTTCCGGTCGTACAGCGCAAGATTGTCCGACGTTTCGACTCCGCGCCACCTTCAGAATTAATTTCCTGACATATACATTTACACACACATATATATACACACAATCGGAACCCTGAATCATCGCGACGTGTAACAGCAAATGAACATCAACAAGCTCCTGCCCGGTTGGGTTTACACTCCCGAAGAAGCTCCCGGCACGCGGAGCGAAACGTCGGACATCGTGCTCGGACGACGTGCGGAAACAAATGGAACATCCACACAGTAAGCAGCACGGTCAGAGCAGCTCTCCATGTACAAAACGATGTCCACACGGCCTGGTAAAGGGCTGTTTATAACTTTTTGTGGGTTAGATCGCGTAAATATGTCGTTAAACCCGCCACCACCCGACACAGCCAACTAGTAAGGGGTTGTCACGTAAACAGAACGTGGCCAATTCGTCACTAGTACAGCACACCGGTGTGTTGGAGAGACTGGCCACAACATTTACAATCTGAAGAGAACCACGTTTTGCAGATGTAGATGCCACTGGTTCTTTACAATCTGAAGAGAACCAGTGGCATCTACATCTGCAGAACGTGAAGAACCAGTGGCATTTACATCTGCATAACGTGAAAAACCAGTGTCATCTACATCTGCAGAACGTGAAGAACCAGTGGCATCTACATCTGCAGAACGTGAAGAACCAGTGGCACCTACATCTGCATAACGTGAAAAACCAGTGTCATCTACATCTGCAGAACGTGAAGAACCAGTGGCATCTACATCTGCAGAACGTGAAGAACCAGTGGCACCTACATCTGCATAACGTGAAGAACCAGTGGCATCTACATCTGCAGAACGTGAAGAACCAGTGGCATCTACATCTACAGAACGTGAAGAACCAGTGGCATCTACATCTGCAGAACGTGAAGAACCGGTGGCATCTACATCTGCAAAACGTGAAGAACCAGTGCCATCTACATCTGTAGACGTGAAGAACCAGTGGAATCTACATCTGCAGAACGTGAAGAACCAGTAGCATCTACATCTGCAGAACGTGAAGAACCAGTGGCATCTACATCTGCAGAACGTGAAGAACCAGTGGCATCTACATCTGCAGAACGTGAAGAACCAGTGGCATCTACATCTGCAGAACGTGAAGAACCAGTGGCATCTACATCTGTAGACGTGAAGAACCAGTGGAATCTACATCTGCAGAACGTGAAGAACCAGTGGCATCTACATCTGCAGAACGTGAAGAACCAGTTGCATCTACATCTACAGAACGTGAAGAACCAGTGGCATCTAAATCTGCAGAACGTGAAGAACCAGTGGCATCTATATCTGCATAACGTGAAGAACCAGTGGCATCTACATCTGCAGAACGTGAAGAACCAGTGGCATCTACATCTGCATAACGTGAAGAACCAGTGGCATCTACATCTGCAGAACGTGAAGAACCAGTGGCATCTACATCTGCAGAACGTGAAGAACCAGTGGCATCTACATCTGTAGACGTGAAGAACCAGTGGAATCTACATCTGCAGAACGTGAAGAACCAGTGGCATCTACATCTGCATAACGTGAAGAACCAGCGGCATCTACATCTGCATAACGTGAAGAACCAGTGGCATCTACATCTGCAGAACATGAATAACCAGTGGCATCTACATCTGCAGAACGTGAAGAACCAGTGGCATCTACATCTGCAGAACGTGAAGAACCAGTGGCATCTACATCTGCAGAACGTGAAGAACCAGTGGCATTACATCTGCAGAACGTGAAGAACCAGTGGCATCTACATCGGCAGAACGTGAAGAACCAGTGGCATCTACATCTACAGAACGTGAAGAACCAGTGGCATCTACATCTGCATAACGTGAAGAACCAGTGGCATCTACATCTGCAGAACGTGAAGAACCAGTGGCATCTACATCTGCATAACGTGAAGAACCAGTGGCATCTACATCGGCAGAACGTGAAGAACCAGTGGCATCTACATCTGCATAACGTGAAGAACCAGCGGCATCTACATCTGCAGAACGTGAAGAACCAGTGGCATCTACATCTGCAGAACGTGAAGAACCAGTGGCATCTACATCTGCAGAACGTGAAGAACCAGCGGCATCTACATCTGCAGAACGTGAAGAACTAGTGGCATGTACATCTGTAGACGTGAAGAACCAGTGGCATCTACATCTGCAGAACGTGAAGAACCAGCGGCATCTACATCTGCAGAACGTGAAGAACCAGTGGCATCTACATCTGCAGAACGTGAAGAACCAGTGGCATCTACATCTGCAGAACATGAAGAACCAGTGGCATCTACATCTACAGAACGTGAAGAACCAGTGGCATCTACATCTGCAGAACGTGAAGAACCAGTGGCATCTACATCTGCAGAACGTGAAGAACCAGTGGCATCTACATCTGCAGAACGTGAAGAACCAGTGGCATCTACATCTACAGAACGTGAAGAACCAGTGGCATCTACATCTGCATAACGTGAAGAACCAGTGGCATCTACATCTGCAGAACGTGAAGAACCAGTGGCATCTACATCTGCATAACGTGAAGAACCAGTGGCATCTACATCGGCAGAACGTGAAGAACCAGTGGCATCTACATCTGCATAACGTGAAGAACCAGCGGCATCTACATCTGCAGAACGTGAAGAACCAGTGGCATCTACATCTGCAGAACGTAAAGAACCAGTGGCATCTACATCTGCAGAACGTGAAGAACCAGCGGCATCTACATCTGCAGAACGTGAAGAACTAGTGGCATGTACATCTGTAGACGTGAAGAACCAGTGGCATCTACATCTGCAGAACGTGAAGAACCAGCGGCATCTACATCTGCAGAACGTGAAGAACCAGTGGCATCTACATCTGCAGAACATGAAGAACCAGTGGCATCTACATCTACAGAACGTGAAGAACCAGTGGCATCTACATCTGCAGAACGTGAAGAACCAGTGGCATCTACATCTGCAGAACGTGAAGAACCAGTGGCATCTACATCTGCAGAACGTGAAGAACCAGTGGCATCTACATCTGCAGAACGTGAAGAACCAGTGGCATCTACATCTGCAGAACGTGAAGAACCAGTGGCATCTACATCTGGAGAACATGAAGAACCAGTGGCATCTACATCTACAGAACGTGAAGAACCAGTGGCATCTACATCTGTAGAACGTGAAATGCGCTGTTTGAACGGCGAACGGCGACTGGGCACCGCCGTTAAAAGTTACCGGCGAATGGGGCAGGGTGGGATGGGTCAGATTTGTCCGTAATTGGGGGTTGGGGCTGGCACATCAATTGGTTTGCATGGAAAACGGTGCAGCAACAGCAACTATTGGCGGTGACAATTGCCAGCAACGATTGCCAACAACAACAACGCCATCCGGGGGGGGAGGGGGTTGAATTGCTCAGGTGTATAATGCCACTCAATTCCCAACAACAGCATCCTTCAACTTTTTAGTCCCTTCAATTTCCTGAGACTTTAGTAAATAAGTGCATGAATTCATACAGCCGGGTGGGGGGGGGGGGGGGGCTGCTTAACTTCTCAACATGTTTTGTTTCCGCGTCACTGGTGGAGCAGCAGTGGAGAGATGGCCTCGTGCCCGGTAGCCACAGCCCGGGCGAGTGGTATCGTGGATGTGGCGTGCAGGACGCAGCAACACTTAAGATGGTCCCTGGCAAACCGTGGAGTAGCTGGCAGGCGACTGGTAGCCAGCGGCCACACAGTGCGAGGCACACCGGGACGTGCTTGTGTGCGCGGGGGGGGCTGGACACGAAATCCCCGAGCGGAGCCCCGCACGCGAAAACCGAGCGGCGATGACCCGACGCCCGTCGCCCCCTCATAGCGCGAACGCTCCCGGCTGTTTTCGTAACCCAACCCAAGAAGGCCCGATGTACAACAACGATGTACAACAACGATGTACAACAACGATGTACAACAACGATGTACAACGCCACCTCCTCCGCGCGGAGGGTGACAACACCACGCCACCGATTTCCCTTCTCTCTCCCCCGCGGGATGGGGGGCACATCCGAGCCGGCACGGGTGGCTTGTTTTTTTTGTCTTCCCACCGGCCGGGCTGAGCCGAGCCAAAACTGCGGTACGGCCGCTGCCATCGCCAAGTGTCGGGGGGGGGGGGGGTGGGTGGAGCTAAACGACGCACCCAAAACAATTGTTATTGTTGTTACCAGGCGAGGCCCCACTGAGCTGCTCCGTCGCTCTTCTCCTCAGCAGCGACAGTGGCCATCGGCCAATGACGGCGGCTCAAGGAAGAGGCGGGGTGCCACCGGCGCCGTGGAAATTAAATCGCCAAACGGCTCGAAACGCGTGACGACGATTCTGAATGCGGAGGGTGGGGAGGGGGAGAAAAGGTGGACCCGGAGAAAAATCCACGTGACCACGGGGGGGGGGGGGGGGGGGGGGGGGGGGGAAGGAGAAGAGAGGAAAAACAATAACAATCTCGTGCCTCTCCTGGCTGGCTTGGGCACAGTCCTGGCACAGTTTCCGTTGTGCCAGTTGGTGGAGGGAAGGGAAAGAAGAGAAAAAAAAAAAAACCTACGATAATAAATTATTTATTCTTGTCGCCACCGCCGTCTTTGTGCCACCAGTCGGGCACGGACGTCTTCAGCTCGAGCGCGTGGCCGCCCTCGGCGCTCACGTGCAGCCGCTCGTTAGCGTGAGCCAATCGGACGAGAGCCAGACCCACGTCGCCGTCGTGGGTCCGCAGCTTCCCCACGGACTTCCCGTCCGCGGTCGTGACGGCCGCCCCCTCTACGACTCTCGTGCCCTGTTGACGGGACGGAAGGGGTGGTGGGTGGGTGGGGGGGGGGGTGGGGGGGTGTGCGGGGATAGATTAAGCGAGCAAATTAAAATCGCGCCACACGCTATGCCCTACGTAACGCTGAGCTTTTCTGTTTTCGGGCCTTTGGGCCCTGTACTCATCAATTGCGATAAAGCAACGAATGTTACACAACTGTAAGCGATGACAACATCCGTAGACAGTGCCGATTGTTGCTGGCTGCCTCGCGTTTTTGTGCCCGATGGGGCCCTGTACTCATCAATTGCTATAAAGCAACAAATATTACGCAACTGTAAGCAATTACACCATCCGTAGACAGTGCCGATTGTTGCTGGCTGCCTCGCGTTTTTGTGCCTTTTGGGGCCCTGCACTCATCAATTGCTATAAAGCAACAAATATTACACAACTGTAAGCGATGACAACATCCGTAGACAGTGCCGATTGTTGCTTGCTGCCTGCCGTTTTCGGGCCACTTGGGGCCCTGCACTCGTGGATTGACGCGAATATTACCCGACCGTAAGCGATTCCACACGCCCTGCGTAACAAACGGCCGTGGCCCCACAGCTCACCTCCGGCAGGTGCAGCAGAGACACGGGCATGAGGCGCTTGCGGATGACGCCTGTGTGGTGCGTGCGCGCCGTCAGCTCCTGGCCCAGGTAGCAGCCCTTGCTGAAGCTCACGCCGTTGGCGTAGACCAGGTTCGACTCCAGCGGCAGGGCCACTCCCGGGGGGAGGTCCTTCACGCCCTCGGCCATGCCTGGAAGCGGGCGACGGAGCAGAGGCCGGCCGATTGGACGACGCCACAACCGAAAATCGCCGTCGGCGCCTGAGCGGAGAGTTGCGGGCAACTTGGTTGCCGAGGCGTGTCCTCGAGGTTTCCCCCCCCCCCCCCCCCCCCCCCCCCCCCCTTTCCCCCCCCCCCCCCCACCTTCACTGGAACAAATTTCCCCCTCCACATTAAGCGGTCACCTTGGGACTTTAGTGGAAGGCGAAGTGCAAATAAATGTAAATTATTATTATTATTGCCACCTTCGCTCACGAGTTTCCGCACCTCACTCAAGACTCATCGTTACCCCGAGCTCACCCCCCACGACTCCCCACAGTCTCCCCCTCAAAACCACCACCACCACCACCATTCCTGTTCCCTCTTCATATTCACATGACACGGCTATCACTCCTTCACCGCCATTCAATCATCGTCATTTACCGTCATCAATTTCCTCTACTACCGATGCCACGGCATCATCACAGATTCGGCCCCCCATCGCTTCCTCCCTCTCATCTCTTCCCTTCACCTCGTCCCCACCGCCACATTCACACGCGCCTTGTGCCGTTGTTAATTCTCCGTTAACGCACCTTGGTTAAGGTGCTGCCCAAGTTCCGTTTCAGTTAAGACAGAACGGGCAGAATGAAAAGGGCATATCGCAGGACGTGGCTTTCACTCCCGCAAGTTTCCGCGTTGGCTCCCCCCGTGCCCGTTCCCGTTCCGTTGCAACGTGCACCGCCGCCGACATTTTCCGCGGCCGATGTCGGCACGCGAAAAACGAGGATCGATGGACCGACTTGACGGGCGGCTGTCCGCGGTATCTCACAGTCTCACGCGCCCGCAAGCCAACAGCGAGGAAAGGGGCTTCTTGCGCAATCCCGTCGTTGCGTTGGGTCGAAGGCAACCGATGGAGCGGCACTCCAAGCGACACGGATTGGCTTTGGAGCTGGGATCGAAGCCGAATCTGGACACTGGGCAAATGCAGTGGCAAGATTTCTCACTGCAGGCGAGTCAGCAAAAGAGCGGGGCTGGCTCAAGGGGCGGTTGGGTGTGCCCCGGTTCATCGGTTTTATTTAAAACTTCCCCCCCATTATTTCGATGAAGACCAAATCCACCCAATTTATAGCTTTCTTTGATGTTTAAGTGCTCAGATATAGATATTTTTAAACAGCCAATTACACGTAACATCAAAGTATAAAGTGCCAGTAGAAGCCGATGGACTGAGACCAGCACAACCCGGTTTAACCTCACAGGTTGCCGAAACCCAGACAGAACCCCAGCCGTGCCAGATCAGCGCTCTCACCTCCGAGCCAAGAGGCGTGAGCTCAAAGGCGGCGGTCAACGCAACGCGCGGTGCTTTCTGCGGCCGTCTGGAACGCTCTTCCCTTCCGATATTAGGAAGCCACTGGGAGCTGCGCACTTTTAAATCATCATCGTCTAAATTGACAAACTCATTTCTTTCCAACAACTTTTTGCATTTATTTTGTTGTCCTTCCCCCCGCACCTGTGATTAGCGCGGTTCTCTACGTACGGTACGAAAGAAGTTCAACATAAATATAAGTATGGGTCTCTATGGGTCTCTGTGGGTTTCTGTGGGTCTCTATTGGTCTATACGAGTCTCTAGATCTCTGTGGGTCTCTATGGGTCTATATGAGTCTCTAGATCTCTGTGGGTCTCTATGGGTCTATATCAGTCTCTGGGTCTCTGTGGGTCTCTATTGGTCTATGAGTCTCTAGATCTCTGTGGGTCTCTATGAGTCTCTAGATCTCTATGGGTCTATACGAGTCTCTAGATCTCTGTGGGTCTCTATGAGTCTCTAGATCTCTATGGGTCTCTGTGGGTCTCTTCTAATATTAGGAAGTTGCTGGGGCTATGCACTTTTAAATCTCGATGTAAAAACTCAATCCTTCAGAACTTTTTTTGTGTGTTTAGTTTGTTGCCCTTCCCCCGCACCTCCGATTACTCCGGTCAGCTACGTATGGTGCGAAAGAAGTTCAACACACATACATACATACATGCATCATCATCACCACAACTTAATATTTACACGCGACTCCATCCCGAGTGGCCCTACACCAGGGGCCACCTGGTGCCAGCTGTCCCTGTGTGGCACAAGGCGGACACAGCACACCGGGGGCATCAGTCTGCCAGCGGCGGGCGGGCGGGCGGGCGGGCGGGCGGGCGGGGGGGGATTGACGTTGCTACGTCAGAAGCTCACCCAACCGGTAGCGATGCTTGTTGTAATCCGCCAGCTCTCCAATCTCGCAGTCAGGAAGCCACTCTGCGGGCGTGCACGCAGAGTCCAGCACCAGCCTCCAGCCCATGGCTTCCGTCCTGGGGTCTCGGCACGCCGCCACCACCCTCGACCCGTCCACCTTCAACGTGACCCCCAGGTGCGGCGGTAGAAGAAGCTGCCCATCGGGCGGCAGGATTGCCCAGACGTGCAGCGGCGGGTCGGGGTCGCGCACGGCGACCTTCCGCCGAATCTTGTAGACCTTCAGGTGCTTCTGCAGCTCCTGGGTGATGCTCGAGTCGCACTCTATGAGAATGCTGGGGTCGGGCTGAGTGGCCACCTGTATCCTGAGAAAGGTGGGGAGGGGGGTGGCAGTGATGGTGAAAGGTCCACGGTTTGCCGGCGAACTTTTCGCAATCAACTAATTTTGAATGACAGTTATCACCGTGCTCTTTGGTTCTATTCGGTAAAGTCACGTAGGTAAAAAATAAAACAACAAAAATCACGACGTTTCGGCCACAACACAAGCGGCCTTCATCAGGTGAAGGGATCAGGCTGTCTCGAGGACGAATCGTCGTGATTTTTGTTGTTTTATTTTTTATCTACGTGACTTTACCGAATAGAACCAAAGAGTATGGATCCTTGCAGTCACGAAAGCTTTAAATCTATAAGTTATCACCGTGACCATCGATTATTTCCCTTCATCATCATCACTTGTTCAGATTATGAATTCAATGGTGGTCAAACGTTCTTAAAAGTTGTTGACGATGATGTTCAGAATCAGAACATTTGTTTCTACTGGAGAAATCTGAAGAGCTATAAAGCCCTTTTCTCACAGATGTCCAGCAGCGGCACGGGGTAAGAACGTTACAACAACAAGCAGTACAACAAAAACACGATAGGAATGCAAAGTACCAGAAAGGTAAACAAATCATCTAAACGCATACAGATACAACACTAAACCATTCTCATCCTACCGGGGCATTCAGGGAGCGAATAACAATGACAAAATAACGTAGTCCGATGCTCTCGAGAGATATCGATGATGACCATTACGATCGGCAGCCATTCGGAGTGAAAGATGTTTAAAGAATATTTTGTTTAACCGGTTGAGCACACGGAGACACCCAGGATGAGTAGAATTTGCAAGAGCCATCTGAGTGGGACACGAGTTTTCCTGTAGGGTGCAATGATTTTTCCGTTCTCTCTCTCTTCTCTCCACCCCCCCCCCCCTTCATTGGAACAAACTTCCCCGTCCATATTAAGCGGTCACCTTGAGACATTAGTGTTGGGCGAATTACAAATAAATGGAAATTATTATTAAAACCTTCGCTCACGAGTATCGACTCCGCAATCAAGACTCATCGTTACCCCAAGCTCACCCCCACGACCGCTGTCCCCCCTCATAACCACCACCACCACCGTTCCCGTTCCCTCTTCATATTCACATGACACAGCTATCACTCATTCACCCCCATTCATTCAATCCGTTCATCGTCAATTACCGTCATCAATTTCGCTTCCACCGATGCCACGGCATCACAGATTCGCCCCCATCGCTTCCTCCCTCTCATCTATTTCGTTCACATCGTCTCCACCGCTGCGTTCACCTTTGTAAATTCCGTTAAGGCGTATGCTGTGGATCCAATTGTGTAATTTGCGGTGTCAATATTTTTATTTTTTTCCTCTCTCTCTTCTTAAGTTTGACACCGGTACACAATGGCCCTAACCTTTCAGATTACAGGCGGCGCATAGCATCATCCTTTATTATTATGAAGATTATTACACCTGCAAGTATTAATGCAGGGGCGGACGCTGGTGTCGAACCGTGAACTTTTGCAACACGTGGGGGGAATGCGCGCCACCTCCATAGGCCGCGTCGCCGTTCACGAGAGGCAGGTGGAGAGTAACGGGCGGCGTTGTACGCTTCGATGTATTTCAAAGTTGTTGTTGTCATTGTGGTAGTCAAAATGTTGAGTGGAGGATGATGGTAGTCGGTTATCCATGAGAGTTCATTGTACACTATGTTGAACTTCTTTCGCACCGTACGTAGCCTACCGGGGAAGGCCAACAAACTGAGGTCTCTGTGTTAAGCTATGGGTCTGTGTAAGTCAATGGGTCTCTGCACGAGTCTATGGGGTTCTGTGTTAGCCTATGGGTCTGTGTGAGTCTATGGGTCGTTGTGCGAGTCTACGGGTCTCTGTGTGAGTCTATGGGTCTCTGTGCGAGTCTGTGTCTCTGTGTGAGTCTATGGGTCTCTGTGCGAGTCTATGGGTCTCTGTGTGAGTCTGTGTGTCTCTGTGCGAGTATATGGGTCTCTGTGCGAGTCTATGGGTCTCTGTGCGAGTCTATGGGTCTCTGTGTTAGTCTGTGGGTCTCTGTGTGAGTCTGTGGGTCTTTGTGCGAGTCTACGGGTCTCTGTGTGAGTCTATGTGTCTCTGTGCGAGTCTATGGGTCTCTGTGTTAGCCTATGGGTCTATGTGCGAGTCTATGGGTCTCTGTGCGAGTCTATGGGTCTCTGTGCGAGTCTATGGGTCTCTGTGTGAGTCTATGGGTCTCTGTGCGAGTCTATGGGTCTCTGTGCGAGTCTATGGGTCTCTGTGCGAGTCTATGGGTCTCTGTGCGAGTCTATGGGTCTCTGTGCGAGTCTATGGGTCTCTGTGTGAGTCTATGGGTCTCTGTGTTAGTCTATGTACTGTACGTTGGACTTCTTTCGCACCGTACGTAGCCAAAACGTGCAAGTCGGAGGTGCGGGGCAAGGACCACCACAACGCCGCTCGACTATTCACAAAGCGACGAATGATGCAGATGAGCGTGAACCCGAAGCCACTCACCGGTAGAACAACGCGTCGTACATAACCCGTCCCTGCACGTTCAAGAAGTGTCCATAAACACCGCCACAACCACCATCACCACCACCAGCATCACCACCACCACCTCCTTCTACATCACCACCGCCACCACTCTCCATGAACGGGGCCATGTCGCCAGTCGTCAACCCCTGCAGAAAGCTCGCCGAGTCTTTCCCGTCCACCCTCACGACCTCGCGCTGCGGCAGCCGAAAGCAGCGAAGGGCCTCTTCACGCGGTCCCCGCCGAGGCGCGGTCCCCGCCGCCCTGCACTCCCCGGCCGCCCAGGGCGCGCCGTGACCCCGCAAAGCCGCCAGGCAAGAGGGTAGGCTGCGCGGACCCCGAGTGCGGCCTACTCGGGTGACGCTCAGCGCCACGGGACTGAGCCAATACATGGCTCGTGATAGACGTGCTGATGCTGCTGCTGTTGTTCGTCGTTGTTGTCGTCGCGTTGCTTGATAAACAGCTGGCACTTAAAGCGGCGGAATGTTCGTCGCGCAGAGCGGGCGGTCAAGTTCAGGGCTGAGGGTTAAAGACGCTCGCGGCATTGCGAATGCCGGGTCGAGACTTCAGCGAGCTCCACATGCCAGGGTCTGGAGGGAAATCCTCTCGTTTCATTTAACTATGCATGCCAGATATGGAGGGAAATCCTCTAGTTTCATGACAACTATGAATGTCAGAACTGGAGGGAAATCTTGATTTAAAGATTTCGTGACTGCAGGGATTCATATTCTTGGTTCTTTCGGTAAAGTCACGTAGAAGGGAAACAATAAAATAATAAAAATATAAAACAATACAATTCTCACGACGTTTCGACTGCAACACAAGCAATCATCATCAGGTGTGAAAACCACAGCAAGAACATTTGAAAGAACCAAGAATATGGAGGGAAATCCTCTAAATTTCGATTTAAAGCTTTCGTGACTGCAGGGATTCATATTCTTGGTTCTTTCGGTAAAGTCACGTTGATATTCGTTCATGAGGCTATCCACATATACAAACACGGAGACAATTTCAACCGAGAAGATGGATTCTGGCTTACCAATCTATCTCCCCCCTCTTGACCAGAGCCAGTGAACTCAAGCACGTACACCAAGCTCTTAAGGCTAATGGTTACTCCGACTACACAATCCGCAAAGCTATCACTCCAACCATGAAGGACCCTCTTGAGGAGCCTTTCAAAACTATCACTTTACCATACATTGCGGGGATCACAAAAACATATCTCCAAAATCTTGAATAAACACAAGATCCAGGTCCAATTCAACACAGTACATAAAATCCGTGATCTGGTTCCATGTTTAAAAGATGTGATTCCGGACATACAGTACCCTGGCGTCTACAAACTAAGTTGCCTCTGTGGTAGTAGTTACATTGGAGAAACCAAACGACATGTTTCGGACCGCATTCGTGAACACAAAGCAGACCTAAAACACGGTAGGACCAACACCTCGGCCGTGGCAGATCACTGTTATAATTCAGTAGGCTCACATGACATTCACTTCTCCAAGACAGAGGTTCTTTGCAAGCCATCTGGCTACCATGAGAGATTCGTTCATGAGGCTATCCACATATACAAGCACAGAGACAATTTCAACCGAGATGGATTCTGGTTTAGCAATCATTGGAAGGATTTGATAACCCATTTCTGGTCTTGATTGTTCACGCTTACGGTGGCTTTCAGACCGCATCCATTATTTTCCTCTCCGCCCTCCTCTTTTCCGAACATAGATGGACTTGTCCATCTGAAAAACTGCCAAATCGCTCTCCGCGGTGCTAACGTTAAAAAAAAACCGCAACTTTTTTCAAATTTTCTTGCTGTGGTTTTCACACCTAATGATGATTGCTTGTGTTGCAGTCGAAACGTCGTGAGAATTTTATTGTTTTATATTTTTATTCTTTTATTGTTTCCCTTCTACGTGACTTTACCGAAAGAACCAAGAATATGAATCCATGCAGTCAGGAAAGCTTTGAATCTAAATTTTAACAGTCTTGTTAATTTCAATTTGTGAATTTAACAGACTTGTGAATTTGTGAATTTCAACTTGTGAATTTAACAGACTTGGCATCCAGACCGCGAGCCAATAACACAGTGAGCTGTCAGCAAACTTATTGCAAAGTTTCGGGAAACGGAATCCGTGCAAGGCAGACCGCGCAGCGAACCTTCGCGGAGTTGTGTATCAGCAACAACGGTGGACACATTGAGCACGTTCTGTGAATAACGGCGTTGTATTATTTTTCCTACGATTCCAGACTTATGGGACACACCCTGTCGGCATTGCAGAGCAACGATCCGGGGCGTGCCCAGAATGTTTCGGCGGTCCACAACACTGCGGTAGAATCGGTTTGCAAGGTCGGATAATCCGTATGAAAAAATAATTAGGTGTTTTACTCTTTCTGGCAATACAAACAGTTGTGTTAAGATGTTCAGACACCAAATAGAAACATTTTTTGCAAGGAATCAAGTAACTGCATTAACCGCACGTACTTGTGGTGAACATGCAAACATGCTCTGATGATATACGCATCGTCTTTAAAACTGATTGGCCTACACCAGAGACAGCCTTCTTTAGGGCCTAGTCTCAACCAGTGTCAGACCAGAGAATAACGCCACAAGGCGACCAGTGCAAAGGCAATGCCACACGTGTCACAGCATTCATAGCTCGGGGTGAGCAGCTACAAAATGGGCCCCACAAGCACCGTGTGTGGTTAATGCAGACTTTGATTTCTTGCAAAAGGGTTTCAATTTGGTGTTTGAACATCTTACTGCCCCGTGTTTTATTGCCAGAAAGGGTAAAAAAAACCTATACTCATTTTCACACACTCGGACATGCGATGGATATTGGCAGCCCCACCACTATAACGTCAAGCTGGACAGTTGCGAGTTCTTTACACGTCTGCTGCGAATCCGATGAGAATGTTGTGAAGGTGAATAGAAAATGCAACGCAAGGCACGCGCCTTGCGCCACGGTGATGGGAATAAGCAGATAAGAAAAGCCGCGCCGCTATTGTTGGCCGAGTGATGGTCAATGTGGTGAGAGCGACGTCGAAATTTCGAGTTGACGTCTACATTTTTCATTAATTTGTACCATAATAAACTCGAGAGCTAAAACGGCTACTTAAGAAGAGGAAAAAACACCCCATGCAGCTATTTCAAGGGACATTACTAACACTGGGGCAATTCGAGGGAAAGCATTCAATCGTTGACCGGTGGTGTCGACGGTGTGCATCCGAGTCAAGTTGTGGGGCAGTCGTCTTCATTGCAAGGCCCTGTGGGCCCACTGACGTGCACTTGAGGAGCTCTGGTGGCAAGGTGGCCTTACAGGTCGGTTGGTCTCAGAGCTTCTAAGGCCCCACATCGCCTACTTTTAAATCAAGGCTTCAAGGCCTCCTTCTATAATCTAACTTTTCGAGTTGTGTTCCCGGCATCGTACGATTATTTTTTTTTACCGTTGTATTACTTGATTTGCTTCTTTTTTTCCCCGTTATTTGTATAACATTCCAAGTATTTCATGAAAAATGCATCTTTGTTCAATGTTTGTCTTTTACCATAGCTTGCGTGAAAGCGCCTTGAAACACTGCGGCATGAAAGATGCTCGATAAATAAAACGTTTATTTTCAACATCATCGGCAGGTTCTGTAATTACATTTCCCCCGTAACCTGCGACCGGCACGGTTGGTGGCTACGCACGGCGCGCACGCCAAAGAAGTTCAACACACAAAGCGGCGCGCCACCGGTTCGCTCGCGACGGCAAAACCCCCGGTTGGTTTACAAAACCCCCCACCCCAAGCCGCCGCCGTCGACGACGAAAGCGAACGATCACGATGGGAGAGCGGCCTCGGCGGCCTCGCCGGCCGCGGCCCCCAGCCTCCGGAACAGCTTGGGCGCCGCCTCCACCAGCCACGCCGCGTCGACGGCGCTCACCCCCCGCACGTAGCAGCGCGAGGTGCGCACCAGCGCGGTGTACACCACGTGCGACGGCTGGCGGCGGAACAGCGCCGACTCGGGGTGCACGTGAACGCTCGTGGGGTTGTTGTCGCCCGAGTTGCCGCCGCCGCCGCCGCCGCCGCCGTAGTTTGCCGGCCGTTTGTGGCCGCGGCCGCCGTCGGCCCCGCCGGAGGCTGCCGGGGCTCGGAGCGGAACGAGCAGGGTGTAGGACCGCCCGTCGGCGCTCAGCTCGGCCGCCTGCGTGTACAGACCCCGCGCCAGGCAGCGGCGGACGCGTGCCGTGTCGTGCCGCGCCGACTCCACCCGCAGGCCCGACTGGACGAAGGCAAAGATCCCCAACACCCCATGTAGAGCATCGACAAGAATGCTGCTGTTGTTGGGGGCAAGCGCCGTTAGCAAGTGGCACGCGGTGAAGGCCGCACCTCCGATTAGCACGGTTGGCTACGTGCGGTGAGAAAGGAGTTCAACTTACACACATACACACTTACACACACACATACACACACATACATACACACACACACACAAAAAGGCAAAGATAAAGATCCCCCATATAGCCTTAACAGACTGTAGGGGCAAGTGCTGTTAGCGAGCACCTATGAAGGCCGGAACGGTACACGAGGGGGTGGGTGGCCAGCACCACGCCCGACCGCCTTTGTCTCCCTAGTAGCAATGTTTACACACCGTGCCAGGTACTCATTTGAGGCTGAGTCGACCTAGGGGAGGCCCGGGACCGGTTCAGATAATCATCACTGGTGTTGGCCGTGAGCGGGAATCGAACCCGGGTCGCCAGGTTCATAGCGCAGCGCGCAAACCGCTACACTATCGCACATACACACACACACTTACACACACACATACACACACACACACTTACACACATACATACACACACACTTACACACATACATACATACACACACACTTACACACACACATACACACACACACACTTACACACACACATACACACACACTTACACACACACTTACACACACACACTTACACACATACATACACACACACATATGTAAAGATAGGGGCGCAGCAGCGGCATGATGTTAACTACCTCGCCTGGTATACAGGAGGTCGTGGGTTCGATCCTGACCCTAACGCCTGTTGTATATTTGGAGTTTGCGTGTCTCTCTCTCCCCGTGGTTGCGTGGACTTTTCTCCAGGTCCTCTGTTCCCCCCCCCCCACATTTAGACTCAATGTGCGTTTGGAGTATTTGGCTGCGATCAACTTCCACATGTTGATAAGCCACTTCTTTGTGCTATATTCTGTGGCCAGGTTGCTTCTGAAAAAGAGCTATAGAGCTAAGGTAGCCTTAAACCCGGTAAAATAAAAAAATAATAGTTTAGTTTTAGAGTTTAGCTTATAGTGCCTCGGACCTGTCTACGGACAAAACGCTGAATGAACTAAACAGTACAGCCATCAGTGTTTATCAACCCGTAAGCTGGTGTCCTGTTTTGATTGGTTTTCTCACCATCTACAGAGAGATGGATTTGAATGTGGTGGTGGTGGTGCCTACCTTAAGGCAGATTTCTCGGAGCTGTTCCCGGATCTTCACGGCCGTGAGCATGTTGCGGTGGTTAATGAAGTTCTCCTGACACCACTCCTGTCACGCGCGGAAGGAAAGACAAAGATCCCCCGTAAGGCCTTCATTAGACTGTTGGGGGTTGTGGGGGAGTCAAGTGCTGTTAGCGAGTATCACCTAGGGAGGCCTGCGCAGCACGCAAGGAGACGGGGCAGCCAGCACCACGCTCAGCCGTCATCGGCTCCCGAGCGGCGATGATTACACGATGCGCCAGGTATTCATTTGAGGCCGAGTCGATCCAGGGGAGGAACCAGGAACCGGTTCATATAATTATCGCTGGCGGTGCTCGACATGAGCGGCAATCGAACTGGGGTCGGCGGGTTCGTAGACCGGCTCAGCTCGGCTCCTGCAGTGGAAAAAGAACCTGGCTCGGCACGGCCCCGGTGCAGTTCTAACGCTAAAACTAAACTATTTTTTTTTATTTATTGTACCAGGTTAAGGTCCCACAGAAGCGATCTGGCTATTACAAATGATAGCTCAACGAAGTGGGATCATCATCACGTTGGCATTTATAGCAGCCAAATACCCGAAACGCGTGATGTTGCAGAGGGAAAACCGGAGGACCCACAGAAAAATCCACGGGGCCACGGGGAGAGGGACACACGCAAACTCCAAATATACAGCAGCAGGCGTCAGAGTTCGGTATCGAACCCACGACCGGGAAAGTGTAAAAGCCCCTTCGGAGTGGTTAGGGGGTGGCGGCGGCGGGGAGGGGGTTGAGCGAGCGGGGGGGGGGGGGGGGGGGGGTAGGCGGGGTTGCCTTGTTGCCGTTGACGGCACGGAAGGCGCGGTAGATGTTGACGAGCGAGACGTGGTCTCCCTCGGGCGACGTGAAGCGGTTTCGGGCGCTCTGCGCCGCGTCCCGGCGCTCGGTGCTCGGCGACACGAACACCGAGTCAACGCTCAGCATGGACATGATGGTGAGCACCTCCTCCGTGCAGCCCAGCGCCTGGGACTCCAGCATCGTCTGGGCGGAGGAGAGGGAGGTGGAGGAGGAGAGGGGGGCGGAGGAGAGGGGGGGCGGAGGAGAGGGGGGGCGGAGGAGAGGGTGGCGGAGGAGAGGGGGAGCGGAGGAGAGGGGGGCGGAGGAGAGGGGGGCGGAGGAGAGGGGGGCGGAGGAGAGGGTTACTCAACTAAACTATTTTTATTTTTACCAGGTGAAGACCCATTGATCTATAGAGCTCTTTTTCAGAGGCGACCTACCTGGCGATCGTAAATCAGAAACGTAAATGTTTACTTACACCGGAGGAATCCGATGAGCGATTAAGCTCTTTTTGACAGATGTCCAGTAGCTTCAGAGATGTCCAGCAGTGATAGCTCAACGAAGTGGCTTATCATCATCATCACGTGGAAATGTATAGGAGCTAAATGCCCTAAACGCGTGATGTTAATTTGAAAATGTAGAGGGAAAAACCGGAGGACCCGGAGAAAAAAATCCACGCAACTCATGAACTCCTGCATACCAGGCGAAATAGTTAACATCATCTGTATGAGGAACTTCTTTCGCACCGCACGTAGCCGACCGTGCTAATCAGAGGTGCGTCACTCTACGTTACCGCGTCCCTCCGCGTTACTTTATCGCTCCGGGTGCTGGATCACACCGCTCAGCCGCACAGAAGCTCATCACGAAGGTGAATTTGACAGCATCAGAATCAGAATGTTTATTCATCCTGGAGGTATCCAATGAGCTCATGAGGCTCTTTTTCACAGATGTCAACCCCACCTCCCCGCCCCGCATCTCTCCTTAGGCCCCCCGTGAGCCACTATCGGCACCCGGGGGGGGGGGGGGGGGAGCCCGCACACGGTACCTTGGCTAGAGGGGGGTCGAGAGGGAAAGAGGCCATCTGGCGGCCGAGTCGCGTCAGGGTGGCCTGGCCCTCCGACCTCTCCACAGCTCCCAGCAGCTCCAGCTGTGACAGGCCGCTCTGCACTGCCTCTGCAGGACAAGGGCCGGACATGTCGCTTAGCCCTTCGCCGTTCCGAGACATCTGGTTGGGTGTCCCGTTCACGCCGCCGCCGCCGCCGCCGCATCTCGGAACGGGCAAGCGGCTCAGCATGAGGTTTATTTAGAGGGGCGTAGTGGCGCCCGTTGTATTTAAAGATGTCGTGTTCACCGCGGAGAACCGCCGCGCTCTACATTAGCCAACGGCAAAGTGTGCCACTCACCCTCCCCGCCATGGCCCTCTGGGAGCCTCGGCACCGATAAAAGTTATTTTGGTATTTCTCCCGGTTTCGTTTTGACGACGTACGTACACGTACAATTACGTCGTCCGAATGGAATCGGAAGAACGGCTGATGACGTGTGCACGCCCACGTACGTCGTCGGAAACGGGAAAGGGTTCAGATCACTGGGCGCAGCCCTGCGATTGCTTTGCTCACGCCACTGCCCGTGGATGTGCTTCCACAAGATCGAGGGGAGCCCTAGAGAGAGCCCCCTCTGAGCGGGGGTAGCATTTGGCCTCCTCTTCATCCATGCTCGCTCGACGTCTTGGAAGGGGGGTGGGAGTATCACATAATCGTCATAACATTTCGTCATTTGTTTTAACTTTTCCTCCATCTTGTGCCAATATGGCTCAAGTAGCGGCTGCATGTTTATGGCACCGATCTCTTTACGATGTCTTCGTCAAGCCATTCTCTGTTGAGTCTTCCAGGTGCCTTCCATTTTTCCCGAACAGCAATAATTTTAATTTTCCTCTCGTCATCCATCCGACATGCGTGTCCAAAGTAGTGCCAGTTTCCTTCTCATCACTACCCGCATCATCATCATCAGGTCGTCTCCTTCTACGTGCAACCTTTTTCTTACGTCTACTTATTTCACTCTTTGGGTCCAGCTTAGAGATGAAGCATCCTTCTGTAGCAGTAAATTGAGTATTACAGCCCGCCACTGAAAGTTCAACTAACAATACATTGATGGGTTTCTCTGAGTGCCCGGGACAGAACGGAGTTTAATAGTGTCCAATCGGAACGTGTCGGTGACCAACGTTGAAAGAAAATATATTTCTAAATCATAAACAGGAGAACCCGTCTTAACGACCACCCGTTAATGACTAATCGCCTAACAACGGGCCTCCATAGAGCCCAATGCGTAGTGTATAGTAGTGTAGTGTAAAGTAGTGTAGTGTATAGTAGTTGAGTGTATAGTAGTGTAGTGTATAGTAGTGTAGTGTATAGCCGTGCAGTGTATAGCCGTGTAGTGTATAGCCGTGTAGTGTATAGTGGTCTACTGTATAGCCGTGTAGTGTATAGTAGTGTAGTGTATAGTAGTGTAGTGTATAGCCGTGCAGTGTATAGCCGTGTAGTGTATAGCCGTGTAGTGTATAGTGGTGTACTGTATAGCCGTGTAGTGTATAGCCGTGTAGTGTATAGCAGCGTAGTGTATAGTAGCGTAGTGTATAGTAGTGTCGTGTATAGTAGTGTAGTGTATAGAGTGTAGTGTATAGTGTATTGTATAGTAGTGGTGTATAGTGTAGTGTATAGTGTAGTGTATAGAGTGTAGTGTATAGTAGTGTAGTGTATAGTGTAGTGAAAAGTAGTGTATAGTAGTGTAGTGTATAGTAGTGTAGTGTACAGTAGTGTAGTGTATAGTGTAGTGTACAGTAGTGTAGTGTAAAGTAGTGTAGTGTATAGTGTAGTGTATAGTAGTGGTGCCTCCATAGAGCCCAATGTGTTCGCTTACCGACCATTCCCCTGTTAACGAGGGGCTGTTGTAGGTGCAGTAAATATTATTTAATGCATCGATTAACCGTGTTTCTTTTAATAGTACGTGTTCATAATGCCGTTAGTATATTTTTATGTATCAATATCCATTGTTTAAATATTATAAAGTAAGTTTTTTGCGTGAAAAAGGGGTAACTTTCGATGCTACCGTAACGAATTAAGCCTTTTAACGTGCATTTCCTAAACTCGCTTAACGACCAAATCGCTTAACGCCCGATTTCGTGGAACCAATAAACATCGTTAAGAACGGGTTCTATCTACTATATATATTTTTTATAACAAAAATGGGACCGGCTACAGTAGTACTGCATGAAAATAATACGACAAAAACGATTGCGTACGAGGGGTTAGGGTAGCGAGGCGCAAGGAGACAACGCATTCGCTCATGTGCAAGTGTGGGCCACCATTTACCCGGACTGGGCTTGTCCATGAAGTCAAAGGAGGCGACGTCGGAAATTCCCAACGCCAAAAGGTGCAGCAGCACGCTGGTCAAGTTGCACCTACACAAAGAACAAAGATCCCCCGTGTAGCCTGTAACAGACTGTTGGGGCGAGTGCTGACAGCGAGTAGCACCTGTGAAGGCCGGCACGGCACACGATGGGGCGAGTGACCGGCGCCATGCATGGCGGCGATGTTTCCATACTGATGTAGAGGTGCAGCCAGGACCGGTTCAGATAATCGTCACCGGTGTTGGCCGCGAGCGGGAATCGAACCCGGGCCGCCGAGTTCGTAGCGCGGCGCGTTAACTGCTACGCCGCCGCTCCCCGCACACGCGCACACCACACACGTGCACACCACACACGTGCACACCACACACGTGCACACCACACGCGTACACTACACGCGCGCACCACACACGCGCACACCACACACGCGCACACCACACACGCGCACACCACACACGCGCACACCACACACGCGCACACCACACACGCGCACACCACACACGCGCACACCACACACGTGCACACCACACACGCGCACACCACACACGCGCGCACCACACACGCGCGCACCACACACGCGCACACCACACACCACACACGCGCACACCACACACGCGCACACCACACACGTCGTGCACACCACACAAGTGCACACCACACACGCGCACACCACACACGCGCACACCACACACGTGCACACCACACACGCGCACACCACACACGCGCACACCACACACGCGCACACCACACACGTCGTGCACACCACACACGTCGTGCACACCACACACGCGCACACCACACAAGTGCACACACCTCTGCAGCTCGGGGGTGGTGTTCTCCGCCAGGCTCTGGAAGTGCATCTCCGTGTAAAGCCTGAGGCAGCAGCCCGGGCCTTCTCGCCCGGACCTCCCCGCCCGCTGCCAGGCCTGTGCCTGGCTCACCTTCTGCAGGGCGAGCACCTCCATCCCCGTGCCTGGAACACGGCAGCAGTTCGGGTCGAGCGATCAAGGCCCCGAAACAGGAGGAGGATTTCTCTCCGCAACTCCGTGGCTGTCGCCTGACAATGCTGCTTGTCGTAATGACCGGCGAATCGTCACGGTACTCGAATTGTAAATGTCGTAGTGGATTTACTGTCCAACACGCAACCGGTGTGCTGTACTAGTAACGAAATTGGCACGTTCTGTTCACGTGACACACCTTACTTAATTGGCTGTGCAGGGTGTTGGCGGGTTTAACGACGCATTTATATTCACGCGATACAACCCAAAAACCTCGATTAACGGGGGGCGTCCGTCGCTTGTCCACAGAGGTTCGCCTTTCGAAATACAGCGGCCGCCCTGGTTATTACACCACGGTGGCGTGGTGTATTAACCATGAACGACCAAAAATAATTGGCATCGTCTGCTCCGTGGTGGATTATAAAAGAGCCTGTGATGTCATTTGCAAGAGTAGGCACATCGAATGTCGGTGTAACAGTCCGCGGCTTGAAGGTGCGCGTCATTTTTTTTTTACCAAACTATTTTAATTTTACCAGGTAAGGCCCACTGAGCTGTACAGCTTCTTTTTCAGAAGCGACCTGGCCTATCGCGAATAACAGCCCAACAAAAGTGGCTTACCATGTGTGAAGATGCACAACAGCCAAAGACTCTTAAACGCGCGACGTTGATTCTAAACGTGGAGGGGGGAAAAAAATAAAATAACCGGAGGATCCGAAATGCCGTCAACCGCCACGCCAACCGCTCACTGACCGGGGCTGAACATCTTGGCTTTAACGAGCCCGCAGTCGATGACCGTTCGAACGCCCGGGATGGTGATGGACGTCTCCGCAATGTTAGTCGCCAAAATCACTTTCCTCGTTCCCTTGTGATGGCAACACGCGCACGGTCACGGCAGGCCGCTGTCAACAACCCAAGCGTTGGGGTTAACGACGATCGGCTCTAGCCGGGCGGCGGCTATGCCAAACGTGGCCTGTGGCAAAGCGCCGTGGAGGCGTCTGCGAGGGGATGGACCGAAAGAACCAAAGAGTATGGATTCATGCAGTCACGAACGATTTAGATTTTACCAGATGAAGCCCGCTGAACGTGGCTTATCATGTGGAAATCGCAGCCAAATACTCGAAACGCACGTTTTAAAATGTGGGGGGGGGGGGAAAAACCAGAGGACTCGGAGAAAAATCCACGCGACCACGGGGAGAACACGCAAACTCCAAATATACAGCAGCAGGCGTCAGGGTCGGGATCGAACCCACGACCTCCTGTACACCAGGCGAGGTAGTCAACATCTCCTAGCCACCGTGATGATGATGATGAGAGAGACACGCAAACTCCAAACACACAGCAGGCGTCAGGGTCGGGATCGAACCCACGACCTCCTGTATACCAGGCGAGGTAGTTAACATCTCCTAGCCACCGTGATGATGATGATGAGAGAGAGAGAGAGACATCGCAAACTCCAAACACACAGCAGGCGTCGGGGGTCGGGATCGCACCCACGACCTCCTGTACACCAGGCGAGGTAGTCAACATCTCCTAGCCACCGTGATGATGATGATGAGAGAGAGACATCGCAAACTCCAAACATACAGCAGGCGTCAGGGTCGGGATCGAACCCACGACCTCCTGTACACCAGGCGAGGTAGTCAACATCTCCTAGCCACCGTGATGATGATGATGAGAGAGAGAGAGACATCGCAAACTCCAAACACACAGCAGGCGTCGGGGGTCGGGATCGCACCCACGACCTCCTGTACACCAGGCGAGGTAGTCAACATCTCCTAGCCACCGTGTCAGGGCAGAGCCGCAACCAGAGGGCTGAAAACACGGAAGGAATCCCCAGCTGCCTACCTCCCACCTGTACAACGCTTAAGGGGCAAATTCACGCGGCGAGAGATTCGCAGCGGGCCGAGATCCCCAGCGCACGTACTGGCGGCGCGCGGGCGAAGACGCGCTGCTGCTGCGCGTGCGGCAGCGCGGCGTACAGCGGCACGACGCACATGCGCGGGACGCTGGGCGGCAGCTGGCGCGACAGGTCCCTGCAGGCGCGGCCCATCGCCTCGATCTCCTCCTGGCCCGTGAGGAACGCCAGGATGTGGTGCTCGGCCTCCTGCTCCTGCCGCCGGCGGAGGAGGAGGTGGAACATCCGGGGGGTGGGGGGGGGGACATCGCACGGGAAGCGTTTTCGAGCGTGTAAAAAAAAAAAAAACGCCGTTGACAGTGCCCAGTGTTAAATAGAACGTGCACGGTAAAATGGCAGGGATTAAATTTTTTTTTTTTTTTTTTTTTTTTACGGAGCGTGCAATTGCCGTGCAAGTATCCGTGCTGTTTTTCTTCCTGTAATGTACATGTATATCCGTGCACAGTACGTCACGGTCACTTACTTTCCTCCGATGTGTTACGTCTGTCACGGAAACGGCGTGTGCTTTTTTTGATTGGTGAAACCCAACTTTAGAGCTTCTTAGTTCACACAGGGTACTTCAAAATAAACGGAGCCTAAACGTATCCGCGTCCGCGACGGCGCGTCCATTCCTCGTCATCATCGGCGTCAACCGTGATCTATACACTGCTGGATGGAAGGCATCCTCAAGCCACCGCCATCTCTCACGATCCTGCGATGCTAAAATGTTCCCGATTTTACCTGCTCCATCTCTGCCCCGAGCACATGTCCTCTCGACGTGTAATGCCCAAGCCCCCCACTTTTCTGGACACTTTGAAATGTTCATTTCATCTTGTTCTCAATTCTACGCATTTCCACTTTCTGCCTCTCAATGCAAATCCAAGTAGGCATCTCCCCACGCTTTCTTAGCCCAATGTTCAGCCTTCACTCCACTCTCTTTGTCGATGTACAAGATAAAGCGACGTTATCGGCGCGCGTAAGAAAATAGACTTTGCTGCATGGCCGGTCTCCTGCTGACAACTTTAACAGGCAAAAATAAAATCTGGCTGTAAGAAAGTCTTCGTCAACTTACCGGCAAAACTTAAACAACAACTGGCGCATTAAACGCTTGTACACTTGAATATTAAATTTTGTTTGACTTTGTCTAATGGCGGAAATGAGGCCAGACTATTACGTGGCCTGACCCGATACTCAATAATGAAACACAATGTTGACTGTGAAAATCTACCTGCTATGTCTTTAAAAAAAAAAGTATGAACCATGTATTATACCACACTAGTCAGTACAAGTTAAATTTCGATTTAAAGCTTTCGTGACTGTAAGGATTCATCTTCTTTGGTTCTTTCGGTAAAGTCACGTAGAATGAGAATAAAATAATAAATTAATAAAATAACACAGGCCACTTGTGTTGTGGCCGAAACGTCGTGAGAATTTTATTGAGTTATTTTATTTTATTAATGTATCATTTTATTCTCATTCTACGTCACTTTACCGAAAGAACCACAGAAGATCAGTACAAGTTGGTTAAAGCCTATGACTGGTTCAGATATTGCTGTCTCGTATTCAGCCGCCCACGATCTGAGAGTTGGCCGCACGACGGGCAATCCTTTCGCCACTGACTTCGTGTCTTCTGCTATCCTCATTGTCCATTTCCGGCGTGAGCATCATCCATGCTTTGATGTTATCACATCCACTGTGAGCCTCGGTCTTTCTCGCGCACGTCAACCCGGTATTGTGCCTTGTGTAAATCGGCTTTTCCAAAAAAGTTCACATTTTTTTTCACGTGACATTACCATAGTAGGGCTAAGCTTTCTTGATTTTATCACCTCCAAGAGTTTTCTTTCAGCACCAGCTTTCCCCAGAACCCATTCATCCGTTTTCGCTTCAGTCCACGATGGGTGCGGTAATAATCCGCCCGAGTCATTTCATTTCAAAGGCCTGTATCCGTGCCTCGCCCACCGATTTAAATAACGGCCTCTGTACAAAACACGTGGCACTCACTTGATGCGTTTGGAAGATCGTGATGAGTGTGGCGTGAAGGAAATCAGAGTGAGGCTCGCGCGTGTAGAAGATCTGCATGGCACGCGCGCGCATACACACACATGACACACAGATAAACATCCCCCCCCCTCACGTAGCGAGCTCACCCGTGAAGACACACCGCACGAGGTGGCGGTGTGGCCAGCACACCACGCCTGGCCGCCTTCCTCTCCCCAGTACTCATGTCTGCACATCGCATCAGCTACTCATTTTAGGCTGAGTCGACCTAGGGGAGGCCCGGGACCGGTTCAGATATTCGTCGCCGACATTGGCCCCGAGCGGGAATCGAACTCGGGTCGCCGGGTTCGTAGCTTAGCGAGCTCGCCACCGAGCGAGGATCGAATCAACGAGTGAGGTTCACGGAGTCAGTAGCCATAGTGGTAGCAGTGGTAGCAAAAGAAGAGTGATGAGGAGGTGACTGACTGCCGGTGCTCGTGTAACTCGGAGTAAAATCACAATATTTTAGACTGGAGGAATCTGATGAGCTATAAAGCACTTTTTCACTAGATGTCCAGTAGGGGCTCGAGGCCAGCTAGTTACAATAGCACAGTTACAATACGAGTGAAAAATAGAGAAAAAGTTAAGCATTCCACTAAATATAAAACAAGTCAAAATTACTTTACAAATTATATACGTCCGATGTCTCATTTATGGGCAAGGCAGCAAGTAAGTCAACAAAACAATCCCAGACTACACCAAGATAACACCACACAGTAGTAGGCCCTCAATAAAATGGCACATTAACATTAAACTATCGATAACACAGGGGTAACGATCAAAGTTACAAATAACATTTGCACATGCACTAATCGTCTGCTACGGGATATTTTTTTAAGGAAGATTCACGATGTCAAGGGCGGCAACAAGGTCATTCCAAAACGTTGCTTGCTGCATCGGGCAAAGTGACGTGAGATTGGATTTTAAGCAGAGGTCACAATGTGGGTGGGGGTCCTGTATGGCACATCCAGTGTAAATCGGAGAGAGAGCGGCGCATACCTGGATGGGATGCTGTCGCCCTTCGACGTAAAGCACAGGAGCTCCGTTAAAATAGCTCACGAATCTGTCCACATCCATCGTGGCGGACATCACGATCACCTGCCGGGCACGAGCACCAAATTAGGAGAGACAAATTCGTTCCAACTCCCACGTTTACCCCTTTTTCGTCTGCTCGAATGGAAACACGCGCGTTGCTTATGTTGAACTTGTGCGTCTATAGGTAGAGGAGGCAGCTCTACAGTGGGCAGCTCACGCCACTTCTGGTGGAGGGGCCTCCTCCGTTAGATGGGAGCTGTGCAGAGCCCCTCTGAGACGTCTTGGAAGAAAACTAAAAACTAAACAATTTTTATTTTGCCGGGTAAGGCCCTCTGAGCCATATGGCTCGTTTTAAGACGCGACCTGGCTATCGCATATGATAGCCCAACGAAGTGGCTTATCATGTGGACATTCAGAGCAGCCAAATGCTCGCACGTCGATTCTAAAAGTGGAGGGAAACACCGGAGAACCCGGAGAAAAATCCACGCGACCTCGGAGAGAGACACGCAAACTCCAAACATCCATCCATAACACAGGTTTTTTTTTGGGTTAGATCGTGTAAAAATGTGTAGTTAAACCCGACACAGCCAATTAGTAAGGTTTGTCACGTAAACAGAACATGCCAATTCGCTACTAGTACAGCGCACCGGTGTGTTGGGAGAGCAAATCCACAACATTCACAATGCGAGTACGACGTTTCGCCAGTAATTACAACGAGCTTCATCAGGCGACAGCGAGATTTGTGGAGAAATCCTCCTGTTTCAGGCTGCATACCAGGCGACGTAGTTAACATCTCGTCACCGCGGCGCCCCCCCCCAATCTAATCGCAGCCACGAGCCGCCCCCCCCGCCCCCCGCCCCCCGCCCGGCCCCACCTTGAGCGGGCGGAGCTTCTGTTCCCACCGCTGGCGCTGGGCGCCCTTGACGACGCCGAACAGCGTGTCCGTGTGCAGCGAGCGCTCGTGCGCCTCGTCCAGCACGACGGCGCTCGTGGCCAAGAGCAGCGGGTCGCCCAGCGCCTCGCGCAGCAGCATCCCGTCAGTCACGAAGCGCACACGCGTGCTCGCGGAGCGCACGTCCTCGAAGCGGACCGTGTAGCCCACCTGCGGGTGCGCGCAACCGCGCGGGGCGCCGAAATATCCGTCGTGCCGTCAAGTCGTCGTACCGGGCCGGCATCGCGGAAATAAACCGCGTCCCCACCCATTAAATGTCTCTTGTCTTAGTAATAGGTTTTACCCTTTTTTAACTGGCACAAAAAAAAACTGACACCTTTATTCAAGGCATCATGCTTGCAATAACCGCGGCACAAGCAGTCAAGATGCAAACAAAAGAGACAACTCTGATAATGATATTGGCACTGTCCTTGAATTTGACTAGGCTCTAAGAAAAGCCGTCTCTCGGGTGTGGACCAATCAAATTCAAGGACAGTGCCAATATTATTATCAGAGTTGTCTCTTTTGTTTGCATCTTGACTGCTTGTGTTGTGGTTATTGCAAACATGATGCCTTGCATAAAGGTGTCAGTTTTTGTGCCAGTTAAAAGGGTAAAACCTATTACTATATCTTGAGGTCTCATAATGTTTCTTATTTTGCCGGGTAAGGGTCACACCGAGCTGCTGTGGCTCTCTTTCAGGAGTGACCTGGCTATTATAATTGTTCGACGAAGTGGCTCGTCACCGTCGCGTGGACATTCGTAGCAGCCAAATACTCTCAACGCGTGACGCTGTTTCTTCATGTGGAGGGAAAAACCGGAGGGCCTGGAGAAAAATCCACGCAACCTCCAAATATGCAGCAGGCATCGTCATGGTCGAGATTTAACCCACGCCCCCCTGTAAACCAGGCGAGGGAGTTAACATCTCGCCACCGCTGTGCCTACCTGCGAAACCCAGCCGTGCAATCCCAACCTGCTCGCCCGCCCGCCTGCGCGCTCGACAGCTATGCCACCGCTTTGCCCACCTCTTCCTTGAAGAGTGTCACCTCGTTGTCAGAGACAAAAAGCGGAGCGTTTTGGGCGGCGACGGTCGAGATTTCACGTTGAAAGATGTTAAAAATAATAAAGATGAAATGAAACAACACACTATTTCCTGTTGTTGTCCATCCTACTAAACGTGTTTCCAAGTAGTGCCAGTTTCCTTCTCATCACTGCCTGCATCATCAGGTCGCCTTCTTCTATGTGCAACCGTTCTATTTCGTCTACGCCGGTCGCTTGTTGGGTCCAGTTTAGGTGCAGCATCATTCTATATAGCAATACATTTCGAATGCCAATATCGACGATCATTGCGCAAGGAGAGCCAAAGCAAAGGAAAGGCACGGTGGGAAAGAGGACGGTCGGAAGAACAGAGGAGGAGGATTGGGGAGTGGAGGAGAGAGGGGGGTGGAGCAGACGGAGGGGTGAAGAAAGGGGGTAGAGAGAGGAGGTGAGTTTTGAGTGCGGAGACCGAGGAAGTGCACATAACCTGCTGTGTGACTTTGTAGGGATATGTAACTATAATGAATTTCTTCCGCACCGTACGTGGCCAACCGTGCTAAATGGGGGTGCGGGGAAGGACAACAAACTAAACACACAAAATGTTTTTCAATAAAGAGACCTTTACTGAAGACCGCGTGAATTGAGTTGCGCAACTGATCGGCTCAGGTGTGGAGCCGGTTTACCGTATTTTCCCGCATATACCCCGCGGACGCATATACCCCGCAGACGCATATACCCCACAAAAATAGCGTTTTGTGTAAAAAAAAAATTCAGATAGCCCGCACCGCCATATACCCCGCATGCATTCATATATTTAACGTCGTTACCGCAGCTTAATTCCATCATATTAATACGAAGTTTACATTTGTAACGCATTCCACTATCAATTGTTAACATTAAAATCATAACGTGCACAAAGAAAACAAACTTAACCGGAAACGAGTGAACTTAAAACAGTAAATAAGTAACAAAGGTAAGTGTTGCATAGTGGATAGTCCTACCATGAACAAATTAAACGAGTCATGACATACTCTTTGGTTCTATTCGGTAAAGGCACGTAGGTAAAAAATAAAACAACAAAAAATCACGACGTTTCGGCCACAACACAAGCGGCCCGAAACGTCGTGATTTTTGTTGTTTTATTTTTTTACCCACGTGACTTTACCGAATAGAACCAAAGAGCATGGATCCTTGCAGTCACGAAAGCTTTAAATCTAGAATTGAGTCATGACACGTCGCACGTGTAAAATATTTGTGGGATAGCCCGCACCTCCATGTACCCTCCCCGCAGGGTCCTGTTTTGTTTGTAAAAAGCGGTATACCGCACGGGATACATGCGTGAAAATACGGCACATGCCGGGGGGGGGAGATGGACGGCAAGAAAACGAAGAAGAATCCGAAGCGTGTGCTTCTCACCAGCGTGCCAAGGGGGCTGCCCGCCTCTCGCGAGACGCGCTCCGCCAGGGCGATGGCCGCGACGCGCCGAGGCTGAGTCACCACGACGTGGGCTCTCTCGCTGCCCACGCCGGCGTCCAGGAGAAACCGCGGCACCTGCGTGCTCTTCCCGCAGCCCGTCTCGCCTGCGCGCCATCACGGCGTGGGGGGCGTGGGGGGGGGTGTAAGGTTCATCATCCGAGCGTCATCCTCACGGCCCCGACGGGGTTGACGCGGAACCGGTGATTTCCACCGTTGACAATCGTCGGGTGTCTCTCGCGTGTCGTCCATTCCGGCAGCCCTTCAAATGTTCCTTGCATGATCACCTTCACCCATTCTCCAGCTGAGCTGAACCCCTAATGATGATGTGTACCCCATTATGCAGCGCCCTCGCTTCTCATTAGATTCCCGAGTCATTCCTGCTTCTATCCATCCCATCTTGAGTGCCTCTTTCTTTGTCCGTTTGTCACGTCGGCTCACTCTTGTCTATTCTGTACGTACCACGTCTTAAATGCATCGAGTCTTTCCCCCAAATTGAGAAAAATAACAACACCGTAGCAATATGTGCTCTCTACTGGTAGACTAAAACCCATTTATAATGTAGGTTTTTTTTTGGGGGGTTAGATCGCGTAAATATACACACGTGTCGTTAAACCCGCCACAGCCAATTAGAAAGGTTTGTACACGTAAACATCACAAGCCAATTGGTTACTAGTACAGCACACCGGTGTGCTGGACAGCAAATCCACAAAATTTACAATCCGAGTACTATATTACGGATGATATTGGTCGCGAAAGCCTATGTGTTAAACTCATGCACATTTGCAGGCTGGGGCTGCATGCATCTCTGAGCTGCACAGAGACAGCTGCCAGTGAGGGAAGTGCCTTTGGCTAGACTATCAACTACTGTATCCACACGCCCCTCCCAAGCCCTATATATAAATGGTCAGCATGCCCCTACCAGCATATAGATTTTACATTAATCCGAAGAAACGCCTCTCACTCTGGCTGTGTCTACTACTCATGATGTTCCACCGCCAAGCTTACCAACGACCTGGAAAGTATTCGCCGAATCATCTAGCTCCGGCGAGGACAACAACGTAAAAATTTACGTATGTTGAACTTCTTTCGCACCGTACGTAGCCAACAGTGCTCATCGGAGGTGCAGGGGGAAGGACAACAAACTATGGGTCTCTGTGCGAGTCTATGGGTCTTCGTGTGAGTCTATGTATGTCTGTAGAACTTATTTCGCACAGTATGTAGCCAACCGTGCCCATCGGAAGTGCAGGGGGAAGGACAACAGGCTAAACACAGAAAGCAATTCTAAAGAAATGAGTTTTCGATCCGGAACAGGGGTTGGTAACCTGCAGCTCTTTAAGGGCTGCTTCGTGACCGTTATTAAGGTGACCACCGTCTCGTATTCACCACTTTGTATTGCGTCTCTTGGAATATTGAGGGGTTTTTTTTACCAAATTCGAACAAAAACGGCTCTTCTTGTTATTTTTCGTTTGCCGACCCCTGATCTAGAAGTTACCCGCAACGTTGACGGCCGTCTCGCGGTGCAAAATTACAATTTGCAGAATCAATCAGAGTATTGATTCATACTGGAGGAATCCGATAAACCACAAAGCTCTTTTTTTCCCCCACAGATGTCCGGTACCGATGATTATGGCGGTGTGCAGCTCCTGTAGCCGGCGGGTGAGCTCGGCCCGCACCGCGTAGATGGGCAGGCCCCTGCGCTGGACCTCGAGCCCTGAGTTGGCGCTACCGGCCGCGGCCTGTGCCGAGCCACCGGCGCCCGGCTTTGGTGTCCAACCTCCGCCCTGATGAACGCCGCCGCTGCCTCCACCACGACCACCACCGCCACCACCGCCACCGCCGCCACCTCCACCACGACCACCACCACCGCCACTGCTTCCACCACGACCACTGCCGCCACCGCCCTGCCCGCCAGGGCCAAGCCCTTTCTTGGGGCTGGTCATCAAGAGGTCAGTTCGACGAATCTTCCCGTAATCCTGGTGGCTCCTGTGCCGCTGGCGTTTCTTGTTGGGGTTCATCGCGAGACAGGGGCTTCCACGGTGGGGGAGGGAGGGAAGACAGAGTGTGGGCCAGTTTAAACGATGCATGTGTAACACATAAATCAGAATATTCATTCATACTGGAGAAAACCGATGAGATATAAAGCTCTTTTTCACAGATGTCCAGTAGTCCAGTACATAGACACTAACACATGGGTACACGCAGATACAGACCCATATACAACGCAATCACAGGTAGACAAACATACTGTACACGATCACATGGCGATATCTAGGTGCTTATGACGAGAGTCTACTATTTGAAGTTAAACGCATACAAAAAACACATTATTTTCTTCAATTACTTTTTCAATCCACTGCTGGATGAAGGCCTTTGGACATCGTGTCAATCATGGGCGTTGTTTGACCATACTTCAACACGGCTCAGCTATCACTCGCCACTGATGGATATCTGTGAAAAAGAGCTTCACAGTTCATCAGATTCCTTCGGTCTAAATAAATATTCTGATTCTGCTGTACGCCGTGGATGGGAAATCGAACTCATGTAGCCCAGGTACATCAATTAGCGTGCTTTCAGATGCGCTTCTGTGGCTGTCTGGAATGCTCTTCCTTCCGATTTTAGGAAGCCACTGTAGCTATGGACTTTTAAATAATCTAGATTGACAAATTAATTTGTTTAGAACTGATTTTTGTGTTACCTGGTCGCCCCCGCACCTCCGATTAGCACGTTTTGGTGACGTACGGTGCGAAAGAAGTTCAACATACATACATAGACTAAGAGACCCATAGACTCACACAGAGACTCAGACTCACACAGAGACACATAGACTCACACAGAGACCCATAGACTCACACAGAGACCCATACTCACACAGAGACCCATAGACTCACAGAGACCCGTAGACTCACACAGAGACCCATAGACTCACACAGAGACTCATAGACTCAGAGACCCATAGACTCACACAGAGACCCATAGACTGACACAGAGACCCAGACTCACACAGAGACACATAGACTCACACAGAGACGCATAGACTCACAGAGACCCATACTCACACAGAGACCCATAGACTCACACAGAGACCCATACTCACACAGAGACCCATAGACTCACACAGAAACCTGTAGACTCACACAGAGACTCATAGACTCACACAGAGACCCATAGACTCACACAGAGACCCATAGACTCACACAGAGACCCATAGACTCACACAGAGGCCCATAGACTCACACAGAGCCTCATAGACTCACACAGAGACCCATAGACTCACACAGAGACCCATAGACTCACACAGAGACTCATAGACTCACACAGAGCCCCATAGACTCACACAGAGACCCATAGACTCACACAGAGACTCATAGACTCACACAGAGACCCATACTCACAGAGACCCATACTCACACAGAGACCCATAGACTCACAGAGACCCGTAGACTCACACAGAGACCCATAGACTCACGTGGAGACCCATAGACTCACACAGAGACTCATAGACTCACACAGAGACCCATAGACTCACACAGAGACCCATAGACTGACACAGAGACCCAGACTCACACAGAGACCCATAGACTTACACAGAGACTCATAGACTCACACAGAGACACATAGACTCACACAGAGACGCATAGACTCACACAGAGACCCATACTCACAGAGAGACCCATACTCACACAGAGACCCATAGACTCACACAGAGACCCATAGACTCACACAGAGACCCATAGACTCACACAGAGACCCATAGACTCACACAGAGACTCATACTCTCACACAGAGACCCATAGACTCACACAGACACATAGGACTCACACAGAGACACATAGACTCACACAGAGACCCAGTTTGTCCTCCCCCGCACCTCCGATTAACACGGTTGGCTAGGTACCGTGCGAAAGAAGTTCAACGTACATACATAGCAACCGCTCAAACAAAGGCACTTTAAACACATTAAAAGCAATTATTTTTAGCTTCTATCGGAGTTAATTTAATGTTATCAGCTTTTACTGAATTTAGATTGGATACCTAAACACTTGTAAATATGTAATTGTGGAAAGAATAACATTGGTCGGCGCTTTGAAATATTACGATTTACAAACCGTTTTTTTTAAATAACAAGATTATTATTTAAGTACTCAATGAAATTTAGCGCCCATCATCATCAGCAATGGTCAATCCACTGCTGGATGGATGAAAGTCTCAACCGCTATCCAGCGAAGTAACAACAGCACGCGTGTACGACTAAAAATGTATATCTATATACAACATTGCAAATATTTAAGTCAATTATAAATTAAGCGTAATGGAATCACCGCGCTTTGCGTACCCGAGAAAGACGTGAAACGCGTTGAAGGCTTGCCTCAAAGACACACGCGGTGAAAACCTTAAACAGCCTTCGAATCTTTACGCAGAGCTGAAATACAAAGTGTGGCGGGGGTGTTTGCTCTGTAACACTTTAAGAGTAATAATAGAGTAATAATAAACTCTAGGAAGGATCCCGTTGGTGTAAAAAACCACTTCACCAGCGTGGCGAAACGCACCGAGCGCGGTTTAAAAGGCGCGCCTGGCAATGCTAGGCCGCGCTACGGTGGCCGCGGAAGTCCGTTTTAAAGTTGTACTTTTTAAAAAAACGCGTTTATTTTTTAATCAAAACAACTGTTTTGTAACAACAAAAAATAACGCCATTTGGTCAAGTCGTGGAAGCGAGCCGATTTATCACGTCGAATAATTTTACTCCACGGTTAATCGGATATCTATGTCGTGTATAAATTTTCAAAGTCATCTTTCCCATCATCTATATAAATAGCGTCTGTGCGGAGAAAATAATGAACAATTAATGATATATTCTGCACAATTATTATGATTACCATATGCATTCCGTAGTTTTTGCGACAAACTAGGACCCCCATATCCTTCAAGAGAGCGGTCCTAGCCTATAAACATCTGCAGTCTATTCGCAACATTGGTTCAAGCGAGCGTGCTGCTGATGAGACCCCGAAAGTCGAAACCAATCAATCCTTTCCTTATAAAGATCTTGGCAGTCCACCCAGCATTGGTTTCAAAGCAAGCTGATGAGAGAATGAACGTCGACACCGGTCTCGAGAGAGTTTGCCTGTATTTAATTGCCATTTGCTCAAGAAAAACCTGACGATGCTGTTGATGAGACCCTGTGCGCAGAAGACGGTCCAGAGTTTTGCCTGTGTTAAACCAATGCTGCTGGGTCATTACGCACTGCCAGAAGGCTGTTTGCCTGATGGGGTGTGTAAAAAAAAACTATTTACGTGGAGGGACAGGCATATGAAGGATACCTATTTATTCCCATTATCCCCGGAGGGCCGATAAAATAGGTAACCACTGGAGTCAGCATTGGTGAGATCATCAGCCAGACCCAAAGCCCCCCCTAAATTGGTTGAGAAGCACTCTATGAGACACTTCAGCACTCAGGCATTTACTAATGATGTGCTTCACTCGGATATTGACAAGGTCTGTGATATCCCCAACCTGACTGCGGCTTAGGAGACCTTCAGGTACACGTTTCTCCAAATTCTTAACATGCTCCGTTGGTTAGATTTGAAACTAAAGGCAACCGCCCACCGTGGTTTGATCCTTTGATTACAAAGCTCATGAAAACTAGGGACAAGGCTTGGGCATGTCCTCAGAAAAGTAATTTGGTTAATGACTGGCTAGAATACAGGATTTTAAGGAATAGATGCGTTAAAAATTTACGGGAACAATGTCCACATCGGATTGGGAACATGTAGACAATATGACTGCCTCTTCAGCGGCAACTATGTCGACCAAATGTAAGGATAACTTGATTTCCAAATTCAACCGCCTCTCCAACAAGAAATCGGAACCACACACCAAAAAGCTAGACGTTAACAAAGTCGTAATTAATCGCAGTAACAGCTCTATTCCTGATGGTCTGAAATACGTTTTAGCTAAAGGGCTAAACTTTGCAGTCACACCTAGACACATACCAGTTAATGAAATCATTGCCCATGTCGACGTGGCTCTCAAGGGCCTGGGTCACATCGCTGCAGACGTACCAAGATCTGAAATCGCTGCAACCCTAAAAAACGCTAAGATGCCAGCTAGCAACATCTCAATTAAAAAAGAGGGATGACATTGTCCTCCTCTCAGTCGACAAGGGCAATGCCACTGTCATCATGGACAAAATAGAATATAACAACAAAATTCAGGAACTACTCAACGATGGCAGCTATACAAAAATAAGAAGAGACCCCACAAACAGCCTCGTCACTAAAACCTACAAAATCATATCTGATTCAACCTCATTAATTGATCAAACCAAACAGTTCTCGTTGAAACCTTCTGCGGCCAGGCCACCAAGATTATATGACCTTCCAAAGATACATGAAGATACACCCCTTCATCCCATCGTCTCTATTATCAACTCCCCCACCTACAAACTGGCTTGTTTTTTGTCTGAAATCCTGCGGCCTTTTACTGGAAAAACCACCTCTGCGGTACTAAACTCTACTCACCCGTTATCGACAAGCAAGGGTATTTCCCTGTCCCCAGACCACCTGCTTGTCAGTTTTGATGTGGTTTCCTTATTCACCAAAGTTCCTGTACCTGACACCATCGCAATCATTGAAGACTTGGTTCATCAAGGACTGCATACTGATGTACCCCCCCTGGTGAGACACTGCTTAACCAACACATACTTCACCTGGAATGGAACTTTGTACAAACTGAGGGCACCCCAATGGGCTCCCCCCTATCTCCGGTTGTAGCCAACGTTTTCATGGAGAAATTTGAGACTGACGCCATCCAGACTGCCACTCTACGCCGGACCTTATGGAAGAGGTACGTGGATGACACTTTTGTCATCTGGCCACATGGCCGGCCTGCTCTAGACCAATTCCTCGACCGCATCAATTCCATACACCCAGCCATCAGATTTACCATGGAAGTCGAAAAAGATGGCAAGCTACCCTTTTTGGATGTCCTAATTAAAAGGAGACCTGATGGTTCAATGAGCCACTCTGTCTACAGGAAAGCTACCCATACGGATGCTTACTTAAAACCGGATTCCCACCACCATCCATCCCAGAAGAATTCCCTCATCAAGACTCTATACCATAGAGCCCAATGCATCTCTGACCAGGAACACATTGCTAGTGAACTCAAGCACGTACACCAAGCTCTCAAGGCTAATGGTTACTCCGACTATACAATCCGCAAAGCCATCACTCCAACCATGAAGAAGGATCCTCTTGAGGAGCCATTCAAAACCATCACCTTACCCTACATTGCAGGGGTCACAAAAAAATCTACAAAATCCTGAATAAACACAAGATCCAGGTCCGATTCAACACAGTACATAAAATCCGTGATCTGGTTCCGTCTATAAAAGATGTGGTTCCAGACATACAGTACCCTGGCGTCTACAAACTAAGTTGCCTCTGTGGTAGCAGTTACAAACCAAACGACATGTCTCGGACCGCATCCGTGAACATAAAGCAGACTTGAAACACGGTAGGATTAACTCCTCTGCCGTGGCAGATCACTGTTATAATTCAGTGGGCTCACATGACATTGACTTCTCCAAGACGGAGGTTCTCTGCAAGCCATCCGGCTACCATGAGAGATTCGTTCATGAGGCCATTAGTTTATATTTAGTTCTTTCACATCGGTTGATTGTATGATAGGTGGGTAGTTGCAGTTATTTAGCGTCAATATCAAGGCGCTTTGCTCCTCTCACCCACCTTAAAATACGCTGCTAAGCTTAGCAGTGTTCATTAAGACGCTGCTTTCCCGACAGTTCTGTTTCTTCACCTAAAAAAGGCTACTTGTGTTGTGGCCGAAACGTCGTGAGAATTTTATTTTACTATGTTTTATTTTTATTATTTTATTATTTCCCTTTTTTCGTGACTTTACCGAAAGAACCAAGAAGATGAATCCCTGCAGTCACGAAAGCTTTAAATCGAAATTTAAACTGAAACTTGGTCTCGTGTGTGAAGCGGTGGTGTTGTGAAACCCAAGAATCCCACTCTACGACTCGTCCATTACACCAACGATTGGGGGGTGAGTTTCTGTGTAAGCACATTTAACAGTGACTTATTAACTTTCACACCCTCAAAAAACCCACACTTATCGATACAATAATCAGCGTTCCTGTTAAATGTATTAATACAAATCGTAGTCGCGTTATTATTTGACTTAAAGTGTGTAATTGTGTGACCTCATTATTAAATCCCCCCCCTCACCCCCCGCGTGCACGAGTGGACGAGTCCATCCGCAATGATCATCTGACTCTGTGATTATTGTGGGCAAACGGTGCCCGATATTCCATCACTCTCGTAATATTCTAACAAACTTAGCTATCGCGCGGCGTCCTTTACTAACTACCAGTTGTTAAGCGTTGTCATCACTCTGCTTTTGTTTGTTGTTGTCGTTGTTTTTTTAAAGCGACGAAATGGCGCCGACTCTATCCCCACATAAGGGTGAGTGGAACCGGCTTTTATAGTCTTTTGTGTGAGTGAGGGGAGGGGGAGACAAAGGCGGCCGGGACGGGGAGTCCCACCACACACGCTCGTGCGCAGCGATGACCTTTATTCACTTTGCTCTGCCACGAGAGCGTGGTGGGGGCGTCTTTGTCAAGGTGCACCTAGCCTGGCACGAGCGCTGTGGTGACGTCACCGGCGGTGGTTGTTGTTGTTGGTGTTGTTGGTGGTGGTGCCTTCGTGTCTGCTTCGTGGAGTCTCCGTCGTTGCAGACGTTAGCGTCGAATGAGCTGCGACCCAAGTTCAAGTCCCGTTCACGGCCACCAAAGACAACGCCATTGACGGCGATTATTATTCTGTGCCGGGGCCTCCCCTAGGTCGACTCAGCCTTAAAACGAGTGCCTGCCGCAGTGTGTAAACATCGCCGCTTGGGGGGATACAAAGGCGGTCGTGCGTAGTGCTGACCACCCACTTGGCCCAACACGCAGTTAAAGGCTGTACAGAGAGAGGGGTGGTGGTGGTGGTGGGGGTATTTGTGTCTATGTGTGTACATTAATAAGTTTGTGCATTACATCCACAGCGTCTCGATTTAAAGCTTTCGTGACTGCATGGGTTCATCTTCTTTGGTTCTTTCGGTAAAGTCACCACGTAGAATGAGAATGAAATAATAAATTGATAAAATAAAATAACACATTAAAATTAAAATTCTCACGACGTTTCGGCCACCGAAAGAACCAAAGAAGATCCACAGCGTCGTCTGTATCCGCGGTTTTGATAAAAAATAACAAACTCAAGTCACTTTCTATTCCTCTCTCTTAAAGAGTCAAATGTTTCCCCTGACCCCCAAGGTGATACCGCAATGTACCGAGTTTTTTTTTTCAAATAAAATAAATGATCGGCCGTGGTCTATCCACTGCTAGATGAAGACTTTCCCAAGCCGTAGATCCTGCAATGTAACATTGCAAGCACCAGCAAGCGAGCCGATTTCGTCAGCTGCATCTCCTATGAAGCGCTTTATAGCTCATCGGATTCCTCCGGTATGAATAAATATCCCCATGATCTTTTTTTTTGCTGCCGTTCCGCTATTATTCTTGAATCTTGACCGTGCTGTGTGCTATCCGAGCCAACTTCCTTATTTAACGGCGTCATCAACAATAACGAAAACACCAATTGAGTAACGTAATCGTTAAACTTGGCAAATACGAAACCTCGTAGTTCCACAATGTTTCCTCATTTCATGTCCATACCGTGTGAAACCATACGGTTTACCACATTCTTGTATAGGTCCATACGGCCTACAGCCGTTTCAATACGGGTCAATTAAAACATAGATATTTTTGCTTATTTGTTTGTGTTTCTCCCTTGTGATGGGACTTTGTAGGATGAACGTTGAGATTTATAAGGGGTACGGGGTGACCAATAAGGTCTGAATTGGTCTGTGATAAGGTAGGGCACTGATAAGTGGTTGACAGGTTTGTAATAGTGTAGTGTATAGTGTAGTGTATAGTAGAGTAGTGTATAGTGACTTTGTAGGATGAACGTTGAGATTTATAAGGGGCACGGGGTGACCAATAAGGTCTGAATTGGTCTGTGATAAGGTAGGGCACTGAAAAGGGGTTGACAGGTTTGTAATAGTGTAGTGTATAGTGTAGTGTATAGTAATGTAGATTTAAAACTTTCGTGACTGCTAGGATCCATACTCTTTGGTTCTATTGGGTAAAGTCACGTAGGTGAAAATAAAATAACAAAAAATCACGACGTTTCGGCCACAACACAAGCGGCCTTCATCAGGTGAAGGGACGAGACTGTCTGGAGGACAGCGCTGGAGTGAGAAAAGCCACGCTCAGATCGCGACCTCACACAGCTTAAAGGTCGTGATCTAAGCGTTGCTTTTCTCACTCCAGCGCTGTCCTCCAGACAGTCTCGTCCCTTCACCTGATGAAGGCCGCTTGTGTTGTGGCCGAAACGTCGTGATTTTTTGTTATTTTATTTTCACCTACGTGACTTTACCCAATATAACCAAAGAGTATAGTAATGTAGTGTATAGTAGAGTAGTGTATAGTAACTTTGTAGGATGAACGTTGAGATTTATAAGGGGTACGGGGTGACCAATAAGGTCTGACTTGGTCTGTGATAAGGTAGGGCACTGATAAGGGGTTGACAGCTATAAAATGTCTCTTGACAATCCAGAAATTGGAAAACACCATCATCTTCTGTATGTCTCATAACCCTTAACATTCTGGATCTGAAAATCTTCATAGATCTGAACATAAAAATCGGTCCTTATTTTGCCAGTATCAAAGTATGAAACAATAAGGAAAGGTTTTACCCTTTTTGGCAAATTTAAACAGTTGTGGTAAGATGTTCAAACAACAAATATAAACCTTTTTGCAAAGGAATCCAGTCTACAGACCTTATTTTTTTACACGCTTTTATTTAACTCACTCTGTTGTTGTATCCTCAAAAAATCTTGCAACTCAATTTTTACCCACTTCCCAATGTGCTATCGAAAGCAAACTTGGTATACTTGTGTCATACTGATGACAAGACTATATTCTATCATAAAAAATGATAAGTATATATTTTTAAACATTTTACACGCTTTTATTTAACTCAACTCTGTCTGGTGTCATATCCTCAAATCTTGTAACTCAATTTCAACCGTCTTCCCAATGTCGTATCGACTGCACACTTGGTATAATTATGTCATACTGATGACAATACTATATTCTATCATTAAAAATTAAACAAATATATATTTTTAAACAATAATTTTTACGGGTCTAATTGTCCACGCTAAACTCACGTTGGCTGTAAATCACCACAGTTCCTTACGTTATGGCAAGCTTCAGGGCCACTTCCTGGAGTCGTGGAGTTCTGCTATTACTCGTACGGTACATTTCATTAAAGCGTGTGTTTAAAAAATAAATATTTTGAAATATTTTTTCAGACCCATTTTTCATAGGTCTGAAGAACATGTCTCTGATAATCCAGACATGGTTAAAACACCATAATCTGAAACTCTTCCCTTCTGTCTGTCTGATAACCCTTAACATTCTGGGAATGGTGTGCCACGCATCCCTTGTGATGAGGGTTTGTCGGATGAACGTTGAAATTTGTAAGGGCACCGGGTGACCAATGAAGTCTGAATTGGTCTGTAATAAGGTAAGGGGCAATGATAATGGGTTGACAGGAAGCGTGTCTCCCCCATCGATTGACGGTGTCCTCAAAAGTAACGTGGACAACGCAGAGGTTGTGAAAGGAGATTGACACCAGCACAAACCCACACGTTACGGGCGACAGTGCAATGCAGGGGCCCTACATTTTGAAAGACAACAAAAAATAAACACAAGTCATGCCGACCTGTTGTCTGCAACTCCACGCGAGCGGAAACGCCGGTGGACGGTCCAGGTCAAGTAAACGTGCAGATGCGTCGATATTATTTAGATTGTTTTTGCCACGATACATTTTTAACAGGATAGGCCACTTTCGTCCAGCTGTCATTTGTGGCCAGGTCGTTTCTGAGAGTGAAGCCTATAAGCTCAGTGGGCTGCTTTACCTGGTAAGATATAAAACAAAAATAGTTTGGTTTTATTTGTAGAAAATTTTCAAGTTATTTGTTTACCTTTCCTATACTTTGTTGTAACGTTCTGACCCCGTGGCCCCGACTGGACCATCTGTGAAAAAAAAGCTTCATGGCTCATCAGATTCCTCCTCCAGTCTAAATAAATATTCTGATTCCGAACTTCACTATTCACCGGCTTCCAGTTTAGCGCACGGTTCCGTTTAGAATGTTATTGCTCACCAACAAAGCTCTGGAGACCAGCTTGCCCCAGGCCTACATCAAGAGAGACACACGCTGCACCCAGGGTGAGGGTTAACCCAGAGGCTAATGAGGCCTTAAAGGCCCTTGTCATGTTGTAGGCCCTCGTATAGGCTCCACCGTTCCACGCTGTAGTAACAAGCGAAGCCACGGCAGCATATACATTTACTATTGCCCACCAACAAACCTTGCCCTAGCCCCTCATTATGAGAGACACGCTGCACCCAGGGTTAGGTCAAACCCAGAAGCTAAATTAGGCCTTAGGCCCTTGTATGTTGTAGGCCCTACTCTAGCCCCCACCCCCCCCGTTCCACGGGGGTAAGGGTTAAAAAGCTACTCTGAACAAGTAAGATGATTCGAAACCACAGCAAAAACACGGAGATGTCAAACAAAGGTTTGCATGGACAGACGTCTCCACAGACCTTCATCCAGTAGCAGATTTATCATGGCTGATGGTGGTGTTGTTGCGTGTGGGTAGCCTATTACAGGTTCGTGGTGCGCTTCTTCAACTGCCTGGTGGTGATGGTGTCGTCATTGTCGTTGTTGTTGTGCGCGGGTAGCCTATTACAGGTTCGTGGTCCTCTTCTTCAACTGCCTGGTGGTGATGGTGTTGTCGTCGTTGTTGTTGTTGTGCGCGGCTAGCCTATTACAGGTTCGTGGTCCTCTTCTTCAACTGCCTGCTCACGTTCGGCTCATACTTCTGCTTCGACATGCCCAGCGTGCTTCAGGACCAGTTCCAGGCGGTGAGACGCACCTGGCGGAAAACGTAGCGATCTCTTTGCTCCGTTTCCCATTCTTACATATATATTTTTTAATTGGTTGGTTAATTCGCTTCATCCCCTGTGGCACATAGGGCCGCAATGAGTTCCCCTTCCATTTCCCCCTGCCCTTGGCAACATGTTGAGACGGGTTGATCGCTGCTGCCAGCTCCTCCTTCACGGTCTTGCGCCAGGTGGTCTTGGGCAAGGCCAAGGTATCCAGTAGGCGACAGTGGGCACTGTTCCTCGGGGGCCTACTCACATAACCATAGACACAACCACGTACACACACAACCACACACACAACCACACACACAACCATAGATACAATCGCACGCACACACACACACACACTCGCGATCGGTGCGCCAGGGCCCCACCAATGAACGTGCTGGAACAGTTTATTAAGCAATGCTCGCATGCACCTCCCCCCCCCACCCCCCGCCTTGCTCTCACACTCCATTGGTATGGTCCAGATTTCAATAAATTAATCAAACTTCATTGAATGTACATCAGAAGGAAACATTATGTTTATTTTAACAGGTAAGGTCCGCTGAGCTGTGTAGCTCTTTTTCAGAAGCGGGCTCGCCGCTTGTGATAGCTCGACGAAGTGGCTGACCATCGCTTGGACATGTGTAGCGGCATGTTTGTAAATGTGGAGGGAAAAACCAGAGGACCCGGGTAAGAATCCACGCGACCGTAGGGAGAGAGACGCGCAAACTCCAAACATGGAGCAGCAGGCGTCAGGGTCGGGATCGAACCCACGACCTCCTGCATACCGGGCGAGGTAGTTAACATCCCCTAGCCACCGTGGTGATGATTGATGACGATGGTGGAGCACACGACATTCCTGCATACCAGGCGAGGTAGTTAACATCTCCTAGCCACCACGGCGCCCCTCACAATGAAATCGTCACAGAGCGCCGCACATGTAAACACTGCAGCGTTACGTCAATACAATTTGAGATGGACAAAATAGTTTTAAAAAAAGTACGCGGTACAAAATACATATTTAGCCCACATTTTGTGGGCAGGCAAACGCTGTGCGTGGCGCCTTCCGTTGCACGCGGACGTTGTTGCGGCTGCGGCTGCGATCGCAAATCTGGCGGTTTACGGCGTGTGGTTTATATTGGCGACGGTCGTGGTCACACTGCGGCGACATTCACTTTTAGGTGATGCATCCGCGGTCAAAAAACGTGCGGGCATTCGCCCCGCCGCCGAGTAATAATTCCCGTAGACGGAGGAGTTGTCGGACATGGTAGAGAGAGAGAAAAAAAAATAATAATATGATCTACTCTTTGCAATGGGAATTTTTGCGTCCGTGTTTACGACCGGACCAGACCGAATGTGGACAATGCTGGCGGCGTGATGGGCGGAACTCGGCGAATTCGGTTAATTTCTGGTTGGTAATTTGGCTTTGGTCGCACGGGCGACGCAGCTGTGTGTACCGGGGGGGGGGGGTGGTGGAAGGAGGGGTAGGTGGTGGAGGTTGGGCTATTAACCAAATTGAACTTTATGCCCCGGTGCACGTGCCGAGCCGAGTATACTGCAGCGTCAGGTTAAGAAATAATTGCAAAATTAACCGCGCTCGGCATCGCCGCTGGGGAGACAAAGGCGGCCGGGCGTGGTGCTGGCCACCCACCCCCTCGCGTTCCGTGCCGTCCCTGCATAGGTGCCGCTCGCTAACGGCACTTGCCCCTACAGTCTATTGACGCTTTTCGGGGCTGGGGGGCGGATCTTTGTCTTTGTGCGCAATGCAGAACACCAGCTGCCCGCAGAACTCGTCGGCGCACGCCAACGGCAGCGCGTCGTGCGTGGAGGGGTTGGGCATGTCACCCCAGCAGTACAACCTCCTCTACGCCATCTACGCGTGGACGTAAGCGCTCCCGTAGCCGGCCCAGCGTCCTGCCCCCCCCCCCCCCCCCCCCCCGGTTAAGATGAAAAAAATATTTGTTTACCTTTCCGAAACTTTGCGCTCCTGTTGTTTGTTTTTGTTTGTTACTATTTGTTGTTGTAACTTCCTGACCCCGTGACCCTTACTGGACCATCTGTGAAAAAGAGCTTCGTAGCTTATCGGATTCCTCCTCCAGTCTAAATAAATATTCTGATTCCGAACTTCACTATTCACCGGCTTCCAGTTTAGCGCACGGTTCAGTTTAGAATGTTATTGCTCAGCAACAAAGCTCTGGAGACCAGCTTGCCCCAGGCCTACATCAAGAGAGACACACGCTGCACCCAGAATGAGGGTTAACCCAGAGGCTAATGAGGCCTTGAAGGCCCTTGACATGTTGTAGGCCCTCGTATAGGCTCCTCCGTTCCATGCCGTGGAGCTTCGTAGCTTATTGGATTTCTCCAGAACAAACGTAGATGCTGATTCCCGAATCCTGTGGCGAGTGTAATGGGGCTATAAAATATAGAACGGTTTATTTTTTTTTATTTTACCAGGGTAAGGCCCCCGCTGAGCTGCAACTTAGCTCTTTCTTGAGAAGCAACCTGGCTATCACAAATAATAGTGCAACGAAGTTGGCTTATCGCGTGGAAATATTTCGCAGCCAAATACTCTAAACGCGTTCTTTTCATTCTAAACGTAGAGGGGAAAAACCGGAGGACCCGGAGAAAAATCCACGCGACCGCTGGGAGAGAGACACGCAAACTCCAAATATACAGGTGTCCGGGTCGGCATCGAACCCACGACCTCCCGTATACCAGGCGAGGTAGTTAACATCTCCTCGCCACCGTGTAGACCAAACCCCGACGTTATTTCTCAGCCAGCACGAGGTCTGTCAGAACTGTGCAGTGTTCTGGAGTAAAGTTCCACACAGCAACCCCCACCAGCTCTCGGGTACCGATAGATTCCTGCCACCTGAGCACAGTTGCCATTTCCTGGACTGTCTTGGCTGCCACCTGTCCGCTTCAAACCTGCCAGGGACCCCCGTGCTGCCAGGGCCCCCGTGCTGGCTCGGTTCTGAACGTGGCAGTGGAAAAGGCAGTTGTGTACGGCTATCCGACCCGCCGCGGTGAAGACGTCGTGGTTTTGTTTCTGCAGGAACGCAGTGGTGGTGATCGCGGCTGGGTTTCTGATCGACAAGCTCGGCAACCGCGGTGAGTGAACCTCCGAGTTGTTTCACGTCCCGGGGTATTATGGTAGTACCGGGGCACTACCGGGGCGTTTCCGTAATAACAGCGACGACGAGAAGAACAACAAACGACGGCATTTACACTCGGGCGTGGTCGCTCGTCTCTCCGCAGTGGGCGTGTTTCTCTTCTCCCTGCTGTGCGTGCTCGGCTCCGCCACCTTCGCGCTGGGCTCCCACTTCGGGGGCACGGGCTACATGCTGCCCATCATGCTCGGCGGGCGGCTGCTCTTCGGTTCCGGCAACGGCTCGCTCACGAGTAAACACGGGCGGCCCGCACCACCCCGCACCCGCACTTACGAGCGCACGACCTGCGAACGCCACCCGCACTCACACAACGCCGCCCGCACTTACGAACTCCCCCAACTTACGAACGCCGCCCGCATTTACCAACGCCCGCACTCACGAACGCCGCCCGCACTCACGAACGCCACCCGCACTCACGAACGCTACCCGCACTCACGAACGCCACTCGCACTCACGAACGCCCCGCGCCTACGAACGCCACTCGCACTCACGAACGCTACCCGCACTCACGAACGCCACCCGCACTCACGAACGCCACCCGCACTCACGAACGCCACTCGCACTCACGAACGCCCCGCACTCACGAACGCCACCCGCACTCACGAACGCTACCCGCACTCACGAACGCTACCCGCACTCACGAACGCCACCCGCACTCACGAACGCTACCCGCACTCACGAACGCCACCCGCACTCACGAACGCTACTCGCACTCACGAACGCCACCCGCACTCACGAACGCCGCCCGCACTCACGAACGCCACCCGCACTCACGAACGCCACCCGCACTCACGTGCGGCCCATCGCGGGTCCCAGGTCACGCGGCGTTCCCGGCCTCCAGTGAGGAGGCGGCGAGGTTCAAGCCGCCCGTGATTTGTCTTCCTGTGCTTGTACGCCACTGTACGCCACTGTACGCGGGGCCGCGTAACCGCCGGGTACTGGGCCAGCTCATCGGTAATGGTACGAAGTGACGACGACGATGACGACGATGACGACGACGACGATAATTATCATCTCTCCCAGTCGTGCAGAACCGCATCACGGCGTTCTGGTTCAAGGGCAAGGAGCTGGCATTGGCCTTCGGCCTCACGCTGGCCTTCTCGCGCCTGGGAAGTGTCCTCAACTTCTTCCTGACCCAGCGCGCAGAGGCGCAGTTCGGCCTGCAGTGGACGCTCTGGGGCGGTCAGTCAGTGTGTCCCCCCCTACCTCTTCCTCCCCACTCCTCGTACGGCGGTGAACTCGTCGACAACTTTGACGCAGGACAGCGTCGTCGCATATCCGACCGTCGCATATCCGACCGTCACATATCCGACCGTCGCATATCCGAGCGGACTCTGTCAACTGCCCGCAGCCATTGCGCGGTGTGTGTGTGTGTGGTGTAACTGGTGGGGAGCGGTGGTGTAGCGGCTAGCGCGCTGCACCACGAACCCGGCGACCCGAGTTCGATTCCCGCTCACGGCCAACGCCGGTGACGGTTATGTGAATCGGTCTTGGTCCTCCCCTAGATCGACTCGACCTCAAATGAGTACCCGGTGCGGTGTGTAAACATCGCCGCTGGGGAGACAAAGGCGTCCGGGCGTGGTGCTGGCCACCCACCCCCTCGTGTGCCGTGCCGGCCTTCATAGGTGGCGCTGCTACTCGCGAACAGCACTTGCCCCTACAGTCTGTTACAGGCTACACGGGGGATCTTTGTCTTTGTGGCGTAACTATCATTGCATGAAAAATAAGAATAGGTTTTTACCCTTTCTGGCAATAAAACACGAGGTGTTAAGATGTTCAAACTACAAATAGAAACATTTTGCAAGGCATCAAGTCTGCATTGCCCACACACGGTACTTGCGGTGAACATGCACACAAACATGGCTCTGATCATGTATGAATTGTCTTTGAAACTGATCAGGCCTAGACCAGAGACGGCCTTCTTTAGTACGTGTGGTCAATGCAGATTTGATTCCTTGCAAAAGGTATATTTTTTTTGTCGTTTGAACACGTTTAGCACAACTCGTGTTCTTTTATTGCCGGAAAGAGTAAAACCTATTCTTACTTTTCGCACTTTGATACTGGCAAAAGTAAATGTCCCATGGGAACTGTCATTGCCTTCGCGTGGTTAAAAGGGCAGCCAGCGGCCTGTTGGGGCTGAACGTGGGTGGTGGGGTTGCCCGCGTGTGGTAGGGGCGCTGCTGTGTGCGCTGGGCTTCGTGGCGGCCGTGGTGGTGAGCGTGCTCGACCGCGTCGGCACCAGGCAGCTCGGCCTGGAAGGCAGCGTGCGACAGGAGTCCAAGCGAGTGGTACGCGCGGGCGGGCACGCACGGACTGACACACACTCGCACACACACACGGTAAGACAACAACAACAACAACAACCGCCATTCGCCACTAAGTGGCGGTGACATCACCACTACACTTGCGCCAGGCCATGTCACGGGGCAGAGCCAGGGGCCACGGGTCGACTGACTGAGATCACTGGCTGATGCACCACCTGTGCCCCCTACTGTGCCAACCTGCTGTGCTTTAGCCACCCGGCGCTGCGCTCGTTGTTGTGAGCGTCGCTCCTCCGCCCTCCGTTGTTGTTGGAGGGCGACTGCCTCCAACTGCCCAGTAGCATCCTTCATGATGAGCCTCCTCCACAGAGGCCGATCTTGACACTGCTGGTACCAGTCATCGGCAAGTCCACTCAGCTCCACGTCCTCCTGTACCACATCACTCCATCTCTTCTCTAGCCCGTGCCGTGCCCGTTTAGCCCCCTCGATCCGGCCGAACAACAGCTATTTCGGCATGCGGTGGCTGGGCATGCGGGCTACATGACCCAGCCAACGCAGCCTTGCCCGCCGGAGGAGCTCACCGATGGGACCTTGCCCAGATCTTTCAAAGATTTGTGAGCTCCTCACACAATCCAGCCTGGTTAAACCCAGGATGGATAGTAGGCAGGCTAGCCTAAATGTTTCTAACCGGCGAAGATGTTCCATTAGGGGGGTCCACGTTTCGCAAGCATAGCGAAGGGAGGGAATGACCGTGGCCGAGAAGACCTGAAGCTTAGTGCGGAGCGACAGACCAGGTAGCTTCCACACAGCGTTACGCAACCGATCAAAAGATATTGCCGCTCGACTGATTCGGAGTGAGACCTCTGCTGTTAAACTGGAGCCGGTCATAAGCACACTGCCCAGGTATGGGAAACTCTCCACTCTCTCCACAACTGCCCCATCACCGATTGGGAGTTGTGGGGGTGGAGTGTCCGATGGTACAAAATACCCAGGCAGGTGCTTAGTTTTGGTGGGGCTGATAGTAAGGCCCCATCTCTAAGTGGCACACTCCAGTCTCAGCAGCAGCGTCTCCAACTCCTCCTCTGAATGAGCAGCTATTACCAAATCATCGGCATACATAACGTGGTTGAGCAATAGGGAGCCATCCCTTGACCGCACCCGGGCATCGATCAGCCTCCCATTATATATGTACCAAATGGAGATTCCCCCGGTACAGCTATTGAAGGCTTAACAAACTACGTGGTCAAAATAGATGTTAAATAATGTGGAAGCCAGAGGACATCCCTGTCGCACCCCAAGGTGTACAAGGAATGGCTCCTACTCCCGGCCATGTAGTTTTACCCGGGCCCGCTCACCATCATGAAGGTCCTTAATGATCGTGAGCAGGGGGTCAGGGACTCCAAAAGCACGAAGAACAACCCAGAGCCCAGGCCTACCGATGGTATCATAGGCCCTGACCAGGTCAATACAGCAGAAATGTAGGTCTTGTTGGAATTCCCTACACCTCTGCTGTAGCAGACGGACAGAAAATATGGCATCTGTGCATGACCGCCCTTTCCTGAAACCGCATTGGGGCTCCGCAAGCCTCTCCTCAGCGTGCCTGGCAAGGCGATGTTGAATAATCCTTGCCAGGACCTTTCCCCGCACACTGAGGAGTGAGATGCCCCTGTAGTTGTTACAGTCTGTGCGGTCCCCATTCTTAAAGAGGGGGACCACCAGGGCATCCTTCCAATCCTGCGGAACCCATCCAGTGGTCCAGACTGTTGTTATGATGTCATATAGGGCAGTCTGTGCACAAACGCCACCCTCCCTCAGCATTTCGCTTGGGAGATCATCTCTACCCAGTGCCTTTCCTGGTCTCAGACTCCGGATCGCCTTCAGTACTTCCTCAACAGATGGCACCTCAGCCAGCCACTCACAGGGGGTGACTTCTTCCAATATTTGAGGCACCGCAGCCTCAGCAGGGTCATCCTCACTTTGTGCCACGATGTTTTCCTGGCTGAGCGGTTTCCCTTCCCCCAGGACCTCACAGAAATGCTCAGCAAATCTACAAACCTGTTCTTGGGGGTTGGAGATTGGAACACCATTTTTTCCCCTAATGATGGTAATAGGTGTGGCGCTGCAGGTTACTTTTTTATGGAGTTAAATAGAGATTTGTGATCGCGGGCCATTGAGGCAGACTCCATCTCCTCAGCAACCCGCGACCACCCATCCTTGCAGCGCCTCACGGCTCTCCGAACCTCCGAGTGAGGGCTGCGGTAAGCCTCCTCATTCTCTGACGTGGGATTCTGTAGCTGATGACAGTGGGCCTGTCGCTTTTTCTCAACTATCCTGAACACCTCCTCTGTCAGCCAGGGTCTCTGGGGAGGTCTGGACCACGTACCCAAAGCAGCCATTGCAGCTGCATGAGTCACAGTCCTAAACCTCACCCATTTACCCTCGACATCAGGAGGAGTGGAGGACGATGCCAACCCCAACCGCAAGCGATGATGAAATTCTCGCTTGCAACTTTCATCAGCTAACTGAAACCAGGCCACTTTAGGTTGGAATGGGGTCCTGGGTGTACACCCATCACTGGAGTGGAAGAATGGCAGGCGCATCTTACAGATGACTAGTTGATGGTCAGAGGGCAGATCAGCTCCACGGTAGGTCCTGGTGTCAAGGACATGGGCTCGCATCCGCTGGTCCGTCACTATGTAGTCCAGCAGATGTTCTTGCTTGGACCCGGCATGCATCCATGATGTTGTGTGGATGCGCCGATGCCGGAACAGCGTGTTGGTAATTACAAGCCCATGGGCTGCACAAAAATCTAGCAGCCTCCTACCGTTGTTATTGAGCTGATGTGGCCCATGCCCTCAAATAACTCCAGACCAGGTGCCAGCATCATGACCAACTCGGGCATTGAAGTCACCCATCAATATGACTCTATCCCGAGGGGCCACTTTAGCCAGCACCTGTGACAGGAGGTCATAGAAGGCATCTGACTCATCGGCTTTGCCTGCATCCCTCCACGGATGTTCGTCTTCGGTGGGGGCATAAGTAACCACGACCACCACTCCTCGCCTCCGGTTGATGGGAAGGCGAGCCCAAAGTAGCCTGGGGCTTACAGCTTCCCACACCTCACCACCACGCTCCCACGCACCTTCATTCTTTTGTTCAAAAGAAGAGCCACACCCTGTTGTTTGGCAGTCTGCTGCCCCGAGTAGAGGACTGTCCACCCCTCATGGTGGCAGGAGCCAGAACCGGTCCACCGGACCTCCTGAATGCCACAGAGATCCAGGCGGTACCGGTCCAGCTCCCGACAGAGGAGTGGCAGTCTCTCCTCCGCAGTGAGCGTTCGAACATTCCACGTGGCCACACGAAGTGGCTTTTCGTTGTTTCTGGAGGAGCCCCGAGGGTAGAGATTCAATCTCCTGCTCCGCCAATTGGGGTTTGGCCAGGAGATGTCATAGACGCCTGTCCCCCCGGGGCCTCCGGCACAAGCTTATTAGTTATATATTTAAGTCGTGGTTTCGTGGTAATTTTTTGAAGGTGGAGGGGTTACCAGCCCCTCGTACCCGTCCAGAGCCCCCGTTTAGCCACTGTGGTGGTCACAGACGCCATGAGGGGAGAGGGCCAATCGGAATTGGCCCTCTCCCCACAGCACCGTCCACGACAGAGTTGCCCGTCCGGCACCGCGAGGAGGTAGGGGGTTTTGCCGGATGGTAAGACACACACTCGCACACACACACACGGACTGACACACATTCGCACACACACACGGTAAGACACACACTCGCACACACACATGGACTGACACACACTCGCGCACACACACACTGACACACACTCGCACACACACACACGGACTGACACACACTCGCGCACACACACACACGGACTGACACACACTCGCACACACACACACACGGACTGACACACACTCGCACACACACACACGGACTGACACACACTCGCACACACACGGATTGACACACACTCGCACACACACACGGACTGACACACACTCGCGCACACACACACGGACTGACACACACTCACACACACACACACGGACTGACACACACACACACACGGATTAATAGATGGATAGACGCACGGACGCAGGGATGGACGGGGTGGACACAGTTCGAGTGTGATCAACAGTTCCAGTGTGATCAACAGTTCCGGTGTGATCAACAGTTCCAGTGTGATCAACAGTTCCAGTGTGAGTGATCAACAGTTCCAGTGTGAGTGATCAACAGTTCCAGCGTGAGTGATCAACAGTTCCGGCGTGAGTGATCAACAGTTCCAGTGTGAGTGATCAACAGTTCCGGCGTGAGTGATCAACAGTTCCAGTGCGAGTGATCAACAGTTCCAGTGTGAGTGATCAACAGTTCCAGTGTGAGTGATCAACAGTTCCAGTGTGAGTGATCAACAGTTCCAGTGTGAGTGATCAACAGTTCCAGTGTGAGTGATCAACAGTTCCGGCGTGAGTGATCAACAGTTCCGGCGTGAGTGATCAACAGTTCCAGCGTGAGTGATCAACAGTTCCAGTGTGAGTGATCAACAGTTCCAGTGTGAGTGATCAACAGTTCCAGTGTGAGTGATCAACAGTTCCAGTGTGAGTGATCAACAGTTCCAGTGTGAGTGATCAACAGTTCCAGTGTGAGTGATCAACAGTTCCAGTGTGAGTGATCAACAGTTCCAGTGTGAGTGATCAACAGTTCCAGTGTGAGTGATCAACAGTTCTGGCGTGAGTGATCAACAGTTCCGGCGTGAGTGATCAACAGTCCCAGCGTGAGTGATCAACAGTTCCAGCGTGAGTGATCAACAGTTCCAGTGTGAGTGATCAACAGTTCCAGTGTGATCAACAGTTCCGGCGTGAGTGATCAACAGTTCCAGCGTGAGTGATCAACAGTTCCGGCGTGAGTGATCAACAGTTCCATTGTGAGTGATCAACAGTTCCATTGTGAGTGATCAACAGTTCCAGTGTGAGTGATCAACAGTTCCATTGTGAGTGATCATCAGTTCCAGTGTGAGTGATCAACAGTTCCGGCGTGAGTGATCAACAGTTCCGGTGTGAGTGATCAACAGTTCCAGTGTGAGTGATCAACAGTTCCGGCGTGAGTGAGTGATCAACAGTTCCAGCGTGAGTGATCAACAGTTCCAGTGTGAGTGATCAACAGTCCCAGTGTGAGTGATCAACAGTCCCAGTATGAGTGATCAACAGTTCCAGCGTGAGTGATCAACAGTTCCAGTGTGAGTGATCAACAGTTCCAGTGTGAGTGATCAACAGTTCCAGTGTGAGTGATCAACAGTTCCAGTGTGAGTAGTGTAAAGTTCCAGTGTGAGTGATCAACAGTTCCGGCGTGAGTGATCAACAGTTCCGGTGTGAGTGATCAACAGTTCCAGTGTGAGTGATCAACAGTTCCAGTGTGAGTGATCAACAGTTCCAGTGTGAGTGATCAACAGTTCCAGTGTGAGTGATCAACAGTTCCAGTGTGAGTGATCAACAGTTCCGGTGTGAGTGATCAACAGTTCCAGTGTGAGTGATCAACAGTTCCAGAGTGAGTGATCAACAGTTCCAGTGTGAGTAGTCTAAAGTTCCAGCGTGAGTGATCAACAGTTCCGGCGTGAGTGATCAACAGTTCCGGCGTGAGTGATCAACAGTTCCAGAGTGAGTGATCAACAGTTCCAGTGTGAGTAGTCTAAAGTTCCAGCGTGAGTGATCAACAGTTCCGGCGTGAGTGATCAACAGTTCCAGCGCGAGTGATCAACAGTTCCGGCGTGAGTGATCAACAGTTCCAGCGCGATCAACAGCTCAGCAGCGAGGGGTTGGGGGGCGCGTGGGGCGGGCGCAGGGGTCTAGACATCCGCGAGGAAGTTCCCCCGACCGCGAGCGGAACGCTGCCCCCCGCGGCTGCCGTCGATGAGCCGCCCCCTTGCCCCCCCTTCCCTCCGCGCGGGGCTGCGGCTGCGGCTGTGGCTGTGGCGAGTGAAGCTCCCGAGTCGAGAGCCACGTCGGTGGAGAGGGCTCGCGGGGCGGCGGATCGGCCGCGAGCGTGTCGCTCGAGCGTGTCGCTCGCGGGACCGAAGCGTTGTCTCCTGTCTGTGGCAGCGCTTCTTGGACATCCGCTACCTGCCGCTGCGCTACTGGCTCCTGGTGTTCACCATCATGTTCTTCTACAACGGCATCTTCCCCTTCGTGGCGGACGCCAGGTGCCTTGCCCGCGGTCGCCTCGGTTGTAGCCTGAGCCCTGTTTTTGTTGTTGCTGTTGTTGCTGTTGTTGTTGTTGTTGTTGTTTGAACAGCGTGGGTTAGAAGTGAGCGGCAGGGGCCGGGCACGCGTGAGGTGGTGGGGGCGGGGGGGGACGGGGGGGGCAGTGGGGGGGCGGTGACGCGGCCCAGCCGCAGCGCATTCACCGCTTGTCAGACCGCTCGTGACACCGCTCGTGACGCCGCTCGTGACACCGCTCGTGACACCGCTCGTGACACCGCTCGTGACGCCGCTCGTGACACCGCTCGTGACACCGCTCGTGACGCCGCTCGTGACACCGCTCGTGACACCGCTCGTGACGCCGCTCGTGACGCCGCTCGTGACACCGCTCGTGACACCGCTCGTGACACCGCTCGTGACACCGCTCGTCAGACTGCTCGTGACACCGCTCGTCAGACCGCTCGTGACACCGCTCGTGACACCGCTCGTGACACCGCTCGTGACACCGCTCGTCAGACCGCTCGTGACACCGCTCGTGACACCGCTCGTGACACCGCTCGTGACACCGCTCGTGACACCGCTCGTGACACCGCTCGTGACACCGCTCGTGACACCGCTCGTGACACCGCTCGTCAGACCGCTCGTGACACCGCTCGTGACACCGCTCGTGACACCGCTCGTGACACCGCTCGTGACACCGCTCGTGACACCGCTCGTGACACCGCTCGTGACACCGCTCGTCAGACCGCTCGTGACACCGCTCGTGACACCGCTCGTGACACCGCTCGTGACACCGCTCGTGACACCGCTCGTCAGACTGCTCGTGACACCGCTCGTGACACCGCTCGTGACACTGCTCGTGACACTGCTCGTGACACCGCTCGTGACACCGCTCGTGACACCGCTCGTGACACCGCTCGTGACACCGCTTGTGACACCGCTCGTGACACCGCTCGTGACACCGCTCGTGACACTGCTCGTGACACCGCTTGTGACACCGCTCGTGACACCGCTCGTGACACCGCTCGTGACACTGCTTGTATCATTGCTCGTGACACCGCTCGTGACACCGCTCGTGACGCCGCTCGTGACGCCGCTCGTGACGCCGCTGCCACTCGTACCCCGTGCCCCGCAGCAAGTTCATCCAGGACAAGTACGTGGGTTACTCGCAGCAGCAGGCGGCGTACGTGGCGGGTGCCGTCTACGACAGCTCCCTCGTCCTCTCCGCCACGGTCGGCATCCTCATCGTGAGTCGCCGCCAAAGTTCTACTCGTTTTATTCACCCCCCCCCCCCTAAAGGGATGATGGGCCGAGTCGACCCCTCAACCGAGATTTGAACTCGCAAACGCGGCGATCGAGAGCCGCGGGAAGCTGCAGTGAAGGGGGGGTGAGCGGGCAGGGATCGGCTCCGTACTCCGAGTGAGAGACACGGGAAGCTGCAGTGAGGGGGGTGAGCGGGCAGGGTGGCGACGCCGGGTCGATGTGTTTGCGGAGTCGAGCAGGAGTTGTCGAAGCACGCCTTCTTCCCGACACCGAGCGGCCGATGGGTTTGCCTGCACGTGCGCTGCTTCCGCGGCCGTCTGGAACGCTCTTCCTTCCGATGTTAGGAAGTCACTGGGAGCTGCGTGTTTAGTTTGTCGTCCTTCCCCCTAGCGCCTCCGATTAGCACGGTTGGCGACATACGATGAGAAAGAAGTTCAACGTACATCGTCCAAAGCGAAGGCAAAGATCCCCCGTGTAGCCCTAAACAGACTGTTGGGGCAAGTGCTGTTAGCGAGCAGCACCTGTGAAGGCCGGCACGGCACACGAGGGGGTGGGTTGGCCAGCGCCACGCCCGGCCGCCTTTGTCTCCCCCACTGGCGATGTTATAAACACCGCGCCAGGTGCTCATTTGAGGCCGAGTCGACCTAGGGGAGGAGGCCCAGGACCGGTTCGGATAATCGTCACCGGTGTTGTCCGTGAGCGGCAATCGATCTGGAGTCGCCGGGTTCGCAGCGCAGCGCAGCGCTAACCGTCGCTGCATGTGCGTCGTACATACAACATACACACAACATGCGTGCCACACGGCAGCATACTTAACATACAACGCCCGTTCGCCCGTACGCCCCGTGTCCGTGGTGCAGGACTACGTGGGGCTGCGCGGCGTGTTCTGCACGGCGTGCGCGGTGCTCACCCTGCCGGTGTTCGCGCTGCTCGCCTTCACCACGGTGCCGCCCCTCGTGTGCACGCTCTGGCTCGGAGTCACCTACTCGTTCGCCGCGGTGAGCGACGGGCGTGGGGAGGAGGTTGGGGGTGGGGTCGCGTCGTCGACGTAACGAGAAAGGCCGACGTTTCGCCGTCGTGGCGAGATGTTAGTTACCTCGCCCGGTATGCGGGAGGTCGCGGGTTCGATCGCGACCCTGACATCGTCTGCTGTATATTTGGACTTTGCGTGTGTGTCTCTCTCTCTCTCTCCACTTGGTCGCGTAGATATTTCTGCGGGTACTCCGGTTTGGAATGGACTCGCGTTGAGATTATTTTGCTGCTGCTCCTGCTGTATATTTCCACGTGATAAGCCACTTCGTTTGTGATGGCCAGGCTGCTGCTGAAAGAGAGCTACATAGCTCAGTGTGCCTTACCTGGTCAAATAAAAATAAGATGTTTTTTTTAAGTGCTTTGTTTTACTTTCCAAGTGTGTTGCTCTCCAACACACAACCGGTGGTGCTGTACTAGTGACGAATTGGCCACGTTCTGTTTACGTGACAAACTTTACTGGTGGGACTGCGTCGGGTGGTGGCGGGTTTAATGAAACATTTATACTTACGCGAAAGCCTACGTGTTAAATTGATCTTTCCTACACTTTGCGCTCTGATCGTGTTTTTTTTTATATTGTGTTGTTGTAATGTTCTGACCCTGAGCCCCTACTGGACATCTGTCAAAAAGAGCTTCATAGCTCATTGGATTCCCTCTTCCAGTCTAAATAAAGATTCCGATTCTGATACCCCGGCCCGGCCCGGCCCGGCTGGACCGAGGGCCATATCAGCAAGCATTTCAGCGGTCGCGTTGTGCCAGACACGAGCGCAGGCAGACATTCCCACGAGATGATGATGGTGGTGGTGATGATCCACTTCGTTGAGTTATCATTTGTGACGGCCAGGGTCGCTTCTGAAGAAAATGAGCTACACGGCAACTCAGTGCGGCCTTTAACTGGTAAAATGAAAATTGTTTAGAAGTGAGTTTGTCAAGCTAGATGATGATTTAAAAGTGCATAGCTCCAGTGGATCCCTAATATCGGAAGGAAGAGCGTTCCAGACGGCCGCCTGTATATTTAGAGTTTGCGTGTCTCTCTCCCCATGGTTGCATGGATTTTTGCTCCGGGGCCTCCGGTTCTTCCCTCCACGTTTCGAATGAACATCACGCGCTTAAGAGTATTAAATTTCCGCACGGTAGGCCGCTTTGTTGAGCTATCATTTCTGATGGCCAGGTGGCTTCTGAAAAAGAGCCATACGGTAGCTCCGGTGAACTAAAAAAAATCGATTCTGGTTTTTGATGAAGTGCGTGCCGTTGCAGGCCAGCATGTGGCCGTCCATCCCGCTGGTGGTCCCGCAGGCCACGCTGGGTACAGCCATGGGTCTCACCACCTCCATTCAGATGATCGGCATCGGCTTGTCCAACGTCATTGTGGGACAGATCCTCGGCACCAAGTCCAGGTGAATCCCTCCGCGTCGTCGGGATCCGGGGATCCGGGGATCGTGGATCCGGGGATCGTGGATCTGGGGATCGTGGATCCGGGGATCTGGGATCCAGTCCACGTTTTCATGGCTGGTTGCATGCGCGCGCACCCTGCCCCCACCTACTGCAATGTACCAGCGGGGCCCCTGGAAAATATAGCCGCACCCGGCACACCACATCCAGTAATGACCGTGGCTGCCAGTCACTTGCCACTTACTTCAGTCTGTCGGAAAGTATTTCCAAACTAAACTATTTTTTTTATTTCAGAGGCGACCTGGCCTCCACAAATGATAACTCAACGAAGTGGGCTTATCATCGTGTGGAAATTTACGAGCAGCCAAATGATAATCTAAGCGCGTCATGTTGATTCTAAATGTGGGGGGGGGGGTGGGTGGAACCGGAGGACCTGGAGAAAAATCCACACAACCACGAGGGGAGAGAGAGGCACAGAGTTGGGATCGAATCCACGTCCTCCTGCATACCAGGCGAGGTAGTCGACATCTGACCGCTGCAGGGCCCCAGCACACCACATCCAGGATGAGACGTTCGCTATAAGGTGTGGCTACTACTGGTCACGTGCCGCCTACTCCAGCCTAAGTATACCCCGTGTACGCGTGTGCGTGTGTGTGTGTGTGCGTGTGTGTGTGCGTGTGTGTGTGCGTGTGTGTGTGCGTGTGCGTGTGGGTGTGTGTGTGTGCGTGTGTGTGTGCGTGTGTGTGTGTGTGGGTGTGTGTGCGTGTGTGTGTGTGTGTGCGTGTGTGTGCGTGTGTGTGTGTGCGTGTGTGTGCGTGTGTGTGTGTACGCGTGTGTGTGTGTGATGTGTGTGTGTGTGCGTGTGTGTGCGTGCGTGTGTGTGTGTGCGCAGCGAAGCGACGATCCCGCTGGAGCGCTGGCAGTACATGATGATCTTCATGCTTGTCAACACCGTGTGCTGCATCGTCGTATCGCTCTTCCTCAACGTCGTGGACAGCAGACAGGTACCGCCATCGCCGGCAGTCGTTGCCGTCCTCGCGTTTGCCGTCAAGCGAGCCGCGGTTGATCGACCGCCGGGTGAAGAAGGTGTCCCCAAGTCGCCGGTGTTGGGTCGGTGGGTGGGTACGAGGGAGGGGGGAGATGGGAGGGGAGGGGAGAGGGAGGGGAGAGGGAGGAGAGTTCCAGACAGTATGGGGCAGGCAGTCACGTGGCCATTTGTTTTGCCAACGTCACCGTTCAAGTAACAACAACATCGCGAATAATTCACTCGGGACGAAGGGCACACGGCAAGGTCGACCCCCGGCTCCCCGTGCCCTCCCCGCCCGCCCCCGGGATGCCGTTGACGTCACCGCGACGCAGATGCGCGGCGCGGTGACGTCACCACCGCGCGCCAGCCAGCCGGCCAGTCGGCGGGCAGCCGGCAAAACGTTTTAGCCCCACAGGCTATGAAGCTGGAGTAGCCGCGGTGCCGACGTGGTGGTGACGCGGCGGCGGCGGCGGTGGTGGTGCCGCGGTGCGCAGGGCGGGACTCTGAACAGGAGCACCAAGCGGCGGGCGGCTGGCGAGGTCACCGCCGGCGCCGGCGGCACGGAGGAGGGAGCCCCCACGGAGCGGTCGCCGCTGCTGGGGGAGCAGGACGGCGACGACGGCGGCAGCGGCGTCAAATAGACAGCCGCGTCTGCCGCACGCACACACGTGTATACACACACGTGTATACACACACGTGTATACACACACGTGTATACACACACGTGTATACACACACGTGTATACACACACGTGTATACACACACGTGTATACACACACGTGTATACACACACGTGTATACACACACGTGTATACACACACGTGTATACACACACACACACACGTGTATACACACACACACACACGTGTATACACACACGCACACACGTGTATACACACACGCACACACGTGTATACACACGCACACGTGTATACACACGCACACGTGTATACACACACACACGTGTATACACACACACACACACGCACACACGTGTATACACACGCACGCACGCACACACACGTGTATACACACACACACACGTACGCACGCGCACACACGCACACACGCACGTGTATACACACGCACACACGCACGCACACACGTGTATACACGCACACATGCGCGCACACACGCACACGCACGCGCACACACGCACGCACACAAGCACACACACGTGTATACACGCACGCACGCACACGTGCACACACACGCACACACACGTGTATACACACGCACGCACACACACGTGTATACACACGCACACACACGCACACGTACGCACACACGCACGCACACGCGCACACGCACACACGCATGTGTATACACACACACAAAGATCCCCCCCGTATAGCCTGAGCAGACTGTTGGGGCAGGTGCTGTTAGCGTGTTGCGACCTATGAAGGCCGGCACGGCACACGATGGGGTGGGTGGCCAGCACCACGCCCGGCCGCCTTTGTCTCCCCATTGGCGTTGTTTACACACCGCAACAGGTACTCATTGGAGGCCGAGTCGACCTAGGGGAGGACCAGCACCGGTTCAGATAATCGTCACTGGGTGTTGGTGGCCATGAGCGAGAATCGAAGCCGGGTCGCCGGGTTCGTAGCCCTAAGTTAAGCGCTACGCTGCTGCTGTAACAACACACTACTGCTGTACACACACACACACACGGATACAAACACACACATACACACGTATGTTTACACCTGTATTGTGATTATACCCACAGCAGCATCGGGCCTCGTCCTGCCAGACTGATGCAGACTCTCTGTAGAGCACAGCCCTGCGCTGTAAGAGCGATATGGCGCATACCAAATGTGGCACAAATTAACATGATCAAGAGCTGCCACCCTATTACCTTTCTCCCTACTTTGCAGATGGAGCACTTATTACAATGCAACTCCTCTCCGTAACACAGTTATGGATCGGAGGCTTGGGGGGAATTTACTGGGAGAAGGAATGAGAATGAATGAGGCATATAGGTGCCAGGGGAAGGAATGAGAAGAAATGAGAGGGATTTAGGTGCCAGGGGAAGGAATGAGAAGGAATGAGAGGGATTTAGGTGCCAGGGGAATGAATGAGAAATGAATGAAAGGCATATAGGTGGCAGGGGAATGAATGAGAATGAATGAGAGGGATATAGGTGGCGGGGGAAATGAGCCATTTCACTCTGCGTGTTTTTTGTTACTTGCGTATACCAAACTTGCACCGACTTAGTCTTAACGGAATTCGTGCAAGGCATCTCGTTTCGACACCTCGCTTCTACTACGTCCGCGACCGTTGCGGCACTATCACTACAAATGGCGGTGCTGGAGTTGACGCATTCCCAGACGAACGTGGTCCGTTAATGTGACTACATTAACTTACGTGACTGCATTAGGCGCACCCCTGTGATCTCCGCACATGACAGGCTCATAGCGGTGACATCACCTCGACTCCTCGACTCCGTCTTTCTCGGACGGGAAGCGGCTAGACTTCTTCACAATTCTGGCTATCGCCTGATGATACTGGTGGTGGTTGTTGTTGTTGTTGCTGCTGCTGCTGTTGTAATCACCGGCGAAACTTCACACTACTCGAATTGTAAATGCTGTAGTGGGTTTACTCTCTAACACGCAGCCGGTTATAGTGCCGTACTCGTAACGAATTGGCACTTTATCGTTTTATGTGCCACTGGTTCTTCACGTTCTGCAGATGTAGATGCCACTGGTTCTTCACGTTCTGCAGATGTATATGCCACTGGTTCTTGACGTTCTGTAGATGTATATGCCACTGGTTCTTCACGTCTACAGATGTAGATGCCACTGGTTCTTCACGTTCTACAGATGTAGATGCCACTGGTTCTTCACGTTCTGCAGATGTAGATGCCACTGGTTCTTCACGTTCTGCAGATGTAGATGCCACTGGTTCTTCACGTTCTGCAGATGTAGATGCCACTGGTTCTTCACGTTCTACAGATGTAGATGCCACTGGTTCTTCACGTCTACAGATGTAGATGCCACTGGTTCTTCACGTTCTGTAGATGTAGATGCCACTGGTTCTTCACGTTCTGTAGATGTAATGCCACTGGTTCACGTCTACAGATGTAGATGCCACTGGTTCTTCACGTTCTGTAGATGTAATGCCACTGGTTCTTCACGTCTACAGATGTAGATGCCACTGGTTCTTCACGTCTACAGATGTCGATGCCACTGGTTCTTCACGTTCTGCAGATGTAGATGCCACTGGTTCTTCACGTTCTGCAGATGTAGATGCCACTGGTTCTTCATGTTCGGCAGATGTAGATGCCACTGGTTCTTAACGTTCGGCAGATGTAGATGCCACTGGTTCTTCACGTTCTGCAGTTCACCGTGTGACCTTGTTCATAGCAAACGCGTATTCTTTGAGATATTGCGCACTTGGCAGTTCACCGTGTGTATCTCTGCCCATAAGTTAGGGTAAGCCACCTTGTCCGGGTTTGGTCAAGAGAAGGCGCCAGTCCCACTACGCACTCGTATTCATCTGCCAAGTCGCTCAGTAACTTGCCCACTCATTCACTCGCACGCCCACGCGGGGTGGTGCCTCGCGACGGCGAGGAGTTAACTGCCTCGCCTGGTATACAGGAGATTGTTGTGGGTTTGATCCTGAACCCCGACGCCTGCTGTATATTTGGAGTTTGCGGTGTCTCTCTCCCCATGGTCGCGTGGATTTTTATCCGGCTCCTCCGGTTTTCCCCCCTTCCACATTTAGCATCAGCATCAATGTATATTTAGAGAATTTCGCCGCTGTACATTTCCACATGATGAGCCACTATCATTTGTGGCAGCCAAGTTGCTTTTGAAAAAGACCTAAATAGCGAAGTGGTCCTTAACCTGGCGAAAATAAAATTTAGGGTTTCCACTTGTCCGGGTTTATCTGAGACACGGAACCTCTTGTTTGGGTGTCGGCAGGAATTGATTTGTAACCGAGATCCGGTACTGTTCCCGAAGAGTTGAATTTTACTGCAGTGCAACTGCACAGCGTGGATGAGACCCAGTGCTGGGAAATTAATCCCGGTTTCGTGGTAAGCAGTGGCAACCCGAATCACACGGGCACAGCCGAGCCAGGATTAGAACAAATCGTGAATCGCTATTTGTTCAAATCTCATCTCCTGCGATGGTCACTGTGGAATCCGCGGCGTCGCGCATTTTGGCATTTATTCTCATGGGCTCTGCCTGTTATTCGGGAGGTCGTGGGTTTGAACCCGGCCCCGATTGTAAGTTTGGATTTTGAATGTCTCCTCTCTCCCCCGTGGTCGCGTGGATTTTTTTTTCCGGGTCCTCCGGTCTCCCCTCCCACCACCACTCCACATTTAGAATCAACGTCGTGCGCTTAAACAGTATTTGGCTGCGATTAAATGTCCACGTGATAAGCCCACTGCGTTGAGCTGTCATTTTCGATAGCCAGGTCTCTTCTGAAAGAGCTGTATAGCTCGGTGGGCCTTAACCAACATCTTGCGAAGTGTCTAATCTACAGCATGCGCTTATTGAAATCGCAAGCAGCCAACGTAGGTCAGTCGATGCAAGATGCGAATATGAATATATAATCTGTATGCATAGCCACACTTATAACCACAATGCTGCGTAGTGCACCATGTCCATAATGTTAAGGATTATCAGACATACAAAAGGGGAGGAGTTTGAGGTGGTGTTTTTACAATGTCTGGATCGCATACCTGTCAAGCCCTTTATTACAGACCAATTCAGACCTTATTGGTCACCACGTGCCCTTATAAATCTCAACGTTCATCCTACAAAGTCCCATCGCAAGGGAGAAAACACAAATAAAGAACAAAAAATTGAAACGGCTGTACGCCGTATGGAGCTGAAAACTCAATTTGGCCTGTCAAAGAATAGGGGGTAAAAACCGTGATGGGTTGACGGCTATGGGATTGTCAAGCATGTTCCGACCTATTAACATTTTCAAATCCATAATTTTAAGGATTTGAGATATACAAAAGGGAATCGTTTAGGATCATGGTGTTTTCCAATGTCTGGCTTGTCCAGACATGTTCGGAGCTATTGAGATTTTCAGATCAGTTTACTTTGCGCAGTAATTCATCTCGTTATTTGTGCGGATAGATGTGACGTCGCACCACTTTGGCGGGGAAATCACACGTGTGATGCCATACTTGTGTGATGCCATACTCGTGTGATGCCATACTTGTGTGATGTCATACTCGTGTGATGCCATACTCGTGTGATGTCATACTCTTGTGATGCCATACTCGTGTGATGCCATACTCGTGTGATGCCATACTTGTGTGATGTCATACTTGTGTGATGCCATACTTGTGATGCCATACTCGTGTGATGCCATACTCGTGTGATGCCATACTCGTGTGATGTCATACTCGTGTGATGCCATACTCGTGTGATGCCATACTTGTGTGATGTCATACTTGTGTGATGCCATACTTGTGATGCCATACTCGTGTGATGCCATACTTGTGTGATGTCATACTCGTGTGATGCCATACTCGTGTGATGTCATACTTGTGTGATGCCATACTTGTGTGATGTCATACTTTTCAAAACAAAACATTTTTGGGGGGGGATTTCCAGATGTTGGTATTAATCTGAAGTACGGGAACACATTGTTAATGTAGTCACCAGTATTGCTTTTATGAAAACAATTAAGGACACAAACTGAAAGCAACTTAAGCACCCCATTGTTGCTTGCTCTGCACTGCTCATTTAACATGTGGGGAAGTCGACTGCTTTTCCTGTGGATATTGCACTTGCCCCTGCCATGGGGAATGTGGAATTTTCACCGCTGGCAGGGCTGAACAGATGGAGCAGCGCCCCCACGCTCACTTTCGGAATAAAGAACAGACTGGATTGTATTTATCATGCCCTTAATAAATCGTAATGATTATAATATAAACTACAAATATACAAAACGCCACTCAACTGTTACATATCAAAAAAGGCATTTTTTAATTTCTCTTGTGGTCTCAATGGTTTCAAGTGCAATATTCGTTTTGTATCTTTTACTTTTCAAATATTTGCTTTTTTTTTAATTCGCCAACTTACTCGAATGTGAATAAAATTCAATGCTGCTGTCCCAATGACAATTCCATATCGCAAGTGTGTCCAGCAGGTCTTTACAATGTCAACATCAAATAGACAATTAATTTTGTTATCAAATCCACAGGTTCAAGACGTCTGGTGCGAGCGAAAATTAATTCATCATAGCCCCTGGTGCAGCTACAGAGGGTGCGGAGATGTTAACTACATCGCCTGGCATACAGGAGATTGTGGGTTCGATCCAGACGCCGGTTGTATATTTGGAGTTTGCGTCTCTCTGTGGTCGTGTGGATCCCCCCCCCCCCCCCCCAAGTGTTTCCCTCCACATTTAGAATCAACATGCGAGTAGCACCCGATGAAGGCCACACCTCTGATTAGCGCGGTTGGCTCCGTACGGTGTGAATGGAGTTCAACATAGACTCACAGAGACCTATACTCACACAGAGACCCATAGACTCGCAAAGACCTATAGACTCACACAGAGACCCACAGAATCAGAGACCCACAGAATCACACAGAGACCCACATACACAGAGACCCATACTCACACAGACACCCATAGACTCACGCAGAGACCTATACTCGCACAGAGACCCATAGACTCACACAGAGACCCACAGAATCGGAGACCCACAGAATCACACAGAGACCCACATACTCACACAGAGACCCACAGACTCACGCAGAGACCTATACTCGCACAGAGACCCATAGACTCACACAGAGACCCATAGACTCACGCAGAGACCCATAGACTCACACAGAGACCCATAGACTCACACAGAGACACCCAGAGAGGAGTTCAACATACACACATGTAGAGATAGGGGCACCTCAGTGGCAAGATGTTAACTTCGCCTGGTATACAGGAGGTTGTGGATTCGATCTCGACGTGTTGTGCATTTGGAGTTTGCGTGTCTCTCTCCCCGTGGTCGTGTGGATTTTTCCCCGGTTTTTCCCTCCACATTTAGAATATGCATTTAGAGCATTTGGCTGCCGTTAATTTCCACGCTAATTCATCGAGCTATAATTTGTTGATGGCCAGGTCGCTTCTGAAAAGGAGCTACACATACCTCAGTGGGGGGCCCTTACCTGGTAAAATAAAAACATTGTTTCGTTTGTAATTTTTTTTTTAAGTTCAGAGAACCTATCTGGCGCTATCGCGATCCTGGATTTGAATTCTGGACAGCCTCCTGTGGTACAAGTGGATTCTCTGGTGCAACCGGTGGTACAAGTGGATTCTCTGGTGCAGTGGAGCCGATGGCTCTCAACTCCCCGGCGATCAAGGGACACACCGAAAAAACCCACGTGGGACCTTGCATTTTGCCTTGGCGCTCCGTTTGCCTCAATTCCAGCTCTTTGGAGATTTCAACGTCGGTTTTGGCCTTCACGTGACGGGACGTCACGCTCGTACGCAGTGGAGCGGGGAGGGGGCACGTGCTGCCGCCAAATGTGCAGACCCAAGGTCACTTGAAGAGATCTCGACTTACGAGGACTGTCCTCTAACACGAGGCGGCGGGGGGGGGTTAGGCCACAAGCACGATCGTCACACAAATGAAACGGTGACAATAGACATCACATTGTTTAATTTTGGCACATCTAAATGGTTTATTAATAACAGTTCAAAGTCATTTAGTTTAAACGTTAATTATTAAACCTTCTAACCTGGTTAAGTGGTTAATTGGATGCTAACTTTTTTTCGGTGTACTCCTTCGTGCTCGGATATGCGAGTTGTTATTAAGAAACCCCTTCATAGCAAATTATCGTTAATAAAATAAAGTGGTGAGGTGTACATTTACCACTCGATCCCAAGAGCGTGGGTTCTTACTGCAACTCCCAACAACGCGTTCGGGCGCCCTCTGTCAACGGCGATGGCGCCGGCGCGGCTCTTAAAGTGGATTTTCCAAACCCAAGGACCCCCAACAAAATAGTATCGTCAACAACGCTGCGCCAATTATTATTATTTATTTTTTTCCCCCCGGGGCCGGTTAGGAAATGTCTCGTCGAACCATGTCGATGCAAAGCAAGCCGCGTGTGTAGCGAGTGAGTGCCAAAGCGAACAAAAGTTACCCCGCCCTCGACCTAACCCCTTAACGACGTATGCATTGGCCAAAGTGTTAACAAGTGCACCATGCATAAATATGAAAGAGAAAATTGTCGTCCCGTCACACCGTTTTAAGACGTATCGATCGCCTGTGCATCTTTGACGATGCGTCCAGTTACCAGCCCCGCCCCGCTCGAGGTGTGACGTCATCGGCGCGTTCGACGGCACGCTCGACGCCCGTTTTAAAAGCGTCTCCCGGGCTCGGCGTGTCTCGTCCTATGCAATCGTCGAATCGAATTAGGCAAACCACGTTTCTCCTGCCTTCGACCCCGCGACTCAATTTGTTTGGATGGGGGGATGGGGGGGGAAAGATGCATTTCACAGGTCAACTTTGAAGTCGGAAATAATTACCAAAAATACACAGAAAGGTACACACGCACGCACACAACGAAGTCGATGATTAATACACAAAAATAAGATTCTGTGTGACGTTCCGTTGTTACTTCGCCTGCATCCCTCTCTCACTTCTTCTCTTTTCTCTTGTCCTAGACAAACAAAAAAAACACAAACGGGCGCAAGAGACGTCGCGCGTGAGCTGCTTTGAAAAACTCGTTTCTTTTTGGGAAAAAAAAAACAATTTCTTTAAGAACTGCTTTTGTGCGTTCAGTTTGTCGTCCTTCCCCCGCACCTACCATCAGCGCCGTTGGCTACGTACGGCGCGAAAGAAGTTCAACATACACGTACAATGCTCCACGCACCGATTGCATTGAAAAATGTTTAACGTGACAATCCATTGTAGTCCTTCTTCCGTACGGCCGATGTCGATGCAGAGCAACAACTACAATTTCACAGTCAGGTCGTGGAGCCCAGCTACCTGCGTCAGGAGTAGCGTAGTGTATGGCTGTACGTCGATTAACTGTTGAGTAACCCAACCAACCGGCAGGAAGTACTGCATATTCTCAAGATTAACATAATCCACTAATTTAGATTATCACATTAACCGCCTTCTCTCCTTATAGGCCTCACAGTGATGGCAACGCCTTCACTCAATTTAAGACCGGAAACGGGAAGACTTCTTTAAAAATTTCTGGCACAAAAAAAATCGCCCGATGAAGCTGGTTGTAATCGCCAGCGGAATGGCGTACTCAAAATTGTAAATGCCTGCGGTGTTTCCGAACACCACGGCCTTTGCTTGCGTGCAGCTTGGCGGCGAGCGAAGGATAGGATTTGCCTGGTGGGGGGGACTGCTATGCCTCGATGATGATGATGTTCATGTGGTGGTTTTATACTTTTATAGATCGCGCCCCGCTTCCAGTGCGGGCACAGCGGTGGTGCGCTCGCCGCTCGTTGCAGAGGTTTGTGGTTGGAATGCAGCGGGCCCACTCCTGGGTGATTACCGCGCCGATACATTAACCATAAACTGGCACGTTTTGGACACATACGTTGGGGCTGGACAACGGGAAATTTAACGAGTGTTGCTGTTGGGCAAAAATGGAAGTAATGGGAAAGCGAGGGAAGACCTAGCAGAGAATGTCTCGACGACGACATTAAGAGATCGTGGCGACGGGCGTGCAGGCCGCAGTCTGCCCTCACCTTCTCGTTCATGGTGAGGATGATCATGAGCTTGCGGAAGATGTGGATGAAGTCCAGGAAGAGGTCCACGCTGTGCCTGCAGTCGCAGTCACACGTGACCACGGAACGGTTGTGGCGCTCACGGTACAATTTTGGAAAATTTTTATAAATTTAACACGTAGCAGGAGGGCTTTCGCGACCAATATTGTCCACAATTGAGGTTTTTTATTTATTTATCAGAGCACGTAAAAATAAATGTGTCGTTAAACGATTGTGTCCTGTCACCCGATGATGCTGGTTGTAATTACTGGCGAAACGTCACGGTACTCGAATTGTAAATGTCGTAGTGGGTTTCCTCTCACAACACACAAGCGGTGTGTTGAGAGAGTAAATCCACTACTGGCATTGTAAATGTCGTAGTGGGTTTCCTCTCCCAACACACAACCGGTGTGTTGGGAGAGTAAATCCACTACTGGAATTGTAAATGTTGTAGTGAGTTTACTCTCCCAACACACAACTGGTGTGTTGGAGAGTAAATTCACTACTGGAATTGTAAATGTCGTAGTGAGTTTACTCTCCCAACACACAACCGGTGTGTTGGGAGAGTAAATCCACTACTGGAATTGTAAATGTCGTAGTGAGTTTACTCTCCCAACACACAACCGGTGTGTTGGAGAGTAAATCCACTACTGGAATTGTAAATGTCGTAGTGAGTTTCCTCTCACAACACACAACTGGTGTGTTGGGAGAGTAAATCCACTACTGGCATTGTAAATGTCGTTGTGAGTTTACTCTCCCAACACACAACCGGTGTGTTGGGAGAGTAAATCCACTACTGGAATTGTAAATGTCGTAGTGAGTTTACTCTCCCAACACACAACCGGTGTGTTGGGAGAGTAAATCCACTACTGGCATTGTAAATGTCGTAGTGAGTTTACTCTCCCAACACACAACCAGTGTGTTGGGAGAGTAAATCCACTACTGGCATTGTAAATGTCGTAGTGGGTTTCCTCTCACAACACACAACCGGTGTGTGGCGAAACAGCAGCAGGATCGGGGCATTCTAACGACTGAGATGAGATGCAAGGCGCTTGGAGTTGCCGAGGCATTTCGGCGCCCAACGAACACGATTCGTTATCCTCAAGGCGGGGGGGGGGGATGGACAGCACACGTCCGTGTACACTTTAACACGGGCCACCACAGGCTTAAGTAACAAAAAAGACACGAAAGATTCTACATTTGTGAAAGGATTTCGGGTTCACGAGAAGAGACGCTTGTGCGTGTGAAAGAGGGTGTGTGCGTGTGTGTGCGTGTGCGCGCGTGTGCGCGCGTGCGCGTGCGTGCGCGTGTGTGCGTGTGTGTGTGCGTACGTGTGTGTGTGTGTGTGTGCGTGTGTGTACGTGTGTGTGCGTGTGTGCGTGCGGTCACACGTGGCGAGCGGCGGTGCACGACAAACCGGCGACGCGAGTTCGATTCCCGCTCGCGACCAACACCGGTGACGATTATCTGCACCGGTCCTGGGCCTCCCCTAGGTCGATTCGGCCTCCAATGAGTACCTGGTGCGGTGTGTAAACATCAGCACTGGGGAGACAAAGGCGGCCGGGCATAGTGCCGGCCACCCCCCCCCTCCCTCCCTCCCCGTGCTGGCCCTCGCAAGCTGCTCGCTTCACGGCACTTGCCCCAGCGGTCTCCGACGGCTACACGGGGGAACTTCGTCTCTGTTGGCGCTAGCGGCTCACCAGATGAAGTCCTTGTCGCCGGCGCGGCACTTCTCCACGATGAGCTGCGTGTCGAAGAGCACGAAGCCGCACATGACCACCAGCCCCAGGTACATCTGGGCCTGGGTGAGGGGAGGGGTGTAATGGGGGGGGGGGTGTTGGGAGCAGGGGGGGGGCATGGGGAAAACCAAACATAGCAATGTAAGGATCGAGGCCGACGTTAACAGAGCAAAAACCAATGATCTCGTGCGCGCGCACAATAACGTTTTGGTTGTCTGAAAGTCCAGGCGAGGGTTTTCACATTTCTTCCGGTTCTCAGCGCGTGTCCGACCAGCTCCAGGACGTAAAGCCCAGCGTGGAAAATAACTAAATGCACTGGCTAAGAAACGGTACACCCATCCGGCATCATCTCAAGAGGGCATGGCAGAAGGAATCGAAGGTCAATTGGACAACAAAAATCTTGACAACGTGGACCCCGGTGGGTGGGTGGGTGACGGGAGTGGAGAACAAGATAAGTAATATTTAAAAATGCTTTTTTTTTTTAAACACGCTTTAGTGAAATGTACCGTACTAGTAATGGCAGAACTCCACGACTCCAGGAAATGGCCGCAAAGCTTGCCACAACGTACGGGACCGTGGCCAATTACAGCCAACGTCAGTTGAGCGTGGACAATTAGACCCAAGCCGAAACATAACATATAAAAAAGAATGTTTAAAAATATATTTTTTTGTATTTTTAACGATAGAATATAGTGTTGTCATCAGTATGACACAAGTATGCGACGTTTTCAGTCGATACCACATCGGGAAGTGGGTTAAAATTTAGTTACAAGATTTGAGGATACGACAACAACGGAGCGAGTTAAATAAAAGCGTGTAACAAACGGCTATGAAGAAATGGCGGCAAAGGTGAGGGGAGCCCATCAGGCATCATTGTTCTCTCCCCCCCCCACAACCATTGCGGGTAATTCAAACAAACCAAATTGTTTTTTATATTTTACCAGGCAAGGCCCCACTGAGCTGCTACAAAGCTCTTTTTTTTAGAAGCGACCTGGCCATCACAAAGTGGCTTACCGCCACGTGGAAATTTACAGCATGGAAGGAAAAACCGGAGGATCCGGAGAAAAATCAGCGCGGCCACGGGGAGAGAGACACCGCAAACTACAAATATACAGCGGGTGTCAGGGCTCGGGATCGAACCCACGAACTCCTGAATACCAGGCGAGGTCGTTAACATCTCATTGATGGGAGGATAACGATGATGGCAAGAGAGGACGAGGAAAAGTAGCACACTGAAGACATTGGCACGAGCCACTGAGAGCCAATGCTACACACGTAACATCGCCCCCCCCCCCACCTCCACACCCCCCATGGGTGCTGACACGGCAGGAACACGGCATGCGGTTTTGCACGAAGGCACGTTAATAATTCACGGCTCCGGTCAACTGTACCTGCAGCGTGCTCGCAGATTTGAGACGCGTGGTGGGGAAAAAAAACACAACCCCCCCCCCACCGCTATCGCTTGCGACAACAGTTCAGCTTTAGCGGAAACTCAAAGCGCAGCCGGTCGATTTCGCTTACTAAGAAAAAAAAAACTAAAAAAACATTCAGAAGAGGCGACGTTCCGGGAAATGGCTCTTGTCGCACACGACAGCCAGCACAGTTGCCCCTGAAACGCAGCCCTCCTATATATGTTTATCGTGCGACATCGGCGAGCGTGTTAAAACGGCGTTTTGGCTACGCACGCGCGCGCGTGCGCGCCCCAAACGCAAGTCGTGCACGTACACAAACGGATCCCGTCACGTTTTTTTTCCCCCCCACGTTCGGCTCGTCGCAGTACTTTCTTCCGAGCCGCCCCAACAGGGCTGATGTGGCCCAGCGACCCGCGCGCGGCTTAACTCTCGGCTAATCCTGGGGATGATCATCCGCGTTTTCCGATCAACCGTGCTTTGCGCCGAAGATGCAAACGGAAACAATTATTATTTTCACAGTGAAGGTTTTCGTGTTCGATCGCGTCAGTATGCGTCGTAACCCTTCCGGCACCCGACACGGTCGGTGAGGTTTGTCGCCTAAACAACGCGACAATTATTTAACAACTGCAGCCCACCGGTGTTGCGTCGGTAGAGTAAATCCACGACATCTACCATGCGAGTACCGTGACGTTTCGCTGGTATAATTCCATCAACCGGCAACCATCGGGCAATTTGCCAGAACAGCGAGGCAATGGCACGTGCTTTTGGTCTTAAAAAGTGCAAGATGTCGTCATCACTGAACCCATCGGGTGCAGAGAACAGAGACGGAGAAGGAGTGGGGGGTCAGTGCGGTGCGTACACGGAATCTGAATCTTTAATTGCCCTGGAGGAATATCCCATGAGCTCCGAAGCTCTTGTTCACAGCTGTCCAGCCGCCGCCACCGCCTCCTTGTTGGGCCCTGCCGGCCCTTCGTGGAGGTGCTCGCTAGCAGCACTTGCCCCGACGGTCCGTTAAGGCCATACGGGGACGGGGGGGATCTTTGTCTGCGTCTTTGTACGTTCACACGCGTCAACACACCTCGCGTCAACACACCTCGGCATCCTTCTCGATCGAACGTTTTCAGTCCCATGTCAACAGCACCGTGAGGAGACAATGTTTTTTTTTTGTTTCTCCCGCCCGAGAAACGCATCCCGTCTCAAGCCACATCCCCACCACCCGCGGACGCCGAAAAGGCCGACCCACGCGTCTGTCTTTCTCCCGCATTGACTCCTGTAGCGGGCTGCTTCTTCTGGAACCCCGAGCCAGCTCCTAAGCAGACTGCAGCGGCTTCGAGATGCGTCCGCCGCCAGGGTGTTTCACTGGTACGCCACACTTTCAGCATCGCATCACGAACCTGTGCTCATGTCCCTTCGCCGGCTCCCCGTCCGAACCGGTGTTGATTGTAAGATGATCTTGCCGGTATACAAGTTGCCAACATTTTAACCGCGCAGTTTAAACTGCAGTAAAATTACAATTTTGTTAATGACGCACGATTGACACATTTACCCGTATTACAATATATCCGTATTACAATATATATTCGAGATAACCTGTATTACAATGTATATATTCTAGTATTACAATATATCGCAATGTAAATTCATGTAAAAAAAAACCAGCGCCTTGTGTTCCCAGGAGAAACTTGCAGGGCGGTACACAGGTCACATGACCTACCTTGAAGAGGAGGGCGGAGCCATAGAACATGTTAAAGAGAGACATCATCAGCAGGAAGGAGAGTCCGGACATCAGAGTTCCTGCACAAAACACATTGCACACAAAAGTAACCGTACAAATGTGCGTAAACAGATGATAAATTTACGCTTGTTTACCCATGAAAGCCCCACCCAGTCTCAGCAATCTTTTTTCTAAACAACACTTTCATTTTACCTGGTGTAAGGCCCCACTGAGCTCCTACGTAGCTCTCTTTCACAAGCGGCCAGATGATCACGAATGATAGCTCAACGAAGTGGGCTCGTGGACAATTTACGGCGGCCAAACAATCTAAAGCGCACGTCGATTCTAAATGCGGAGGGGAATAACCGGAGGACCCGGAGATAAATATACGCGACAACGGGGAGAACGTGGAAACTCCCAAATATCCAGAGGGTTGGGATAGAACCCACGATTCTCCTGTACACACCAGGCGCGGTAGTTAACGTCTCGCCACCGTGGTGCCGAAAGAGGTTCCTGCACCACGCCCGGCCAACTTTGTCTCCCTAGTGGCTTTGTTTACACACCGCACCAGGTACTGATTTGAGGCCGAGTCGACATAGGGGACCGCCAATGACCGGTTCAAATATTCGCGACACTGTTATTTGTCGCGAGCGAGAATGAAACCACTCTGTGCGAGTTGTGTGAGGGCAGAGCAGGTGACGCTCGCGACAACGAGCGGAGCGCCGGGCGGCAAAAAACACAGCAAAAAAGCTGGCACAGCAGGGGGCACAGGTGGTGCATCTGCCAGTCATCTCAGTGAACCCGTGGCACCTGCTGGGTCTGTCCCGCGGCCTCCTGCCAGCAGGCATTCGACACTCTACGTGGCCCTGAGGTGCACAAAGCCTGGCACAAGCGCCGTGGTGATGTCACCGCCACTTAGTGGCCAATGGCGGTTGTTGTTGTGAGGACGCGCACGCACACGCACGCGCCCTCACAAAAGAGGCGATGTTCCATGTGTCTCAACGGTTCTATCGTCCGTCTACAGGTTAAACAACTTTCGATTTAAAGCTTTCGTGACTGCAAGGATTCATCTTCTTTGGTTCTTTCGGTAAAGTCACGTAGAATGAGAATAAAATAATAAATTGATAAAATAAAATAACACAATAAAATTCTCACGACGTTTCGGCCACAACACAAGCGGCCTTCATCAGCGCTGTCCTCCAGACAGTCTCGTCCCTTCACCTGATGAAGGCCGCTTGCGTTGTGGCCGAAACGTCGTGATAATTTTATTGCGTCATTTTATTTTATCAATTTATTATTTTAGTCTCATTCTACGTGACTTTACCGAAAGAACCAAAGAAGGTTAAACAACGGTCACTACAACTCTACGACAGCCTCACCTCCCAGGTAGAGGTAGGAGCGGCGTCGGGCATAGAGGGCGCTGAGGGTGAAGCAGCCGAAGATCAGGCTGGTGCCCATGAAGGCGGTGGCAATGATGCTGCAAGGGAACACACGCACGCACAGATTTAATTATTGACGGCCCCTTAAACATGGTCAGGAAGTAACCCGATTGCTGTAAATTGCAACAAAAACGGACAACGCTTTCGAGCCCACATTGTACAGCGGTAAACGATTGTGTTTTTTAAAGCTGGATTTGTGTTCATTTTGCATCATCCTCATTGTGTTTTATCCACATTACGCATCCCTCCCATTACCCCGGAATAACTTAAAAGTAGACCGTAGTAGGAAGACCAATTTTGTGAAGTCATAAGGGTTCAGTGGAGAGTTGCTGCCGTGTGGCGATGCTGAAATTTATCGCAAGACATAAGATCCACGATCATCCCAGCAAAAAAATATATCCCGATTGTCGCGACTAATTTTACATTTCATGAATAATTTATTGGCCCGAAAAAATATTTTACAAAATAACAAGAGCACAACAATTAAAGTAAACAATTGTCGAGACGTTTTTTTCTCTTCCAAAAATGGAAATGTGCACAATTGGGTATTACACCGAGAGCCAGGAGGAGGAGGAACACCACACGGATCGGGGAGCGTGCAAGTTAGCGAAATCCTTTCCACGTTCATGCAGCAATGGCCAGAGCATATTCGTCGACCATTTCAGGTTGCGTGGAGACAACGTACGCTTGGAATTACATTGCGAGACAGAAAAACGAGCACGTAAGACTCGGGAGAGAAAAAAACGCAGCTCAGCGACGTCGTTCAGACAAAAATAAAGGGGACTAGGGGCTGGACACGTTGTTAGAAGGGACGGTGACCGACGGCCATGAGTGGAAGCCGGGTAATAAGCCGATGCTCCTGGTGTTTGTGGAGTGACTCGTGCAGCCAGCTGTGGCTCCAGGGTTTGGTGTTACATGTTATTTTATGTAGTTTATTGTTAAAAATTCGGTCACAGTTCCTATGATCACTGTTACATTGCATTTATGGCTTTATTTTGGTGATTCCTAAAAGTTTTTTGGTTTGGCCATGTTTTTGTTTATCGTAGTACAGAGTTAGACTGATGGCCTTAATGTAAGTTTTCATGTTGTTTGACTTACATCCCACTGGGATTTTTGCACACAGCGTTGGTGTACGGTGCTATTTTAGGAATATTTTGATGTTTTTTCCTGGATTTTCTGTTTGCACAGTCACATAATCACTTTAAGATGTTTTCTTGTTCATGTTTTATTGTTTGTTGCAGTTGCACCCGATTAAAGAGCCGAATGGCTCACAGGGCTATACCAAAATAAATGAAACTATGAAGCGCCCATCTTGAGTTGTACGCGCGCAAACATGGGCGGTACGGAAATCTGTTCATGTGCAGGTGTCAGACGGAGAGTGGTGGTGCAGCGGTTAGCGCTCCGCCCTATGAACCCGGCGACCCGATTTCGATTCGCACTCACGACCAGGACCGGCGACGATTGTCGGAACCGGTCCTGGGCCTCCCCCCTAGGACGCCTCGGTCTCAAACGAGTACCAGGGTGCGGTGTGGTAAACATCACCACCCGGGAGTGTTGGTGCTGGCCACCCACCCCCTCGTGCGTTTTTTGCCAGCCTTCGCAGGTGCTCACTAACAGCACTTGCCCCAAGAAGTCGGTGGAGGCTATACGGGGACGCGCCTTTTGTTTCCTTGCTGTTCGTTACTGCATCGCACGATCGCGAAGATAACGGAAGCAACTCTCGGACGCCCATCATGCCCGACGTTGCAAGCATCATGCCCGACGTTGCAAGCATGTACGGTGTGAACTCCGCTCGCACCGTACGTAGCAGCCTGCCTTGCTAATTTGGAGGTGCGGGGGTGGGTAGGCGTGAAAAACAAACTGAACACTGTTGATGGCGATAAGATTCCCGTACGTGGCACTGCAATTTGACAGCGTGCTTACTCTTACCTTGGGTTGATTGCGATGACAAAGTCGAGCAGAGGGCCAAGTCCGAGTCCTACACGGGGGAGGAGGAGGGGAGGGGACAACGCCGTTTCATTACACATTGCAGGAACGCAGAGATAACGGCCGCATAATGCCAAAACGGGCCGGCTAAAGAGTCGACGTACAAATTGTGATTTAAAGCTTTCGTGACTGCAGCAATTCATATTCTTAGCTCTTTCGGTAAAGTCACGTTGAAGGGAAAACAATAAAATAATGAAATATATATAAAACAATAAAAAAAATCTCACGACGTTTCGACCACAACACAAACGGTCGTCATCGGGTGATGACGACCGTTTCAGGCGATGACGACATCAGGTGATGACGACCGTTTCAGGTGATGACGACCGTTTCAGGTGATGACGACATCAGGTGATGACGACCGTTTCAGGTGATGACGACCGTTTCAGGTGATGACGACCGTTTCAGGTGATGACGACATCAGGTGATGACGACCGTTTCAGGTGATGACGACCGTTTCAGGTGATGACGACATCAGGTGATGACGACCGTTTCAGGTGATGACGACCGTTTCAGGTGATGACGACCGTTTCAGGCGATGACGACATCAGGTGATGACGACATCAGGTGATGACGACATCAGGTGATGACGACCGTTTCAGGCGATGACGACATCAGGTGATGACGACCGTTTCAGGTGATGACGACATCAGGTGATGACGACCGTTTCAGGCGATGACGACCGTTTCAGGCGATGACGACCGTTTGCGTTATGGTCGACGTAACTTTACCGAAAGAGCTAAGAAGATGAGTCGACATACGTTTACATTGGAGTGTCACATTATCGCCGTCGTCAGTCATGGGTAATCCACTGCTGGATCAAGTCCCCCCACCCCCCCCCCCCCCCCCCCTCCCTCCAAGCTCTCATCACAAAACGTTCACCACGAAGCACAAATCTATTAACACAAGATGCAAGCCGAGAATGTAAAGGCATTCCAAACACAGTGGGGTCACCAACAGACAGGATAGGGCAGGCGCCCTCTTTTGCTCGGATGTTAACAGGCAGAGGTTGCTTAACTTTGACAATCGTGCATTGAAATGAAACCCCATCGAAACAGCTACGCTTTGCAGTTCGACTCATTTCTTTCGTGGAGTGGTTCTTAACCTGTGGTGTGCGCTGCATTCCCTGGGGGATGCGAGATGCCCATTCTGGGGGTGCGAGACATGGCCAGATTTTCTCAGAAGGTAAATAATTGAAATACAAATTACGCACGGGTACGCAAGTTACAACTTACTTTGTTTCATCAAGCCCTACGTAGTTGTCAACATAATTGTTTTATGTTCTTAGCTCTTTCGGTAAAGTCACGTTGAAGGGAAACAATAAAATAATGAAATATATATAAAAAAAAATTCTCACGACGTTTCGACCATAACACAAACGGTCGTCATCAGGTGTGTTGGTTCGCCTAAATTTATTTATTTTTAAAACGGTGTATTTATTTATATAAAAAAACGTCAGCGCCACGCGCAGCGATTTTGCAGTTTATTTAGAAGGACTAGTCCATCTATGTTCTGAAAAGAGGAGGGGGGAGACGAAAAATTAATGTATGCTGTCTGAAAGCCACCGTAAGCGTGAACAATCAATTAAGACCTGAAATGGTTTAGCAAATCCTTCCAATGATTGCTAAGCCAGAATCCATCTTCTCGGTTGAAACTGTCTCTGTGCTTGTATATGTGGATAGCCTCATGAACGAATCTCTCATGGTAGCCAGATGGCTTACAAAGAACCTCTGTCTTGGAAAAGTCAATGTCATGTGAGCCTACTGAATTATAACAATGATCTGCCACGGCCGAGGTGTTGGTCCTACCGTGTTTAAGGTCTGCTTTGTGTTCACGAATGCGGTCCGAGACATGGCGTTTGGTTTCTCCAATGTAACTACTACCACAGAGGCAACTTAGTTTGCAGACACCAGGGTACTGTATGTATAATTGTTTTAACGACTGAGAACCAAACGGGTGCAAGGCTGCAGTGAATGTTAGGAACCACTGCTTTAGTGGAACCCCACGTCAGAGACTTCAAGATAGAAATTAATTGCTCGTCCCCGCCAATGCTGGTTTAAGGGCTTAAACGAGAGCTCTAGAAGATATTTGGCCTACTCTTCCACGCTGACCAAGACCTCTTGGAATGGAGGTGGGCATACCCACAACTCGCCCCAGGAGACGGACTTAAAACGGCAACCTCTGGATCGTGAGGGGAGTGTGCTAACCTTAATACCACGGCAGCCCCGGTGTGTGTATAAGTCTAGTATGTATGCGAGTGTGTATATGCCATTGGTGCTTTCATAATTGCTCGCTAACAGCACTTGCTCCTACAGCCTCTTGAGGCTACACGGGGGATATTTGTGTGTGCACGTGTACACACACAGCCTCAAATGAGTACTCCCGGAGAGGTGTGTCATAATCAGCACTGGGGAGACAAAGGCGGCCGTGCGTGGTGCTGGCCACCCACCCCCCCCCCCCCCCATGTGCCGTGCCGGCCTTCATAGGTGCTACTCGCTAACAGCACTTGCCCCAACAGTCTGTTCAGGCTACCCGGGGGATCTTTGTCTTTGTGCACTGGGGAGACAATGACGGTCGGGAAGTGGTGCTGGCCATCCTCCCCCGTCGTGTGCCTTGCTGGCCTTCGTAGGTGCTCACTAACAGCACTTGCCCAGGCAGCCTGGAATGTGTCTATACAGGGACATTTGTACGTATAGTTTGAGCGCACATCTATGTGTCTCTCTAATTTGCGAGTGTATAGGGGTGGTTTCTCGTGTGTGTCTACGTGTGTGCATGTGTCTATATGCAAGTCTATGGACATCTATGGACCCCGCAAGTGTGTGGGGGAGTCAACGGATCGCGATGCAATGACAGCGAGGGCGCGGTACACGGAAGGAAAAAACATTATCGGGCGGCAGAGCACCCCCCTCCCTCCCCCTTCGCAAACAGCAGGGGCGCGTTTGGCGTTGAAAAAGTTGATGCAATCGTTGAGCGGTGTAGCGAAACAGGAAAAAGGGGGGGGCAGGGGGGTTGCGATGTTAATCGCGCAGCCATTGGCTGACAGGGCCACGGCTGGGGGGCGTGCGCGAGTGCGTGCGTGCACGCGCGCACGGGGAGGTGGGCGGAGCCACATCGGTCTAACCCCAAGCCACCAGCCGCCACGCCACGCCTCGGGTTACCAACGGCGGTTCGCGTCGGGGCGTCCGACGTGGAGGCTCTTGCGAGCCTCCACGTCGTCAACGCTGCAGCCGCAGTGGCACCCGTAGCACAAACGGGGCCACTGTGACCGCAATCTCGCCATGCTGGTGTCGGTGCGTGAAGGCACTAAGTGTAGGTGTGTGAGCATAACACAGTACCGCAACAGTGGATTTGCACCGCACTACTATTTTTTTTGTTTAACCTATCTGTAACTCAACAATGAGGTTTTTTTTCCTTCCTTCAATTAATTAGTCTGAGCGAACATATGTTGCAGGACATTTATTTTAATTCGTATTATTTACGCAAGTGCACCGTTTTCAACGTCTTCTAATGCAGCTGGTTTTTTTTCTAACTTTCATTTCTATTTGCTTCACTTGTTCCACTTATTATTATTATTACGCAATTTGCTTTTGTCATTTTCATGACCCGGGTCGCTCGTCCAAACCTGCTTAGCTCCTGGTCTCTCGAGTTCTCACCAGGGGGGTTAAACAAGGTCAACTTGAACCGTTCTCACGTAGTGACGATGTAGCTCCACACGTCAGCCTAGGTGTGTATTGTGGTCACCCCAATCAAGCATTATCCAGGCTCAAACCTGTTGTGCTTTCGGCTTCTAACAAGCTCGGGCACATTCCACACGATTCTGTCATCACACTGCAACAACTGCATTGTGTGAAATACAGCCTCTTTAGTTTCCACTTTAGTTTCCCCCCACCCGCCCCCAATGCCATATGTGTTGTAAGCAAACTGTTTTACACGCAACAAGGGGATTTTTGTTTTGTTTTATATTATTCCGGAGGCTGATCGAAGGTCTCGATTGGAGGCCTCCGTGCATTTTAGCGAGCCACCCGAGTTATTCTAGAATTGCTTAAATACACGCGTATATGTGCATGTATAATCAACTGGACGTGGTCAACCTCGCTAATCGGAGGTGCGGGGGAAAGACAACTATGGGTCTGTGTGAGTCTATGAGTCTCTGTGTGAGTGTACAGATCTGTGTGAGTCTATGGGTCTCTGTGCGAGTCTACAGATCTGTGTGAGTCTATGGGTCTCTGTGCGAGTCTATAGATCTGTGCGAGTCTATAGATCTGTGTGAGTGTATAGATCTGTGTGAGTGTATAGATCTGTGTGAGTCTATCGTCTGTGTGAGTCTATAGATCTGTGTGAGTCTATAGATCTGTGCGCGTCTATCGTCTGAGTGTATAGATCTGTGTGAGTGTATAGATCTGTGTGAGTCTATCGTCTGTGTGAGTCTATAGATCTGTGTGAGTCTATAGATCTGTGCGCGTCTATCGTCTGTGTGAGTGTATAGATCTGTGCGAGTCTATCGTCTGTGTGAGTGTATAGATGTGTGAGTCTATCGTCTGTGCGAGTCTATAGATCTGTGCGAGTCTATCGTCTGTGTGAGTCTATAGATCTGTGCGAGTCTATCGTCTGCGCGAGTGTATAGATCTGTGCGAGTCTATCGTCTGTGCGAGTGTATAGATCTGTGCGAGTCTATCGTCTGCGTGGGTCTATACATGTATTATATAGAACTTCTTTCACACCGTACGTAGCCAACCGTGCTAATCGGAGGATTGACCATCACACGTCACCGGCAGCGCCCTTCAAAAGATCGCCGTCGGCCTTTAGAATCGATCATTCATCGGCGCCCGAGATGCCTGCGTTCTCGCTCACCAACGGTGAAGGCAAAGCCGCACAGGATGCCCAGTCGCTTGGCGTCGTTCTGCCCATTGCGAGGCGTAAACATCAGCCACATGAGCAAGCCCATGCTCACCAGGGTCATCAAGAAGTTCCCCTGGAGGTCAGTTGCACACAAGTGAACGGGACAAATTAAATTCCTATACAGTTCTAATTCTAGCAATTTTTTTCAACAGAAGTGACCCGGCATAACAAATGATAGCTCAACAAAGTGGCTTATCATCATGTGGACATTTATAGCGGCCAAACACTGTTAAATGCGTGATGTTGACGCTTAAATGTGGAGGGAAAAACCAGAGGACCCGGCGAAAAATCCATACGACCGTGGGGAGAGAGACACGCAAACTCCGAATATACAGCAGGCGTCAGGGTCTGGATCGAACCGACGACCTCCAGCGTACCAGGCGAGGGAGTTAACATCTCACATCGCCCCAGTTAATTATTATTAGCGTTTGCACTGCGTGCCGAGCCAATTGAATGTAGACACGGTCATTGCACAATTCAATGTCTTCATCGTAAACGGCGACAATTCAATTCATTTTTTTGTTAATAGTAGTACAATGCAATGTCTTCACTGTCAATAACAAGTCATAGCATAATTCAACATACAGTTAATAATAAAACTCGCTGTACTTCAGAGTAAACAGCAACAGCAGAGTTCAAGGTCTTCACAGTTAATAAAACTCACCGTCTTCACCGCTGGTAGCACAATACAACCTCCACATTTAAACAGCAGAATTCAGAATAAGATTGACAGCAGGGGGGGGGGGGTTGGGGCACCTTGTGATAATTTTGATCAATCATTTTTGTATGGCATGAGTCACAACCAAAAAGGCTGCCAATTTTGGCAGAAATATTTTCCGAAAAAAAATCCACGGCTGAAGTGCGGAGGATGGGGAAGGAAAAAAAATTCAATCACCTTACAGAAATGTTGAGGGAATGGATGAATACGGTGGGATTAGTTCCACCCACACACAACCCCAACCCCCAGGTGGAATCACACCTGTGACCCCATCCCCAACTCCCCGTGGTTACCCATCATCAATCCACTCATCTCATTTCCATCTTCGTTTATGCCACGCATCATCATCACCACCACCTCATTTTACACACATCCCCATCCACTTCGTCTCGTTTTATCTCGCCAACTATCCTTGTACCGTAGTTAGTTCACTGTACAGCGCCTTGGTTGAGGCGCTGCACAAATGTACGGGAAGATAAATGTCACCGGATGCCGCTTATGGTGGGAAAAAAAACCACCACGTCCGTGCCGAATTTTCAAGCGACGTCATTTTCCACGACGCCATACTTTCGCATCAACCCGAAAGAAAAAAAAGTTCACGCATCATCCAAAACTTGCGATCGAAGCCCCATTTGCGAAACTTTTCGGGCAAGTCCGGAACAACTTCCCTCGTTCGCGCGCAAAAAGTAACCGTCGGAACAAAAATTCACGGAGCACGCTTAACGGCGGAGAAATCTTGCGACGGCTGCCGCCACGCAAGGAAACGGTTGGATGTAAAAAACATAACTTCGTGCTGCAACAAGCGGTGCCAATTCCTCCAAACGAGATCAACAGGATGACACCATCAAATGTTTGGTGGTGAACGGCTCTCCCACCGGCATCAGCAGCTACAGCGGCATCAGCGACACCATGCAGGCCCGGCAACAACCAAAGGCGCCTCCCCCCCATCAGATTTAACGAGATCACTCGCCCATAAAATACCAAACAATACGGCGGTGTGAAATGTTTGCATCCTTTCACACGACATCAACAGCACGACACAGCAGTGTTGCCATTCTTCGATATCACGACATCACGTAACAGGTTACCCCACTCCCTGCTGCAGGTCTCCCTACCTGCAGGAAGGCCGTGTAGAGGTGGACATAGGCCCCTGCGGCCGCCACCAGCATGCAGATGGCCAGGGTGGCGTAGACATTCTTGAGATGTTGGCGTGTGTCAGGCTCCCTGCCAGGGGGTGGGGGAAATAAAGGGGGAAACAAGGGATCAGAGGCAAGAGAATGAGTGCCATTTAGATAGCTGCTGGGCATCCATGAAAGAAGTGCTTCATAGCTCATCAGATTCCTCCAGTATAAAGAAATTTTCCCATTCCGTCAATTCGTAACGCAGCAGCTGACACGGCGCCATTTGTCTCTTGGTTCTTTGACTATACTGGGCCCAAAAAAATGGCTTTATCAGTAACACCCAGGGTGGCGAATGCCAACATTGATTTTCTTGAATCATGTCCTCTCTCGATCACAAATGTGTGTACGCACTGTCGTAGCTTCTGATGAGAAAAACCTCTCTTAAACAAGGCTGCCATAGTATGCTTGATAGAGAACATTGCCTATTACAAAAAAAAAATGATAATAAATACAAAGCATAACAGACAGCATGTACACTAAGTTTTTGCCCCAAGGTTCAGAAGAGGGTTTTTTTGGGGTTAGATCTCGTAAATATAAATGTGTCGTTAAACCAGTCACCACCCGACACAGCCAATCAGTAAAGTTTGTCACGTAAACAAAACGTGGCAATTAGTTACTACTTCAGCACACCTGCGTGTTGAAGAGTAAACCCACGATATTTACCACTGGATAACATTGAAAGCGAAAACCCTAAACGTTAAAATGACTAACCAATGTCTTCAACTGGTGTGGCGGCCCCTCACACTGATGTCTTATTGGCAAAAGTGGCCCCCTGTGAAAACGAATGAAGACCGCCACAGTTGATACTGCTCATGGTGGACACGTGTCATTTGCCAACCGACGTGGTACCCACAGATTCGCTGGGCTCACAAGCTATCTCCCGAGTCCAAGCATGCATCTTTGTCCCATTCTTCAAAATACTCTACATGAGTGAAGAGATTTTTTTTTTCCACCGATGTCATAGCAAGCAAAAGAGTAAGGTCTCTAGAGTACGAGGGGGGGCTCAAGAGTACGCGGATCCGCTCACAAGCGACCGACCCCGATTCACACTTACACTTGTGACTCATAATTCCGCTACAGGTACAGGGCAGGAAACGAGTTAAGTCACCCCCCCCCTCCCCGCCATCACGCGAACGTGGATTTGAGGGCTTGTAATGGTATCGTCCGCGCAAGGAACGAGTCCAAAACAATGTCTGGTGTTCTAATCTAGTGTTAATAATATAGAGGGTTAATAATAATCTTGTGTTAATAATAATCCTGTGTTAATAAGTGTCAATAATAATCTAGTGTTCGCTATCCGACCTGGATGCTGCAGATGATTAGTGAATCATTTACTGTACATTGCTGTACTTGATTAAATACTAGCTTTACTACCCGGCTTCGCCCAGGACTTGGATTCACCACGCCCGGCCGCCTTTGTCTCCCCAGTGGCGATGTTCACACCACACCAGTCACTCGTTTGAGGCTGAGTCGACCTAGGGGAGGCCCAGGACCAGTTCAAATAATCGTCACGGGTGGTGGCCGTGAGCGGGAATCGAATTCGGGTCGCCGGGTTCGTAGCGCAGCGCGCCAACCACTACACTACCGCTCCCCCCACACATACACGCGCTTGCTGCAGACACACCACACAACTTTCAGGGTGCGTACGGCAGTAAACGACTCAAATAATAAAGCAATGCTGTGCAAAGAACGCCTTAGACCTACAACACATTTGTATGGCACTTTACTCGCGGAGGGTTGGGGGGGGGGGGATGCGTGACGTCAGCAGGCACACTGCGTAACCCTTCCGCGGGTCACATGACCGATGTGACGTCCCAGCTCACTTGCCGTGCAAAATATATGCATTGCGCATGCACCCCCCCCCCCCAAAAAAAATACAAATCTATTTTTATACTTTTTGCATGGTGTGCAGTCTGGAAACTACCCACATGCCAAATTTCAAGTTTGTTGCATGTCGGGAAGTATGCTAAACATTTCGAACAGACACACACATTCACAAATTTCCCTTTTCTATATATAGATTCATGTACATTTATATACATGTTATATACACTCTTACATTGTATATACAGTGAGGGAAAAAAAGTATTTGATTCCCTGCTGATTCTGTACGTTTGCCCACTGACAAAGAAATGATCAGTCTATAATTTTAATGGTAGGTTTATTTTAACAGTGAGACAGAATAACAAAAACATCCAGAAAAACGCATGTCAAAAATGTTATAAATTGATTCGCATTTTAATGAGGGAAATAAGTATTTGACCCCTCTGCAAAACATGACTTAGTACTTGGTGGCAAAACCCTTGTTGGCAATCACAGAGGTCAGACGTTTCTTGTAGTTGGCCACAAGGTTTGCACACATCTCAGGAGGGATTTTGTCCCACTCCTCTTTGCAGATCTTCTCCAAGTGATTAAGGTTTTGAGGCTGACGTTTGGCAACTCGAACCTTCAGCTCCCTCCACAGATTTTCTATGGGATTAAGGTCTGGAGACTGGCTAGGCCACTCCAGGACCTTAATGTGCTTCTTCTTGAGCCACTCCTATGTTGCCTTGGCCATGTGTTTTGGGTCATTGTCATGCTGGAATACCCATCCACAACCCATTTTCAATGCTCTGGCTGGGGGAAGGAGGTTCTCACCCAAGATTTGACGGTACATGGCCCCGTCCATCGTCCTTTTGATGCGGTGAAGTTGTCCTGTCCCCTTAGCACAAAAACACCCCCAAAGCATAATGTTGCCACCTCCATGTTTGACTGTGGGGATGGTGTTCTTGGGGTCATAGGCAGCATTCCTCCTCCTCTAAACACGGCGAGTTGAGTTGATGCCAAAGAGCTCCATTTTGGTCTCATCTGACCACAACACTTTCACCCAGTTGTCCTATGAATCATTCAGATGTTCATTGGCAAACTTTAGACGGGCATATATGTGCTTTCTTGAGCAGGGGGACCTTGCGGGCACTGCAGGATTTCAGTCCTTCACGGCGTAGTGTGTTACCAATTGTTTTCTTGGTGACTATGGTCCCAGCTGCCTTGAGATCATTGACAAGATCCTTCGGTGTAGTTCTGGGCTGATTTCTCACCGTTTTCATGATCATTGCAACTCCACGAGGTGAGATCTTGCATGGAGCCCCGGGCCGAGGGAGATTGATAGTTCTTTCGTGTTTCTTCCATTTGCGAATATTCGCACCAACTGTTGTCACCTTCTCACCAAGCTGCTTGGCAATAGTCTTGTAGCCCATTCCAGCCTTGTGTAGGTCTACAATCTTGTCCCTGACATCCTTGGAGAGCTCTTTGGTCTTGGCCATGGTGAAGAGTTTGGAATCTGATTGATTGCGTCTGTGGACAGGTGTCTTTTATACAGGTAACAAGCTGAGAATAGGAGCACTCCCTTTCAGAGTGTGCTCCTAATCTCAGCTAGTTTCCTGTATAAAAGACACCTGGGAGCCAGAAATCTTTCTGATTGAGAGGGGGTTAAATACTTATTTCCCTCATTAAAATGCAAATCAATTTATAACATTTTTGACATGCGTTTTTCTGGATTTTTTTGTTGTTATTCTGTCTCTCACTGTTCAAATAAACCTACCATTAAAATTATAGACTGATCATTTCTTTGTCAGTGGGAAAACGTACAAAATCAGCAGGGGATCAAATACTTTTTTCCCTCACTGTATACACTCATATAGTATATAGTATAGTAGTATATATAGTTTATACAGTAGTATATATACATTATATACTACACGCGTATAGGCGAACCCCGACTTGCATGAATTCCAGCTAACGCGGGGTACATGGAACCTAACCCCCGCCTACTCTGAGACCTTGCTGTACAATCTTAAAGAATGAGTGTGAAGTTGTAAAATGGAGTTAAAAAAACAAGACCCGTGCCTCAACATGTAGTAGAGAAGGTAGCAGGGAGGTCTAGTCAGGGAGCCTTTCTAAACTAAAAAACAATTTTTACTTTACCAAGGCCCACCGAGCTATACAGCTCTTTTTCAGAAGCGACCTGGCCATCAACAAATGATAGCTCAAAGTGGCTTATCATCATGTAGAAATTCATTGCCAAAACTCCAAAGGTGTGATGTTGATTCGAAATGTGGAGAGGAAAATCAGAGGACACGGAGAAAAATCCACGCGACCACGGGGAGAACACGCAAACTCCAAATATACAGCTGGCATCACAGGGTCGGGATCGAACCGATAAAACTCTGTATACCAGGTGAGGTAGTTAACATCTCGCCACCGTGGTGCCCTTTTCAAAGAGATATCAGCAGAGTATGGTGATGATGATGATCATCAGCCATTCCCTAGCCACTGCCTGATGAAGGCCTCCATATACCATCATCTCTCATCGTCCAGTGATGTTACCACGCAGTTCACTCCTGCATCTCCATGGTGGTCATCCTCTTGCTCACGAATGAGGAACCATGCTGTTCGCCTTTTGGCGTTCTCTGGTCGAGACTATGCCCTAAAGAAGGCTGTCATTGGTGTAGGCCAATCAGTTTCAAGGACAATGCCCATATATTATCAGGGCATGTTTTGTTTGCATGTTCACCACAAGGTACGTGTGGTTAATGCAGACATGATTCCTTGCAAAAAAAGGTTTCTATGTGGTGTTTGAACACCTGTTTGGTTGCCAGAAAGGGTAAAACCTATTCGTATTTTTTCATGAAATGTTACATATCGAACAATTGTTTGTGTTATTTCACGAAATGTGTTGAGGTTATTTTTCACTCTGTGGGTGGGGTGGGGGGGGCGCTCTAACGGAACTATTTAGACAATGTCGCGCACACACACGGGCGGCGGAGCTGTGTTTGCGAAAAACCTTGATCTTATCACGGCACTGTACCGCAAGACCTCAAGGTCTCAAAAAGGACGTGCAAAGTCCGCAGTACCAGCAAAATCAAAACGTTCGAAAGTTGATGGATGTTTTGTCACATTTAGAAGGACAAATGCCCATTGTTTTTGTGCTTTTTTTAAAATTGAACAAGAGCCCATTACAAAGCACGAGCGACAGATATTCCACGGACGAGCCCGAGGCCTGGCGCCCGTACAAATGCCAATTTTTTTTTATGTTTTATAAAACGAGGTCAAAATGTTTTGCGATGGCATCAATCCAAACCCGATGGGGGCTTCGATTTAAACAAATCGTGGACGCCGATTACTAAATTACATTTTTGTCATTGCGATGGGCCAATTGGCATCCCTGAGCCGCCAACAGCTGCATTATGGATGATGGGCTCATTTAGTTATTGGCATAGGAAAGAAGACGAAGTCATAGGCATAGTAGTAACTATAAAGTCGAAGTGATCTCCCGTTCAAATGAGAATTTAGGCTTCGCTCATTTCTTGTTTACAGCCCTAAGCTGTAGCATTTGCACATTCCTATGATGGGCGGCAGGTCCATACAGTCCAACACACTGTTCCTTTTACGTACAAAGGTGAATCCATTTAATAAGACTTCTGATGGATGTTAATTATTGCTATTATCACGCTCGTTTAACCAGGAGACAGAGGCTCACCAAGTCTCAGGACTATTTTCAGGAGGGCTCCTGCAACTTTCGCCGTCCATATTACAATCGGGTAAGGGGGGTAAACATTTTCAAAGCTGGCAACATTGCACTCCATATTAGTTTTTTTGGGTTAGAGTTCTCAAATATCAGTGTCGTTAAACCCGGTCGATTAGTAAAGATTTGCCACGCAAACAAAAAGTGCCAATTAGTTACTACTGGTAACCAATCGCTGGCAATTACAACCAGCTTCATCAGGAAATGTTGCCTGGTTAAGCTGGTTGTAATCACCAGCAAAACATGGTACTCTATAAATGTTGTGAGTTTACTCTACAATTCAGCGGTGTGGTGAAGTACTGTAGTAACCAATTGGCACGTTTTGTTTACCTGACAAACCTTACCAATTTGGTGTCGGGTGGTGGCAGGTTTGTAGACATTTATATTTATGCGACCTAACCCAAAAAAAAGCATTTTCATGGATATTGGTCGCGAAAGCCTACTAATATGCGTTAAGTTGCACTCTTGACACCGGCACTACCTCTGGAAAGTGATGTCGGCTGATCTTGAACATCAACTATATCTTCGAGTCAACCATGAACCAGAATAGGAACTCACCACCTACCGATTGCAAGCCACCACTGTTCCATCTCGACCAAAACCTCCTGGACATCCGTGATGAAAAGAGCTTCACAGCTCATCGGATTCCTCCAGTATGAATACACACTCCCCATTCCCATTTCACACCACGTCCAAATATTAAACAAAAACTGGAAAACCGCAGTGTCCATTACATGACATTCCAGCTGCCATGAACTTATTTGCAGAAGTACACCCTTTCAAACTGAAACTGGCCCCAACATCACGCTTCGTGGCAAATGGAGCCACGTTAATGCTGGACGCCAGCGTTGGCGGGTTCACCAACTCCCCGAGGGGATGTTAACTTAAAAGGTGAAATCGTTTATTACTTGTACTTAATCGCGGCGTGAATGGGCTCAATGGCTCAGCTTTGCATACGGGGGGGGGGGGGGGGGGAAGGGAAACACTACACAGAAGTGATTATAACGGGTGTGCTGTTCACGTGGTGTCGTTTCTATCCATTAAAAACTGGCCAGGTTGGTCTCAGTGGCAGAGCGGGCGGCTCGCAATTGCGAGTTCATAATCCTGGTGCGAGGTTGACTCAAGCCCATCATATATCTCTGCAGGGTTAGGTTCTATAAAATGGATTTGCTGTACTGCATTATGGGAGAAGCGAAAAGTGGTTTGTAATGTGGAATTTCCACCACTGGCTTTGGTGGGGTCGTAAAGAGATGAGCACCACCTCAATTGTTCATTTTAGCAGGAAATCACTTTGGCTTGAGTACAGAATCTTTATTTAAACTGGAGGAATCCGATGAGCTATAAAGCTCTTTTTCACAGATGTCCAGTAGGGGCAGGGGGGTCATAACGTTACAAAAACAATAACAAAACACTTTCGGAGTGCAAAGTATAGGAAAGGTAAACAAATCGCTTAAAAAATACAAATGAACTATTTTTTATCTTACCAGATAAAGCACAGAGGTACTAACTTATTTTTAAGAAGGGACCTGGCCACAAATGATAGCTCAATAAAACGACTTTTCACGTGGAAATGTAAAGCATCCAAATACCCTAAACGCGTGTTGTTGATTCAAAATGTAGAGGGGAAAACCGAAGGACCTGGAGAAAAATCCACGCAACCACAGGGAGACAGAGAGAGACACGCAAACTCCAAATATACAGCAAATATATAGCAAGTGTCAGGGTCAGAATCGAACCCAGGATCTCCTGCATGCCAGGCAACGTAGATAACATCTCCCTAGCCACTGTGGTGAGGGTGCTGAGTGAGGAGTCGAGCGGGAAGCTTGACAGCCGGTAAAGGTGGCGAAATTGAGGTCGATGAGGGTAGAATGGCAGTGGAGGCGAGGGTCGGTGACATCAAGGTTGTGGGAGGGCAAAAGGTTAAGTATGAGCTCAACAGGCATGTGAACGCTGTGAGGGTTGGTGGTGGGTGGGTTGAAGGAAATAAGTGACAGCAGCTGCGTGTGAAGAAGATGGGCGCGTTTAAGGAAATCAAGGAGGTACACGGGGAGCTGGGTTTCATTTTCCACCCACGAATATCGTTTTTCCAGGCCCAATGGTAGATGTTACCGTAAGTGTCGTACCACAACTTGTATGCTACAACGGGGGGGGGCGCCACGGTGACGATGTGTCAACTGGTATACAGGAGGTCGCGACCCCGACACCTTCTGTATATTTTGAGTTTGCGCGTCTCTCTCCCTGCACTCGCGTGGTTTTTTCTTCGGGCTCTTTCGGTTTTCCCCATCCCCCCCACCCCTCCACATTTAGAATCAACAGCACGCGTTGAAGAGTATTTGGCTGCTTTACATTTCCACATGTTAAGCCCCTTTTGCTGAGCTATCATGGGATATCCAGGTCGCTTCTGAAAAAGAGCTACATTATATAGCAGCTCAGTGGGCCTTACCTGGTAAAATAAAAAACAGATATAGTATTTTGATTTAAAGCTTTCGTGACTGCAGTAATTCATATTCTTAGCTCTTTCGGTAAAGTCACGTTGAAGGGAAATAATAAAATAATAAATATATATCAAACAATAAAAATTCTCACGACGTTTCGACCATAACACACCTGATGACGACCGTTTGTGTTATGGTCGAAACGTCGTGAGAATTTTTATTGTTTTATATATATTTTATTATTTCCCTTCAACGTGACTTTACCGAAAGAGCTAAGAATATAGATATAATGTTCAAGTTCGTTCGCACCATACGTGCTAATCGGAGGTGCGGGGGAATGACAACAAACTAAAACACACAGAAAGCAGTTCTAAACATTAAAAAGGCAGATAACTGAGCTGAAGGCAGTATTGCAATGTGGCAATTATAATAAAGTTGTGAACGAGATAGAAATGTATGAAGTGGGTTTGCAAATGTCGTTATCCCAAGGCTATAGAAGGGTGCGTGGCGATGAAGTGGTGGCGATGGTGAGAGATGGTCGTGGTTGGTTGTATGTCGAACTTCTTTTGCACCGTACGTAGCCAAACTGGTGTGCAGATTGCATACCGTGTCAACCCATACGCTTTACCAGTATTCTTGTACAGGGAAATCGAGTACTCAGGTCCATACGGCGTACAGCCGTTTCAATACTAGACTTTGTAGGATGAACGTTGAGATTTAAAAGGGCACGGGGTGATCATTAAGGTCTGAATTGGTCAGTAATAAGGTAGGGCACATATAAGGGGTTGCCAGGTATGCACTATAAACTACACACCTGTCAACCCATACAGTTTACCCTGTATTCTTGAACAACGAAATTGAGTTTTTAGGTCCATACGGTGGTACAGCCATTTCAATACGGGCAACAAAAATAGTTTTTTTTGCCTATTTATGTTTCTCCCTTGTGATGGGACTTTGTAGGATGAACGTTGAGATTTATAAGGGGGCACGGGGTGACCAATAATGTCTGAATTGGTCAGTAATAAGGTAGGACACTGATAAGGGGTTGACAGGTATGGGATTTTAACACGATTGCTACTCAGACACTGCAAAGCAGCAGTGGAAGAGTGATGTGCACGGCGGGGGTTGAGCATCTACAATTGCTGTGCTCAGAAGTCGGCGTGTAACAGGAGTGTGATGGTATGATGCCGACGACGATGATGATGATGACGGTTGTGAGGTGACGATGCCCCCCCAAAAGCAAACGAGGGAAGACAAAGACGGTCCCGGGGAAACGCCTCACAGGCAGCTGAAGTCGAAAATGGTGCGCGCGTTGAAGCGCCGATCTCCCAACAAGGTTTCCATGGCGTGTTTTTCCTGAGGCAAAAACAACAACAAACCACCACCATTAAAACCAACAACAACAAACGAGACCTCCATTATCCACTTGCTGGCAATGGCCGCCGACGGGAGGGGCGGCGTTACCATTGCCCAACCAACGATTTTTTAAAGAAAAAAAATATTAACAAAACGTAAAACCTTTCAAACACCGCGCATTAAGCAATTTGTACATTTAACGATCGTTTAACTGGGGACGCGCGTTGCCCTGCTCCATCTGTGAATGCCATTCGCGTTCTAAATGCGAATCAATAATTTAACGAACGGCCAACAAGGCCTCAGACAGAGCGCGCACGTCGCCTGAACAGCGGCCCATCTATGACGCAATTAACAATCTCCTTTAACTCGAAACAAAACCACGGCAACAATAACGACGCTTGTAATGCGTTTAAGGCCAGATTGTTGTTCGCTTTATTGTCACCTGTAATCGAGGGGGGGGGGGGGGTCGTTTAAAGCACTTGAATCTTTCCGTCGAATCCAGACGCCGTGAAGAAGTCGACTCAAGCTTAACCCGACACAGACAGAGATTATAGCACGGAGCGAGTGACGTAGGTTTATGAAGCGGGCCCCGCCCCTTGCCCCGCCCCTCACCCCACCAACCCCGCCCCCTCCACCTCAAAACCCCGCCCCTCAGCCGACAACCCCGCCCCTCGACATCAAAATTTCCGCCGCTCGCCCCCCAACCCGGGCTCCTCCGACTCCGCCCCTCCCACCTACAACCCCGCCCCTCACCCTCAAACCCCGCCCTTCACCCGCCAACCCCGCCCCACTTTTTCAAGACCCCTCCCCTCATCCTCCAACCCCGGCCGCCTCCGACTCCGCCCCTCCACCACAAACCCCGCCTCCTATTTAACCCAGCCCCCTTCACCTTCCAACCCCGCCCCTCCCCATAAACCCCGCCCCTCTCCATCCCCCCCCCAAATGCCCCCGCCCCCTCCCATCATCCGACAGTCGTGACGTCTCGCGCTGGCACGTTTGGGTCACGTGGTTAACGCTAGTTGACGGTGTGGGGGCGGGCGGGTGAAGGAGCGGTGGTGCAGCGGTTAGCGCGCTGTTGCGCTCCGAGAACCCTTGCCACCCGAGTTCGATTCCCCGCTCGAGGTCACCAAGACCGGTGGCGATTATCTTGAACCCGGTCCTGGTGGTCTGTCCCAAAGTCGACTCAGCCTCAAAACGATTACCCGGTGCGGTGTGTAATAAACATCGCCACTGGGGAGACAAAGGCGGCCGGGCGTGGATGCTGGCCACCCATCCCCTCGTGTGCCGTGCCGGCCTTTACAGGCGCTCGCTAACAGCACTTGCCCCAGCAGTCCGCTAAGGCTACACGGGGGATCTTTGTCTTTGGAGTGGGCGAGAGCGAGCCCCGCCCCTCGGCCCCCCCGCACGTAACCAAACAACCAACCACGAATAGCGCGCTGACGTCACCACGTCCTACGCGTAACGTCGCGCAACGGTTCTCTCAGGTGCACGTGACCAGGCCAGGCTGCGCGATGACGTCACAATTAAATTTCCGAGTTCAGCACACAGGACGGTGTTTATGCTGTACTGGAGGAGAAATCGGATGAGGTGCCGTCCATAAATGACGTCACGCGATTTTGGGCGATTTTGACCCCCACCCGTCCGTCACACGGCGTCACTAAAAGTCAGACCCCCCCCTCAAATATGACGTCACAAAGCTCTGTACCCCCCCCCCAAATAAAACATGCTTCAAATCGCTTTAAACTATTGTCATTGTAGTGCGTATTTAATGTGGCGCTGCACTCTGATGTTGTAGGAGAAAACATTTATTAAAAAGTCTATTTGATTAAGTAGAACGTGTTGTCTATATTTATTTAAAGTTGCGCATTTTGATGTGACGTCACATTTCTCACCCCCCCCCCCCCCCCCCCCATCATCATTATACCGCCTTTGCCAGTACCAAAATATAATAAAAGGGGTTTTCCCATATTCTTGGTTCTTTCGGTAAAGTCACGTAGAAGGGAAACATTAAAATAATAAAAATATAGAAATAAAACAATAAAAATATAAAAAATATTGTTTTATATTTGTATTATTTTATTGTTTCCCTTCAACGTGACTTTACCGAAAGAACCAAGAATATGAATCACTGCAGTCACGAAAGCTTTAAATAAAAAAATAAAAAATATTGTTTTATATTTTTAATCCCTGCAGTCACGAAAGCTTTAAATCAGGGTTTTTCCCCTTGTTTCTGGCAACAAAATTCGTGAGAATATTATTTTATCAATTAATTATTTTATTCTCATTCTACGTGACTTTACCGAAAGAACCAAAGAAGAAGTATAGGAAAGGTAAACAAATGGCGTACAACAAAAAATAATTACACTTTTTATTCTTGGTCCTTTACGACACGACGACTTTTACTGGTAGGAACGAAGTTGTAAACTGAGTGTACCAGCCTGCAATAGATTAATGTGTCCGTCCGTCCATCCATCCGTCCCCTTTCAATACTTTAACGAAGTGAAATCTCGTGCTGTTGGGTGTAATAAAATTGCGCAAAATTCCAATGTTCCTACCAGCCCACCCTGCAGGGACCTGTTTATTACTGAATTTTTACCAGCTAAGCGCCCCACTGAGCTCGCTACGTGGCTCTTCGTTATTGTTGTTGTTGTTGGTGTTGTTGCAGACGCGACCTGCCAATCGCTAATGACATCGAGCTCAACGAAGTGGGATTCATCGTCACCACGTCGAGACGTTTCGAGCAGCAGCCAAAAAACTCTGAACGCGTGACGAGGAGGAGGATGATCGCGTGTCCCAGTGCGCCCCCCCCCCAATAGAAGCGATAACTATCGTGGCCCCCCCACGGCACCCCCCTTCTGCCCCCCCCTATAAAGAGAGAGGGGGACACAGCTCCCCCCTTCTCTCTGAAGGAGGTCTGACCCTAGCGGCAATCGGAGCCGCTCGCTGGCTCTTAACAGTGCCGCTTCACGCCCGTTGTTTATTCAGGGACCAATCACCGTCATCGCCGTCAGGCGTGACCTCACCACGACGCTTGTGCCAGGCTAGGTGCACGTTAAGGCCACGTGAAGTGTCGAACGCCCTCTGGCAGGAGGTGACGGGGCAGACCCAGAGGCCATGGGTCGACTGACTGAGATGAGTGGCTTATGCACCACCGTGGCAACTTGCTGTGCTTTAGCCACCCGGCGCTCCGCTCGTTGTTGTGAGCGTCGCTCCTCCGCCCTCCGTTGTTGTTGGAGGGCGACTGCCTCCAACTGCCCAGTAGCGTCCTTCATGAGCCTCCTCCACAGAGGCCGATCTTGACACCGCCGGTACCACTCATCGGCAAGTCCACTCAGCTCCACATCCTCCTGTACCACATCACTCCATCTCTTCTCCAGGCCGTGCCGCGCCCGTTTAGCTCTCTCTATCCGGCCGAACAATAGCTGTTTAGGCATGCGGTGGCTGGGCATGCGGGCTACATGACCCAGCACCATCACCACCACCATCACTATCACCACTACCGCGGTGCATTGCTGCCTCTTGATATCTAGAGTTGGGGATTTTATTGTTGTTGTTAAACCGAATTCGAACTAAAATGATGACATGACTCTCCTTTTTATTTTCGTTTCCGACAACCCTGTCTTCGACAAAATATAATCCCTGCATTACGGCGGCAGGATCCTCTTGAAAATGAGTCACACGACGCAGCGTGGCTCTGCTGGATAAATCACTATGATTATAACAATAACAATACTCCGAATAATAATAATAATAAGCATTGCTATTTACTGCTGGCTTTGTTCTGTTATGACGGTGTCGATGGTTGCTTCTGAACGTCGTAATTCTGTGCAGCTGACGGTGCCCGCTGATGATGATGGAGGAGACGCGTTAAGTCTTCGATGGAATTCATTCATCGCATGGCCTAGAGCCCGTGACCCCGTGTGTGTTTTCATGCAAAATAAAGTCCCCTACCCCACCTACCCCACCCACCACTCCACGTGTGGCGGATGGGATGGGGTGGGGTGGGTGGGGGGTAAAAACCTCTTGCCAAATAGAGCCACCCTCCCTAACCACTATCACCCCACCACCACCACCACTCACATCATTTAACCCTTGCTTCACCACAAACCGACCGCGCAGGGAATCTCTCGCAATGCCTCGCAGTCATCCACGAATCGGTTGGGTTCAGTGTGTTCGTACTCCAGGGCACCTCTCGAGTCACTGCTATTAACTGATTTTATTTTACCAGGTAAGGCCCCACTGAGCTAATGTAACTTTTTGTTGTTGTTGTCAGAAACGACCTGGCCGCAATAGATAGCTTAACAACGCGGCACACGAGGGCACCACTCCGAAACGGCGTATGTAACGGTGCTCGCGTTCCACGTTATAACGGGGTTGTGTTCTGCGTTATAACGGAGGCGCGTTCCACGTTATAACGGGGTTGTGTTCTGCGTTATAACGGTGCTCGCGTTCCACGTTATAACGGGGTTGTGTTCTGTGTTATAACGGTGCTCGCGTTCCACGTTATAACGAGGTTGTGTTCTGCGTTATAACGGGGGCGCGTTCCACGTTATAACGGGGTTGTGTTCTGCGTTATAACGGTGCCCGCGTTCCACGTTATAACAGGGTTGTGTTCTGCGTTATAACGGTGCCCGCGTTCCACGTTATAACGGGGTTGTGTTCTGCGTTATAACGGGGGCGCGTTCCGCGTTATAACGGGGTTGTGTTCTGCGTTATAACGGTGCTCGCGTTCCACGTTATAACGGGGTTGTGTTCTGTGTTATAACGGTGCTCGCGTTCCACGTTATAACGAGGTTGTGTTCTGCGTTATAACGGGGGCGCGTTCACTGTTATAACGGGGTTGTGTTCTGCGTTATAACGGGGGCGCGTTCCACGTTATAACGGGGTTGTGTTCTGCGTTATAACGAGGGCGCGTTCCACGTTATAACGGGGTTGTGTTCTGCGTTATAACGGGGGCACGTTCCACGTTATAACGGGGTTGTGTTCTGCGTTATAACGGGGGCGCGTTCCACGTTATAACGGGGTTGTGTTCTGCGTTATAACGGTGCCCGCGTTCCGCGTTATAACGGGGTTGTGTTCTGCGTTATAACGGTGCCCGCGTTCCACGTTATAACGGGGTTGTGTTCTGCGTTATAACGGGGGCGCGTTCCACGTTATAACGGGGTTTTGTTCTGCGTTATAACGGGGCGCGTTCCACGTTATAACAGGGCTGTGTTCTGCGTTATAACGGTGCTCGCGTTCCACGTTATAACGGGGTTGTGTTCTGCGTTATAACGGTGCTCGCGTTCCGCGTTATAACGGGGTTGTGTTCTGCGTTATAACGGTGCTCGCGTTCCGCGTTATAACGGGGTTGTGTTCTGCGTTATAACGGTGCTCGCGTTCCGCGTTATAACGGAGTTGTGTTCTGCGTTATAACGGTGCTCGCGTTCCGCGTTATAACGGGGTTGTGTTCTGCGTTATAACGGGAGCGCGTTCCGCGTTGTGCGAAAAGTTTTCCCGAATGTAAAAAAAAAATCGCTTCATGGCAAAAATGCGTTATCGTATGAACTCCGTTATCGTGTGAACTCCACGCGTTAATCAGTCACTTGCCGTGTATATATAT